ATCCTAGCTTTATCCTAAATATAGAAATACAGAAAGGTAGCTAGTGTTCTTTGTCTTATTAGATTAGCCTATTGTTACTAGTTCTAGCAGTAGGCCTTATTAGCGTTAGCTTTACTAGGTTAAGGTATTATAGTTTAGGCTATCCTAATTACTAGCACTTAATCCTTACCCTTAGTTAATACAGCTTATAGATACTAATCCTAAATGTATTATTAATTCTTTCTTTATCTTACTCTCCTTGTTTAAAGGTAAATTAGTACAAATAATAATCTTATCTTTAATCACTTTAGTTAAGTAATTAACTTCCTTAGATTCTAATACATCTTTGTTTACTATAGCTTAGTCCTTAATAGTTATTATTATTCTAATCTCTTAATCCAGGACATCTCCTAGTTCAAGTAAAGGTTTAAGGGTTAATAGTTACCCTTTCTACTAAATACAGTTTACTTTATAGTTACTTTATTTTTCTTTATCTAGAAATACTATTCTTAATATAAAAGTAGATAATAAGAGCTATTATAAAAGATGTTTTTTTTATAGAATTAAAGTAATATTAGCCTCTTTTATAATACTTAGAACATAGAATTCCAGGTTATAAGTTATACTTAGGTATTATATATTGTTTATAATTACTTATGCTTTCTTAGCTAAGATTACTACCTTTATATTATTTTTCTTATAAAATCAGCTCTTATTAAATGTTATATTCTATATAATTATAACCTACTAAAGTAAAAAGATTTATATTTAGTATAAGTTATAAGTATTTTAAATATAGCTTATTAAGTATTTAATATAGCCTCTTAGTTTTACCTTAAAGCATTATTTTCTTATGTTTCTCTTTTAGTTCCTTTAAATAAGGTATACTTAGTAGCTATATATATAAAGCTATTCTTATTATAAATATAAGTCTTAGCTAAAGGTTACTTAGTATTAAGGTTACTACTAACAAAAATATTATCTAAACTATTTCTCTTTTTTCTTAATTAAATAAAGCTAAGTATTATACTAAAAAAGGCTAATATTATAGAGGTATATATTAGCTATTACTACTTTAACTTATAGTTTATATAAGAGGCCTACTCTAAAAAGTAGTTTAATACCTTTAGTTATTACTTCCTAGCTAGCCCTTTTAGCTTTACTATTTAACTCCTTTATGTATAAAGGAGTAGTCTTAACCTTAATCCCCTCTTTTTTTACCTATTATTAAAACTTTATATTACTATTAATTACTATAATAAAGCAGTTTATATCCTACCTTATCTTATATAAAGTAAGGCTATATTACCTTACTACTTACTGCTTAAAGATATATAGAACTCTAAATATACTCTTATAGGTTTTTAATACTCTTAGAAATCTAAAGAGTTAGCTAGTATATTTATCCTTAATTACTATAAGCTATAAGTTCTTATTATACCTTTTAGGGTAATCAAAGAGGTTCTAAGTAATTTTGTAGTATAAATAAAATAACCTTTGTTCTGATCTTTGTCTTAAGACTACTTTCTTTATATAAGCTATTTAGTAATAGGAGTATTCTAATCTTTTATAAGCCTTAATCTTTACCCTTTAAGCATTTAAGACTAATTACTTAAGTATTTAGGGTCTTAAGTGGTTACTTTATAGGTACTAGAGCTAAGTAAAGTCTAAGTAAGTACTCTTTTTATAGTATAAAGGTTATATAAGAGTATTATAGTAAGGTAGCCTTATTGTGTTAATATTAACTATAAACATATTACTTACTAAGATTTATATATAAAAAAGGTAATTAAAAAGAGGCTTATATTTAAAGAAAATAATATTTACTTTCTATATAAGTTACTTAACTATAAAGCTATCTAAATACTTTTTGTATTAGAAGATATAATCTAGCCCTAAGTACTAGATACTTATTATATAAAATAAAGCTTTTAATATAACGTTTATATAAAAGTTCTCTATATATACTATATTCTTAAGCATAAGGTCCTAGTTTACTTTATTTTAACTTCTAAGAATCTTTTTAATTATACGTTTACCTTTTATATAAATAGGGTATAAAGTAATACCTAAGTTAACCTATTAATTACTCTCCTTAACTACTTAAACTATACCTAGCTCTAAAAGAGATATGTTATTTACTAGGTAAATAGCTCTATAGTTATCTAATATAGTGCTACATAAAAGAACATATAGGCTAAAGTATAGAGTAATAAAAATACTATAAACTTCCTTTTTCTAAGTAGCTTTATTTAGGTTTAGTTAAAGCAAGGTAGAGTTAATAATACATGTAATAACCTTTAATAATAAGTTATTACTAGGTCTATTATTATTATTTTTATTATTATTAACCTTATTATTATATCTTTTAAGATCTCTTCTTTAAGATAAAGAGATTACTTAAAGCTACTTTTTCTAAGTAAGTTTAGCTTAGAGGTTTATATTTTAAGGGTTATTAATTTAATTATAGATTTATTATATATTATTATTAGTAATTAAGGCTAGTCTAAGTAAATAGCTAGTAAAGGCTTTTTTTATATAAGTATATTTAAGTAAAGGCTAATAGTATAAGTAGCTATAAACATATACTTTATTTAAGTTCTTTAGTAAAAAGTAGTATATATTATTCTTAGTTAATATAGTAAAATAACTTATTAAAGTTATATAAATATTAGGCCTTTTTTTATAGTACTTTACTACTAATAAGTCTTTTTATAAAACGCTAGTTAAGATTATTATATAGTTATCTAGGTTTTTAATTAAGAGGCTTATTATCTTATTTTAGATAATTTCTATAAGTTTATAAGTTACTTAAGATAAAGTAATTTTATATAATACTACTCTTAGAAAGGTTCTTAAAGCAAAAGCACCTTAGACTTCTAGTAAGTCTAGGATTTTTATATAAAAGTAAGAATTTTATTATTTTATTAACTAGATAAATAGGTTAATGCTTAAGGCTATTTAATCTAATAAAGCTAGATATTCTTTTTAAATAATAGTCTAGCTAGATAAGTTACTTAGTATATATTATTACTTAAAAATCTTAAGTATTAAGTAAAATATTATTTAGTTTTATATTAAAACTTTTATTTAAGTTAACTTAAAAAGTGATTTAGTAATTAATATTTTTACTTATATATTAATTATATTAAATACTTTTTTTTATTATTTCTAAATAACCTTTTTTATACTAATATTTAAGATATATATTTAATATATAACTTTAATATTTAAATTAGTTATTATTAAAAGAAGTTTATTATTAGTTTATTTAAGATTTATATTAATAATAAATTTATTAAAAGCAAAAATCCTTAAAGTATTTAGGATTTTATTAAGATATTTAAGTTTATTTTTTTTTATTTATTTAAGTTTATTTAGGTTAATAAATTCCTAAATATACTTTAACTTTACTTTAAGCTAAAGAGTTATATATTATAAAAGCTAATTACTTTATATTTTAAGCTTTTTTATAGCTTTAATAAAAATAAATATATTAGAGATATTAGTTTAAGAAAATAGAAATAGTTTATTTAAGAAAGATTTTTTAGCCCATAGTACACTCTAGACACAGTAGTTCAAGGGTATAACATAAGCTAGGCTTATAACTGTTATAGAGTCACTACTTAAGGTAAAAAAGATATAAGGAAAACGGCTTAGATTTCTATATATAGGATTACCTTATCCAAAATAAATAAATACATATCCTGCGTGGTGGATCCGCACAAAGGGACTAGACTAATAGTTAATCCGGGCCCGGCGCAAATCTCACAAGGCTGCGCGATGCGCGTGAGGGCATCGCGACAGTACTTCTGTCGATTGATAACTAGCCTCGTCCTGTTCTAGCCAGATGAAATACTCTGTAGCCCATGATCCGTTATTCAGGTTTCCAAAAATACCAGAGAGATCGAGGAAGACGCAAAGCGCGCGCATGTAGTTGACTTTTTTTTGGCTGCAGAGAAGATTGAGGAAAAGCAAGTCTGCAATGAATTGAATGGGCTTGACCGCGTGACTGGATTGAGCGTACATTAACAAAGTTTTGCTGTGAGACAGGACGCAACAAACCATCCGATTCGGAATCTAGTCCATCCCTCCTTGAATCTGCACTTTCGTCCCTGTGTTGAAGATTGTGGAGACATTTCTCCGAGTGGGCTTGTTCAAGGCACTCTTGATGGCGAACCGAGTCAAGCACCCGACTGTACCCACATCTCTATCTTCTCAAACCTCATGAGATCCTACCCCAACGTCATCAAGAATGAGACTCTTCTCCACGTGGCATTGATTCGCACCCTTGTAGTTGCGTTAAGTCAGATATCCACATGATCCTGGCCAACGATCGTTACGGCAGCAGTCCAGCAGCTACTAATCAACGTAGACGACTTCATATTGGACCGCGCGACGATGAAGGTTTGCACGATGGCACACCAGACGGGCAGTATCCTAATGCAAAGGATACATTAAATTTAGGAGGTTCCTCCTAGCTTCACCCAATTCTTCATGCAGGTCATCTTCTTGCTTCAGCCCCTGACTTTGTAACATTCATTTTCTCGTTCCGTGCCCTTCGCCACCATGCACTTCTCAACTTCAATCGTCTTTGCCTTCATGAGAGCAGTCGCAGCCAGTCCGATGTCTTCATAGCTCCCAACGATTCTCTTCACGCCCGACGCTTGGCACCGGTCATGGGTCTTCGACCTGGTACGCGATGATCTATCGAGCCGCGGCTATCCAACTGCAGCCGTGACTTTGGCTGGCGTCGGCAGTAAAGATGTGAGCGTGGGACTCGCCCAAGACGCCGCGGCTGTTCGCTCCGAGCTGCAAGGACTTGTCGATGAGGGACGCGACGTCGTCATGGTTGCTCAATCCTACGGCGGTGTTCCCGTTGCGAATGCTGTTGAAGGTCTGACCTACAAGGACCTCATTGCCAATAACAAATCCGGCGGTGTCATTATGGCTATATACATAGCCTCTTTTGTTATTGCTGCTGGAAGCGATTTGTATGATGGCGGAGTAATGCCTGAATGATGGAACGTTACGGTAATGGCACATTAAACTTTGAAAAGATCAAGATCAAAAAGTCACAAAAGGCTAGCTCTTCCCTTTTGTTCCCCAAAACGGCTTCTTCTCTCCCCTCAACCCACTCTCAGTTTTCTATGCCGACGTCAAAACTTCGCTTGCCGACAAGGCAGTTGCCGCTCTGCTGCCCCAGCCTTTCAAGACTGTGGAAAACAAGTCCGGGTTCGAGCCTTGGAACAATGGTTTTGAAATGGGTTACATCTTTACGCAAAACGACCAAGCTATACCAATCGACTTGCAGACCAGCATGGAGTCTATATTCCCTGCCTCCAGCTTCACGGCCACTCTGAACTCCAGCCACACGCCCTTCCTCAGCATGCCCAAGATTCTTGGGGACGTCATCCAGCAGGCGGCGCAAGTAGCGGTTACCAAGAAGGCAGCTTAAACTTCGGGTGCACGCTCGTCAAGGTTCAGTCGTCTATCTGTACAAAATGCATCTTTGTGCTTGATAGGGAAGCACTTTGCTCAATATATGTGTATCAAAATCCGGGTGGATACTTTACACAATGTGAAAATCACACCTTATTGATAATCACTGACTCCCATGCGTTTCCGCCAAACAAGTAAAAGAGCGGCTGGGTATGTGAACTAGAAAATCATCACATGGAAAACATTTGCGGTTGACAGGAAACAGGTTTCTATGTTTGTCTCCGTGCCACAAACCTCGGCTCGGCATTCACATTGCAACTGCCGAATCTGCTGGCGAATTCATGAATGCTACTAAGGTTCCGTTACATATGTCGAGCCTCAAAATAGAAACTGAGATGATTCCTGCAACATTTAGACGGTTTGACTTTGTACTCTTTCTCAAAGCGAGACCTTTAAAAACCTTTGTTTTCTACATCTCCACTGCTCGTAAACTTCGCGTATTTCGAGGCCACAGTATCCCACATGAAATAGGCTCACTGCATATTGCCCACAGAAGCCTGGACGCTGACTCCCTATTATTCAGACACCACTTCTTCCATAAATGGCCTCCCGTATTGGTGTTGGGTTGAAACACCTCTCGTTCACGTTTGCAGAGAGCGTCCCATGGCCGGTGCTGACGGCCTGACTTCATGTCAGGGGATGCTTGACAATGGACGACCACTTCGTCGGCAATGCTAGAATCAGGTAAGACAACTGATGATGTTATCATAGAGATACAATGATGCGCATGCCATTGATACCTTGGACACAAACTCATTAGTCATGACATTTTTGCATGCCACGGTAGTTGTCCAGCATTAACAGGGAAAACGAATGTTAATGCTTCCAAGATCGAGGTAGTTTGCTTTCGTTAAGACATAATAGGCAGCTGTAATTAAGCGCTCCAAGTGACTCGATTAAGTAGTTGAACTTATGAGATCTACAGCGCTGCCAGCATGTGCCACTATCTCGTGTATTTAGCCGGATCAAGTCATGATACAAATCCCCAGTCAAGATGGTCTCATGAAATGAAACATAGATAAATGGCCTCTTGTGCGTAGTCCAAAGTGTCTTGTCGCATTGCCAAGTCGAACTCGGCGTTGCTAACAAGGACCGAGGTGAACTGAAAATGCTTAGAAAATGGGGCGTTGCAGGCTCCACTTCTTCAACTTCTGCCGTTATACACCGCCTTATTTGCAGTCAATCAGCCAAATCTAGAGGGTTGTACAATTGAGAACCAGCTTCCGTTGATCTCTGCGAGGGTAACTCAACTTTTTGCAACATGATCACTCTGCCAAGCTCTTATGCCCACATCGCCAGTTACGCAGATGATCTGTTTGACTTCATTGATACGCCTTTGTTCCGCCAGATCACAGGCGACATCCACGTCAATGACGCGTTAATCCTTAACGCATGGGAGACTTTACCTTCGGAGTGGACGACTTGGTGGACCTTAATTCCAGATCATCGCCTTGCACAGCAAGACTTGATTGATAGCATCGAAGAACCGACCAACATCTCATCCACCACAGGCGATTCCGAAGATGACAGAAAAATCCAATATCTGCGAAACCGGCCAGAGTCGCTGACCAAATGGTTGGAAACCCTTCAAGCACTTTCTCTTCCCCGTGTTCAACGTCTAGGTCAAACGATTATCCTTCCAGACGTTCTGGCGGATCGTATGAAAACGAAAAAGATAGCGGAAGTCTCCACCGCTACCGCTTATATTCAGAACGTTTGCCAGGCGAACAATATTACCCACGTCATCGACATGGGATCTGGACAAGGCTACCTCTCTGTAGCTCTTGCTTTCCTCTATCCAAATCTTCGGGTCCTGGCCATCGATGGCAGCGAGTCTCAGATTGCCGCCTCAAAAGCGTGTGCCGCCAGCCTCGGAATCCCGGAGTGCAGAATCCAACATATGCAGCGCTACATCGACGGGACGGCGCCTCTAGCAGCTGAGATGGCCGCCTGGGCTGGAGGGAACGAGTGCATGCTCGTCGGTCTACACGCCTGCGGGAGTCTGTCCGAACACATGCTGAGATACTTCACCACGGTGCCATTTATCACTCGTCTGGGCGCAGTCGGTTGTTGTTATAACCATATCGCCCCACGCTCTGCAGCCAGCCCGGATGGGTTTCCCGTCAGTGAGAATTTGAGGAAAAGAGGTGTTGTGTTGAGCGCCACGGCGCTGATGACGGGCTGCCAGGCGCCAAACAATTGGGAGAGGGCAGACTTGAGTAAAGAGGAGTCTGAGTATTCAAGGCGACGCTTTTATCGAGCGCTTATGGAGAAGGTCTTTTTCGACAAAGGCATTGAGCTCGATAGGGAGAACAGGCCAGTCTGGGGCGTGCGAAAGGGTGATACGGCCAGCTTTACAAGGTTTGCACGGAGGGCCGTAGAGTTTCTCGGTGTTGACGGTAGCGGGATTAGCGACGAAGATCTTGCGTCTTATGAAAATCGGTACCGGAACTACAGCGGCAAGATAGCGATTTTGTGGACGCTCAGTGTGCTGTGCTGTAAGGTTGTCGAGAGCGTAATTGCTCTTGATCGATATTTGTTTCTTACTGAGAACGGAGGGGAGAATGTAGACGTTCTGCCGATTTTTGACTACAAAATCTCGCCAAGAAATCTAATGCTTGTAGCCAATAAGGGTGCTACGCAAGGCAACGCATCAACTACTGTCTAGTTTGGCCAAGCGGCCAAATAGCGTAAAGGGCTCATCAAGTTAGTAAAACTAGAATTGACTAAAGTAGACCATTTCTTATGCAATCATAGTGATCATGCCGATTCGCACATGCCATTTGTGACACTCCAAGAGCCTATATCGCGGTTGCAGGCCAGAGATCCACCCTTCACCGTAGTAAACCCTGAGAAATCAACATTTTGCCCCTTGTTATCATACATAACTCCAGTAACATCGATGCACCCTGTATTACGTACAATTCCAACTTATGCGCCTATAGGGTCACGCGTTGGATCACTCTTCCACCGTCTTTTGGTACTGCCAGCAAGTGTTGTGTGGTCTACAAGAACCGGAATTTCACGATCAGAGTCTGGGAGAAGTTCGATTTCTCTCATGGTAGTACACTATGGCCTGACTGAAAGTAAAGAGGTGGACTCAGCTCTAGATTAACACCACCACATACATTCGAAAACCATATCTAAACTGTCATTATAACTGTAGCTGGACCTCCACCACACAGGTGCTACTTTGATACCCTCCTTCCCCTCCCCAAACACCATCTCTGTTCACTCAAGTGAGACGTGAAGAGAAATGGCAGGGACTTCCGATGAGTCCTGCGGCATGGTCCATGTAAAGTTCCAATACTCAAAGGTGTTGAGGACCGAATGTGCTCCGCCATAAGAACCACCGAAGGAGATTTCGTACGATGCATTAACTGTACCGCTGACATTGACGCTGAGGCCTTGAATATCATCCAGTGAGGTCACTGTAGGCTTTTCAGCGAATTGCGAAACAATAAAGCTGAAGCTTGATGCATTGTTGCCCTCGGGGTAGGTGACGGTTAAGGTGCCCGGGCTGGCCTCCACAACTGTGTGGTTGTTGACGACTTGGGGCAAGATCCATCCAATCTCATTGGTATGCAACCGCCATTGAATGACTCCTGGGGCATAACTCTTCATATTTCCCATCTTTCCACCTGGGACTGATGAGTTGATATACCAGCTTTGGGCTCCGATGCTGATGTTGTTCGCAAGCCATGCGGTGACGTTACGGTTCTCAATGTCATAGGGTGGGTATCTGATTGAAGCATTGTATGTATGTTCGCCCTTGAAAACCTGCAACGCAGCCTTGACATCTTCGGGAATGAGGCTGTTGTGGGTTTCGGCAACAATTGCGTGCAAGGGTGCCATCTCGAAATCATCGTGGTGGGCAATGACGCCAGGTCGCTGTTTGATCGAAGAGTACGATTTGCCCACGGCACCCCAGATGGGGAAAGCGACGAGCGCAACATACTTTTGCATGTCATACCCATAGGTACGGTCCCATGGGCCAGCAAGATTCAACAAATGAGGGTGCCACAGCTCGGCAATTGATCTCCAAACATGTGCAACGACGTCGGGGGCACGTTGACCCAAGATTGCGTCTTTTGGTAGGTATTTAGAACACAGAACTAGAGCCCACAGAGATACACCATAATAGGTACCGCTGTTGAACTCAGAGAGGGTCTGGTTGTTTTCGTCAAAAAGATCGAGCAACTGTTTCGCGTATTGCTCGCCAGAAATCGTCATGTTGGAATCATTCAGCCGGTTTCCAGTCCAGCTTGATACAAAGCATCGCATGATCCACTTGTCAAATGTCAGACACATAACAAAAGAGATAGAACGTATTGAAACAGATGGATGAGCGTACTGGGTTACTATAGCCGGGATGGAAGTTATCGAGTTCAATAATGTCGTTTCGATAGGTGTCGCCGATGGTGTTGTTTCTCAGTGACTCGAGAAGCAGATCAGTCACTTCAGGAGACAGCAAATGGCCAAACTCCTCAATGCCGAGGATGAAAGCAGTTCCGATGAAGCCACGCCAGTTCGGATCCCACGCTGAATCAGAATACACAGGACTCCCGACCTCGGGTTCTTCAGGCTCCTGCTGGTAGTCACCAAACCTGACACTAGTTAAAATCATATACAGATTCGAGATCTAGCAGACTGACCACTCATTATCTGGGTCCTTGAATTGCGATTCGATGACTTTGGTGATGATTTTCTCAGCCTCGCTGACGTCGTCGCCCTCGTTTCTGGCGAGCAAGCCAATTGCATACCAGACTGAGCTCCGTGTCTCGTGTCGACCTCCCATGTTACCAGTAACCTCATACAGATACCCGTATGGCTGATCGTAAAAGTAATCCATAAATTCCATAGACTCCGTGAACATACTTTGCGCATGGATCGGTAAGGTAGAGGCATACGACGGGGTCGGTCGAGGAGATGTGGCTACGAATGGGAGCAGCAGCGCTAGGCTAGCCGCCAGCATCTTGATACCGGAATACATTGTGCTTCTTCCCGAAAGAACAAAAATTTTGAAGATGAAACTTGGCGTTCTTCCAGCATGTTCAGCATGTCTACGGTGCTGTTTGGTCTTATATAGACCGGGTTTCGATCTCGTACTTTAGCTTTATCTACATATCTTATCATCGGCATTTGCGTCGCCGGTCACGGTCCTTGCTTTATCATTAGGGGGAAATCCCAAGCGGAAATGAAGAAAACTACTAGCCTTGTTATACGCCGGGGATTTGGTTGATCCTCGCGTGTTCCCCGGTGTTGGCGAAAGCCCAATCCACGTTCACCAGCCTCCACTGGGCCCGGTCCCGGAACGGTCTTATGCTGTAGCGAAGTCCGGCAACCCCGGCATATGGACAGCCGAAGGAGCAACGGCTCCACATATGATAAGAGTTAGGGTTCACATCAGTGCTCCAGGCATATGTACGCGCAAAGCAGTTGTCGACAGCAACAATTGTCCCAAGTATATACTGGCTATATTGTAAAAACATCATAATTATGGGTTGCTCTTGCTTCTCTAGTGGTCTGGCCTACATTGGGAGCATCCTCAATCTGTTTGTTCCAAGCCTGTCACAACTGCGATGAGAAGAGGCCGGCCCTCTGACCGCCATAGTGGGTTTTCGGCGCCGGATCCGGCTGCCGTCCATGCCGGTGCTAGGGTCAGCAAGTAATCTTAGATGTGGGGACTGTGTCGATTTGGTTGGTTGTACTCATTGCGAAGGAAGAAGCACTGTCTAATTATTAGCCGAAAATCACCAGGTTCTTACACTGAGTGCTTCTCCAGCTCTACCGGCACACGCGTCTCTCTCAACGCCCGCGACCGCTGACTAATGATCCTGTACAGTCCCTCTAATCAACATATGCAGATTCCTGATAGGTTCATAGATCATGCAATAGTCTAGTCAAGGTTGGGTTGTCACTCGACAGCTGGTCACTTACGAGGCTCTCGTGTGGTGCGCCATTGTCACATTCCCGTCCACTATCGGTCTAAAGTTGGGCCGAATCGAATCGCCTACCAGTCCTTGGACGCTGCAGCGGACTAAATCTTTGAGTAATCCAATGTAGGGTGCAATATCACCATTCGACATACATTTTTTCGCCATTCGCTCACTCTAAAACTGATTCAGCAGTAGTCATAACATTAAAACACAACAATCAACCGCAGCAGTCAGATCAGTCAACATGTATGTGTTTACAATGAGGGTTTTAAAAGTCGAAGGCCACCACATTTAGATGCGCTCCCCGGCGCATATTCCAAGATGTAACCTGCTACCTTTGAATTCCTCCCACTTCAGGAAATGAAGGCTTCTTTTCGTCGATCTGCATCTAGTATATTAGAAGATCGAAGAGCTATCAACGAGCTCACAAAGATCCACCAGATAGCCATTATAACGGCCGTATTTTTGGGTCCAAGCCACACAAAGGCAGCTGTGCTCTACAATTGCTCACACGGCGTGATGGACAAGAATCCGATAAGACCTTCAAACGATATCCTGAAAGTCACACCTTTCAACTAGTATCCCAAAGGGGCGCCGCAAAACCTTTGCCGGCTGGAAAAAGGTGTTAGAATGTCCGCCCGTTAAAACTCATGGGGCTTATACTAGAAGCTGTTTGTTGATGCCTCTGCCAAAGTGAATGTCCCAATAATCAAGCGTTGTTTACGCAAAGCCAGGTTTTTGACTGGAGAGCAATGAGGAGGCTTTCGTTCTCATAAGGAGGCAGCAGCCCTTTTTCTTTACTACCCCCCTTAGTGTCATAGTCTCAGTTTTCGAAGAGTCTTCTCATTGATTAGCAAGGTTGCCTAGATATAGATGGGGCAAGGTTGCCGTAGGGCAGATGTTACGGGCAACCGAAGTGGAGTGTTTTGTCTGGTGGTCCCAACCAGAAACTCTAATACGGTCGTTTAATTGCTGTAGATCGAAACCATCTGAAGGGGGCAATTTGAATCGGACCAACTTTGGGCCGACAGTTGGTGGGAACGTGGGACTGTGCCACCAAATCCAGTCAACTGTTACGGGAGTAGCCGCCAGCATGGCATTGTCCAAAGATGTGTTACGAGCAGGCCAGGGCAACCAACTGCACCACAAAGCAAAAGCTTCGGTAATGATGCGCCTGCATCATTATCCCCTGTTCTGCACTATATAGTTACGCCGGCCAGCACCCCAACTGGTTGGGCCGTAACAAGATGGCTGTTGTGACAGCAGTTTGAATGCATATTAACAGAGACATATATGACGAAAGTGGTGATGTCTTCAGGAACGGGCGGCGCTTGACTTGAGGTCGGAGGTGCGCATATCATGAGGTGGGAGCGGCCGAGGAGTTTGGTAGAAGAGAAACTTAACATGCTTCGGCTGGAGTGAGGGATGGCATATCAAGACTGGGCATTTTAAACATTCCTCCGCAACTTATGTCAAATTATTCTTGTCTCTTTGTTACGTCTTATGATCTCTAATCTCCATCTGCGCGATAATCTTGCCATTCAACAACGAGGTCTCTCATCAGACTTAACCCCACACTGCTACGTTGATTCCATTTTGAATCGCGCTATAACGCAGTATCAAGAAAAGGAATACCCCAAGACACAACTGGCAAGTTAGCTAGAGCATCATTCTGCATGGTCGGCAACACTACTGAAATGACCGCGCTAGAGTAGAGCATCAACGCAAGCGTCAGGCCTCTAGTAAGAAGAAGACTAAATCTGTCCTCTCTAGATGCCTATATAAAACCCACGTATTCCATAAAGGCTATATGGATGGCATTTTGCTGAGGTAATGGCTTTGGAGGGTCTATCCTGCGGTCAAGGATAGTGACTTCTATATTTGTATTTTCCTACTTAAATAAGCTTTTTCGCTTTAGCGATTAAGATTAAAATCTAGGACACTTAGTGCTGTGTTAGTAGGTCATTCGGTGGCCCTGACACTTCAAGATTGCCGAGTATCCGCTTTAGCACTCCTTAGTCAAACCACCCTTGGACGCTAGACACGACTTTGCACGATGAAAGGAGCTGAGAAGGATATCTGGAGAAGACACTCATAGCGCGGGCCTCCACTACGGCAAGCAGCTTCCGTGATTAATAATTTGGGCAACTTACGCTTACAAACCCCAGAGATGATGTTAGCAAACGCAAAGCCTTAGACCAAATGGTTCCAGGCTTCGAGGAACTCTTGGCGGCCCCAGGATGCCGTTATAAGTCATCCACGAGAGCCCTAAGTCCTTCGGGTGCAAGACAACCTGTATTGCTAGACTGCTGCAATGATCTTTTCCCGCACAATCTTCTTTCCCGCCCTGTTTGTGTTCGTCCAGGCAAGCCCATCGCTGGTGGCCAAGGACGGGCATGGCCGCGATCACGTCAATGCACGCACAATCTATCAGTTTCAAGGCCACACAAGGGCTGAAAACATTGCTGTGCGCAAAAATGGAAACCTCCTCATCACTCTTTCTGATCGACCGGAACTGTACGAAGTCGACCCCTTCAACCCGTCGTCTCCGAAGCTCATCCACCACTTTGCCGGCTATTCGGGTCTTGCTGGCATCACCGAAACCACGCCTGATGTATTTCTGGTGAATGCTGGCAATATTACTTTCGGGCCGATCCGCCCTGTTCCGAAATCATTCTCGGTATGGAAGCTAGACCTGAGCTGCGCAGATGGCGCCACTGTCTCCAAGGTTACAGACATGCCTGAGGCTTCATATCTCAACGGCTTGACAACACTTGACAGTCGGGCTGGTGTTGTCCTCACGGGAGATTGCACCAGTGGCCGCGTCTTCCGTCTTGATACGAATACCGGAAACTACACTGTGGCACTCGACAACGCCCTGTTACAGCCTCCGCCAAACGCCACGTTGCCCATTGGCATAAACGGCATCAGGATGTTCCGAGACCACCTTTACTTCACAAACACATTCAAGGGCATATACGCTCGCGTTCCTGTCGACTTGGTCACAGGCGAAGCGAAAGGGCCGTACGAAGTTCTCGGGACCAACGTCACCGCCGACGATCTCGCTGTCAAGGCCGGAGTGGGGTACCTTGCGGGAAGCATAGGAAACGTCATCATCAAGATCAAAACCGGTAAAGAATCTGAAGTTATTGCTGGTAACCTGAATTCGACTGAGGTCGCCGGCGCTACTGCAGTTGCTTTCGGGAGGACTAAGAAGGATAAGGAGGTTCTTTACGTCGTCACAAGTGGAACAGAGGTATCACCGGTCAATGGCACGTTCGTAGAGCCAGGGAAGGTAGTGGCACTAGATATTTAGAAATCCAGCCCTTCGGGGTCAAATAATCCCGTCGGGATTCGGTTTCATTGTTATTCTATGAAATCCACAATCAAGATAGATTGAGTAAGGCGTCAAGCGGGCTAATACTGTTCAAGAATAGCCGCCTTCGATGTTAACCAGTGGGGTACGAGTTGTTGCGGGGCATAGTTAGTATTGATTGATAGTGCATTAGGTTTAATTAACGTTGTCCTATTCAGAAGACGTTAAAGTTTATTGACCCGTGCTAAGATGGCAGAATAAGATGGACTCAAAAATACAGGAGTATCACTTAAAAGAATAACTGGATGATCCTGCTCGTCTTCCCTAAACCACCCTTGCGTTTCTCCTTCTGCTCAGGCTCAATGGGTCGTCCCTCACATACTTCTCATTGAAGCCCCAGCTATCAACCCCCGATGTCCCCCAGCGGTTCCACCAGCGATACCCGTACGACTGGCCCTTTCTCGCCGTCCAGCGATTATTTGGCATCCTGCGTACTTTTGGTCGACCATGCAAACCTGATGAGCCAGACCTTAGCAGATATTCTGACATGAATGTAAGAAGAGCGCCAGAACTTACATCTTCCGTGATACTTTTTGGTCCACGCCCGTGTTGTAAACTTGCGGCATTTGGAGCAATACCGCAAATCCTTTCCCATCCACTCGCGAAGCCTCACATACAACGGACAAGAGATGCACGTGCAGTGTTTGCACCAGGGACGCCGGCACACTGCGTGTCCTGGAGGGTATGCTCGACAGAACGCCCAACTCGAGCAGACGTCGTGATCGTGCACGGGGCGAGGTGGCCCCTTGATGAGGAAGATGTGTCGACGTCTTCGATGGGCACGCCCATCGAGTTCTACCCCGATAAAGCCGCCGCTGCCGCAAGCGCAAGAGAGAGACTCCGGAGGCACAATCTGGTCGTAGGATTGCAAGGAGGGTTTTTTCGGTAACAAGGGTGTGGTGAGTGTGCGAAAAAAGTGTGAGGATAGGGAGAGGCAGACAAGGTCATTTTGTGGACAGTAAGATAGGACCTCGAGCTGAATCTCTGCTGGCAGTTTCGCAAAGAACAAGGCGGAAAAGTGTGATGGCGGCTGCGCGAGATGCTGGGCTAGCATTGACGAACCGGACATTATGAAGATGGCCTAAGGGTACGTGAGCGTTGAGGACCGGTCTGCGGCATTGGTACGTCCAAATTTTATCCGTTGAAGTGATGGGTTTGACTATAACGCAAAGATAGCTATTGCGAATCGGAGCTTCAAGTGCGTATTAATACTCAGTGATTGGCTTCATGAAGTTCTCGATTGCGGATGCTATGCGCTTCTTTGGGGTTGGCTTCGCCGCTGCTGCCTATGTCCAAGTGGGGGCGTAGCGCGGATTTGGTAGGCATCCGACTCCTCATTCCCCGTGCTTGATGAGACCCCCATGTTCTAGTACCGTCTTTACGAAGACTAAGGAAGTATCGCGATTGTGCAGGCTCGTAGTAGAGGTAAAGAAAATGATTCAACCTGATTTTCGAGTTTACAGTCACATAACTACAGCACCTACAACGCCACCCTGTAGCTATACCAGCTGTGCCAAGCTGCCTAACACCGGAAACCCTCTTCCTGAGCGAGCTCACCAACGCCCGTGCCCGCAGTGAAGACGTTCAGTTAGGCTTGTCGCACGACTAGTCAAAGCCCGAGAGTCATCCGAGTACCAAACTTGTCTGTGCTGTGAAGGGCAAGGTATTCGTGATGCTTGACTTGTGTGTTCCAATTTATTACAGACTACACCGAACGCGCAGCTCATCACAGGAGCGAGTTGGATTTTTTTCATGTGCGATGCTCCAAAAAGTTTGCAAAATGAATAAACGAGAACTTCGACGTTAATGCCTGGTATCTCTGAATTATACTTGAAACAAGTTCCACACTGTAAGCTTGTGCTGGTTGTACAATACAGACAGACGTTGCACTAGGATTCAGCATCGAGGTGCCTGGACCCGTTTGTAGTTCAGATCGACTCGTCGCTATTCAATCAGGCTTAATTGCAGCCTAGGAGGCTTGAAATCTCATAGGAGGAAAGTGAATGCTTGAGGGCTTGGCTGCGATGAGATAACCCTATTGGTTCCTTAGTGTTGCTAATTACAGCTATCAATCAACACTATATCGCGGCAGAGCAACCCCGCTCGTTCATGCTCCTCGGTTCCTCGGTCTCGGACCACGCCCTCGCGCCCACATCGTTCAACGGAAATAGGAAGAGGCATCTCATAATGCTGTGTCAAGTATGCATCGATGCGATTCACTACCGCAAGGGCTGGGTGAGAAACGATTGCGATGCCGCAGACCCGCACATCCTGCTTGCCCATCACGGATCGACCGCGAGCCTTGAGTCGTCTGCCCGCGATGTCTGTGAAGTATGTTATCCATTCTGGTGCCAGATTGGCGAGGAAAATCAGACCAGAATGAGGGGTTTCGATCCTGAATGGACTTCTCGGCACAACGCGGCGAAAACTGCCAGGCAGCCGGGGCAGGTGCTCCACGACTTCGCCGGTCTTGTTACGATATGCGCCATCGTCAACATTGGCCAAGAAGCGGAGGTACAATCTGCCGGCATGGACCTGTTGATCTCCGTAACCTTTGAGTCGGACTTTCGCGACGAAATCTCGACGCTGAAGGACACATCCGGCACATACATTGTGCTGAGAGGGCCGGGTTAGTTCTCGCTGTGTAACTACTGCCATACTACCGTGTCCCACTAACGTCTGAGTGTGTCAGACAAAGATTTGGAAAAGATGACCGTCTTTACCAGCGACAGTACATCTTCAGAAGAATCATGGAGTAAAGCCACGACCTGGATCCAAAGATGCACCTCCAGCCACCTTGCTTGCAACGTCGAGATGAACGCTGGGTTGTGGCATCCCACCCGCTTACTCGACCTAGCTGCCCCGGACTTAGACCTGGACACATTCCGCATCGTTGTAACATCAGAATACCATGGTAACCCTTATGAGAAGTATACAACGTTGAGCCACTGCTGGGGTTCTGCGCAGTTTCTCCAACTAAAAAAGTCATCGTACGACAATTTCAGAAAAGGCGTCAAGCTAGACAAATTGCCGAAGACTTTTCAAGACGCCATCCAGGTCACCCGGAGGCTCGGCGTCCGGTTTCTCTGGATTGACTCCCTTTGCATCCTACAAGATCGGGATGACCTCTCCGATTGGCTGGTTGAGGCAGGCAAAATGCACAAAGTTTACTCACATTCCTACTGCAATATCTCCGCCGCAGGAGCCCACGATAGCTCCAAGGGTCTGTTCTTCCAGAGAGATCCGCGCCTTAGCCATACAGCCACTGTGAGCATGTGTGTGGAGGGGCTTGGACTGTCATCTGGGAGCAACTACATGGATTGCAGCATTGTGGACTTGGGCTTTTGGGGCAACGGTATCGGCAAGTGCCCCCTCAACACACGCGGATGGGTATTGCAGGAACGTCTACTTTCCCCTCGAGTTCTGCATTTTGCCAAAGACCAGTTGTTCTGGGAATGCAGGCAGCAAACGGCCGCCGAGTGCTATCCCGAGTCACTCCCCAATTCTTTGCGTCACACTATCCCCGCCAACTTCAAGAGGCTCGACCCAACCACCCGTAGTATAAATTCTGCGTCTGGGAAGGATCATGCCGCTGATCCTATGTTCTACTATCGGGTCTGGAACTCTGTTGTTAAGGCATATTCCAATACCCGTCTAACCAGAAGTTCTGATAAGTTGATCGCTCTATCAGGCATTGCGAAACAATTTGCGGCGCGAACTAACGACGCATATGTCGTGGGAATGTGGTACAAGTATTTGGCAAGCAGTTTGCTCTGGAGGGTGGAGTATCAATCCCATATCGATGATTCGCTCTCCTCGCGTCCAGCGATTTATAGAGCCCCATCGTTCTCTTGGGCGTCGGTAGATTGGGCAGTAGTTCCCACGCCGCCGGCTGATGATAATCTACTAGTCGAGGTGGTCAGCTGCCATCTGGACTACGTAACAGGAGACACAACAGGTCTGGTGAAGGGTGGGTATCTCGATCTTCGCGGCCAGGTCAAGCCTTTTGAAATGGTGGTCAAGTACGTCCTAAAACTTCAGCAACTCTTCTTAAAAGTTGGTGGTACCATTGTCAAGGACTCCAAGAAACAAGACTGGGAGAACGGTCCTCTTGTGCACCTGGATGTTGGCCAAAAGAGCTTCGACAACGAGAACGACGCGAACAGTCTGTACTACATGCCCGCCCAGAAACAGAGCACTCTTGATGAACACGTGTCATACTTGTTGCTAGTCGCCTTGAATGAGGACAGGAATGAATTCAGGAGGATTGGTGTGGCGGTGACGGCTGAGGTTGAAGAGATCGAGATCCTGAACAGGTCAACACAGGACAAGCCGCAAGGACAGGGGGCGCACCCGGATAGTAACAGTGATGTTCGAACCATCAGAATAGTATAACGCCACTCCTACCCCTTATCACAAAGCGGTCAGTCCATTTCTGCCGAAACGGCAAACCTTGGCAACAGAAACGATTCAACAATGACACAATCGATTTGGGGTCCTCGGATGGTACGGTACCTGAGCGCAACTCGAATAAATACCAATTCGAGCAAAGACTGCATGCCCTGAGAGCTCAAAACCAAGATCTTCGTGACCGATTCAGAGCAAGCAAGGAAAGAACCAAGAAAAAAGAACATGTTCTGGAACTGAAGCTGCAAGAGAAGAAGTTGCTTCTAGAGTCCATCAAGAGATCTTGTATCAAGAAGCGGAACTCTACATCTACGCAGGCCATCCGGCAAGACTTTGCAGATGGCATCAGAGCGTAAGTAGGGTTTACCAGATCTCAGGACTTTGCTAATTGGATCATAGACTCGACGAGGAAAAAGCAGTAGAATAGCACAGCGTTTCCTTTGACCCGGAATAGCCTATCCGAGAATACACAAAAATCAAGGCCGATTTGCCAGTTTTCTGCATTAGCAGTCGAGCCTACCAGAAACTCAACGGCATGATGCAGAATGAGGATTTTAACACTAGTGGATACAGAGACCTCGACGATACAGGCATACCCGACCTGCAGGCGTACGCACAGAAAATGACGGTATCCAACAGAAACGCGACATGCCGACAGATTCTGACCAAACTCTGGGTCCTGCTCACATCCATATCATGCTGGGTAACAGGCCATGACCTTGTCCGAGCAGGCTTAGACGTCAAGTCAATCGAGAAGCATCTTCAAGAAGAAGCCAAGAAGCTTCAAATGGTAAGTTTTAGAGATCCTGTGAGAGGATCGTGCTCATCAACTAACTTTTTGGTCTAGAATTGGAGGAACTCTCGAGAAAGTTGCTCTCGGAGCTTCAAATCCAGTCTTCAGAGCAATATCTATAACAAGTTCGACGCTCTTGTTGCCCACGCAGCAACCGATGCAACCCGCCGTGCCGCGAGTTGGTTTCCAGACCAAAAAGCACGCGGTTATAAGCCTGGAACATTCAAAGCCATCTGCAGAAAGAAGGGACTTCATACTATTCGTGGTCGCCCGGCCATCGACCTGCACCAAGAGCTTGTCAAGCCCATTCATTCCGGCATTCAACAAGATTGGTATGCTGCATTCCACCTTCACATACCGTTCATCCTCCAGGATTTCATTGGCCAATTTGTGCAACACCAGCAAGATTTTCACCAAGCAGTTGCGAAGAAGTACGAAACTAACAGCAACATGGCAATGGCTCTGAACGCTCTCAACAACCCCAATGGGGCAGTAAGACAGAATATTGTGGGACTCTTGATGTATATCAACAAGGCTATCGACTCTCGGAAGAGCAACGCCTCTCAAGCAGCCACTCCCCCGATTGCAGAGGCCATGGAAACTGTATATGAGCAATGTTTGCTCGTCGAAGGCATGTGCAATGCAACTACTTCTAGGTTTATAATGACTGGCTGACAAATTACAAACAGGCCACGGAAGCAAAGCTAAGATGCAGAGGCTGGTCAAAGCACACATCGAAGAAATCAAGAGAACGGTCTTTCGAAAGTCTGTCGATGCGATGCAGGAGCATCTTCAGAACATGGATAGATACGTCGCGAAGGAGCTGGAGACCGCGATGAATAAGACCCACGACAATGTTTACCGGACTTACTCGAACGCTTTGCTTCACAGCAACAAGAAGGTCAATTTGTCTCCTGAAGAGGTGAAGCTCAAGAACCGGCTCTCCGTCATTCTCAAGAGCGTAGAATCTCGGTTCAAGGCCGAAGAGTGAAGGCCGTCGCGCTGGGTAGTTGGTTGGTTGATTTGGTTTCCATTTGATAGCTAGCGTTGCTTTCTGCTTTCTACCGCGATTTTTTCTCGTTTCCGCATTGGTTGGGAAACATTTCAAGGCAGCAAAGGGACATCTAGTCCCACTGCCTTTGGGAGAAACGCAGTACAGGGCTCCGCTGCTGAAAAATGAACGGACCGGATGAGAAAGACAGATACGTGACAGGTCGTCTTAACTCTGACATTACTTTTGACATTGCGAATTGGCCCTTCATTTAGAAATGTGGCAAGACAATGGTGACGTCTGTACGCGCTGGCCTAGATCAACCCATGCATAGGTTAAGGCAGCGAGCCTTTGATTGTCAGAAGCGTTAGTGATAAAAAGGGTTGACAGAGCCACTCACTCATCTGAGCACCAATAACCAGGCAGGTGCAAGGCCTTGGAAGGAACTGAAGGACAAATTTCAACAAAAATAAGAATAGAATCAAGAATCGACAAAATTTCCAAAAGATTAAGCACCCTAAGAGTGGCTTTGCCAATCGCGGTGAGGATTTGAGCCTCACGCGGGGGTCGAACCCGCAACCTTGAGATTAAGAGTCTCACGCTCTACCGATTGAGCTAGCAAGGCGGGTCTTGTTTTGTTGAAGGAACTTGCAAAAGCGGAGAATATGAATTCTATTTTCTGGTAAGTCAGCATCCGAGTTCCTGGGCATGTGTCTTTCGTGGAGAACATCAATCCTTAATGAACCATGCGACCTGTATAGTTACCTACACCCAGTTGGATCAGATTTTGCAAACGAAAACATATGTTTCCCCTTGTAGTCAGGCTGCCGTGAGGTTGAAGCGTGAATTGTTGGTCCACCTTATTCGAGTTACCGACCGGTTTGGCAAGTCGTCAAGCCATAGACACTTTGAAACGACAATCGCAAACCACATTGTAACCTGATTGATGCATGCGCAACCAAGTTGATAATTACAGAGACGTTTCAGAGTATTGCAGCCACCAAAGAACAGACGAGGTCGGCACGGGGACTTGTGAACGTGCCAGAAACACAGCTAGTCAAATGCCCCAGTCAACTAACCAAGTGGAGCCAAGCGAAAAGTTGGTGATCACATAAAATAAACATACCGAAGATTCTGAATCCATCGCCCGTCGCTCTGAACCTGCGCAATCCCTCGTCCTCAGAGGATGAACTAATCTCTTACTTGGTGTCCACACGGGCAGTTAAGACCTATTTCCCACGTCATCGCCCGATCAGATTGGGAGTAGCACACCATGTCAGCGTGATTTAAAAGAGATTGACTATTAGAGCAACTGAGCGAATGGGTATCTGACAAAAATGACCAGTCCTGGTCAAGTAAAGCGTTATTACCACAGAAAATTCCATCACACGACATCGGCTTGTGGTCATTGAGAACGGAACAAGATTAAGAGCAAAAATGCCAACTTCCATGCCATTTTTCCACCCCTAAGCCATTCCACCATGACTTCTCACCCGAGTGCCATTCTCTACTCTTCAGAAGAAGTGTCCGAGTCCGAATCGTCATACTCGGAATCGTTGTACCCGATTTCATCCTCATGAGCGTCGCTGTTAGCCTCCTCATTGGCACCCATGTCGTCGACACCATAGTCGACAACCGCATAGTCATCTTCGTTCATCTGATCATCCACTTTGTGGTGAACTGGGGCGAACAAAAGGTTCCGTTTCACCGTCATGGCCTGGCGGAAGAAGGGGTGACTTTCCTGAAGAGGCTTTCCCTGCGCAATGAACCCTATGGGCGTAGACGCAAAGTCTTGGCCTCTACGACGGGCAGCGAGCCACTCCTGTACGAAGGAAAGAGGTCGAGCGGTGAGACCAACGGTAGCCGACTTGACCTCGCTGCTGTTTTGGGTGTCGGCCGAGTCGCTTTCGGAGCCCTCCTCCAAGTATTCCTGCAACGGCAATGACTGATCGATACCAAGGAAGTCACAGAGTTGGTCGTACTCGGACCACTCGAAGTACAACCGACCTGCATAGAGCCCCAATTCGATCTTCAGCCAGGCAGGGGCTCGCCATGCAGGGGTAAGAGTCGGGATGCTGTAATAGTTCAGATCGCTGAAACGGAGCATCTTACGGGTGACGGGTGCCGAGTACACGATCAAGTGCGTAGCGCGGGTGAAGTTAGGGTCTTGCACAATGGACAGGAGAGCCTCGGCCTCTTCGGGTACGATTATCAAGGCGACTTCGGTGACTGGACTCCAAAGCATCCAGTTCACATTGCGCTGTGACAGGACTGTTAGAAACGTACCTAGGTGAGCAAGACCACATGCCTTTTAACTTACCAGGAAATTGTCACTTGTTAAATCAAAGTTCAACTTGACAGTTCGCTCAAACTCCGCAGACACGAAAAGCTTGTTCTGTGATGATCTGTCCGAAACTTTGAATTTCTTGCCTATGGCGGTCCTGGACAACGATTTGATGACCGAGATGAACGTGAGGGCGCCAGCGGGGATTCTGCCGGTCTTGGCGAAGGATTTGATTTCTGGGTGTAGGCCAGGAAACGAAAGCGCAGTATAACAGGACGGCTTCTTGACTTGGCGGACAGTTTCGACTTCGAATGCTATCTCGCGTTCCTGCTCAACCTCCTGCAGGGCAGATGCATGTACCGCCCGGCCGGTATCCTGGAAAGCTTTTCGTCTGGCGTTGAGCTCCTTGACGAAAGATCTGATCTTGTTGTGCGATTCAGCTCGGAAATCGCCTGTGGCTTTGGTCTTGCGCTTCGGCTCATAGAGCTGCTGGAGGCTATGTTGCTCGTCTTGCTTGATAGTGGCGATGAACTTGTCTCGTTGGTGTTTGTCCTTGACGAAGTCTGGGTTGTCAACTGCAGCCTGCATCCGACGGCAAAAGTCGATGCCTTGAGAGTAGTAAAGAGGTTGCAGCTGCTCGATTCCATCGCATGTGTTGTCGAGAAGCCAAGAAATCCTGTACCCTGATCAGCTTTGGTCTCCCCAGACCTTCGTGAAAGCCACTTACACGTCATTTGAGTCGACCATGGCCCCGAATGGCTTCTTTTTGAGGTCGAGAATACTTTGGTATACCTCGGGAGGGGCAAAGAAAGTCACGGACTGTGTCGTGCCAAGCTGTCTCAATCGCATGGCGGCTGTGATCATCCAGTTAGCTTCGAATCTTCAACGTACTCATGGCAGCGGAACTGATACACACCTTGAACAGTGTGGTCTTTGCTTTGGCCCAATCCGAGGGTTAGAGCACCTCGAGCAGATGGAGGAAACTTGAGATCGGTTCCTCTGGTATGAGCCTGTCTCCATGTTAGTACCCTGCAAAATTGACGCTGTGTTTCTGTCTCACCTCGTCCAAGTACACCAAGCATTTGCTGAGCTCGTCCGCGTACGGCGAGCCTAATAGGGGTGTCGTTCTGCCCGACCGTTGAATAATCATTGGCTTATTGCCTTTGTCGAAGAACAAGGCGGCAGGGGCTGTTTGGTCCACTGTCAACCACTGCTTTGCCAGTGTTTCGTTATCCATCTCCAAAATCTGGGCGCCTGCGTCGATAAGAATCTTGATATCGCGACGCTTCAGCTCCTGCAACAGATCTGATTCTGATGCTCTGGTGCCGCGGGGCCCAACTATCTTTTGGCACTCACGAGATCGAGCGTGGAGAAGGTACGTCAGGACTTCAGCATTCGTGTGTGAAAGACCCGAAAGGTCTTCCTGTCTGATTGTCAAGGGCAACATGGTTCGGTTGTCGTTCGTGCCACTGAAACCAGTCGTCAGCGCAGACAAATTGGGGCCACTATCAGTTTTTCCAGGCTCCTTCGTTCCCATTTTTTCGTCGTTTGCGTTGAGGGAGAACAGGGGAATGTCCCATCCATTGGACTGGAGCTTGACCTTGAACTGCTTGGCATGGTGAGGGAAGACGAAGTTGTTCATGAAATAGTCAATGACAACAACGTTGTATCGAAGAGCCCTCCATATCTCGGCAAGCTGTAGACTGTCGTCGACGTTGATCGAGTTCCAGGCTCTGAGGGACTCGGGAAAGTCATCGCTTGTCTGGGTCCATTTGTCGTACTCGGATGAGGGGTCATCAGATTTGAGCAGATGCTCGAGTGATTGGGTGAGCTGAGCAATGCTAACGCCATCATAGTAGAAAGCCAGACAGGTGAACAAGATTGCGACGTCTGGGTGTCCCCATTCCGACTGTTCACTGGGCACGCCTTTTGCGTGATAAGGTACCGCTATAGGGTCTCTGAGAGGATGCAACCCGTACTGGACATTCCATCTCTTCTTCAACGTCATCATTAGAATGCGATTCACCAGCACGCCTCGAAGCAGGTAGATCGTTTGCTTCAGGCTTGGCCGGTCGGGGCAAAGCTTACGAATACGCAGCTGAGTGTCTTCACGGGGTTTCTCGCTGATAAGAAAGTCCTTGACTGCAAGACGTTCAGCGATGTCAAGATTTTGCATGGGAAGAATCCCTCCGAGCCCTCGAAGCACATCCGTGGTAAGACGTCGAACAAGTTCCTCCTCGACATCTGATCGCAGGAAGAACAAGAGGGGAAATCCGCTATTTGAACGTCTTACCATTTCGATTGAGTTGGGAAATGCTTGTGCCAGGCTGTAGCAATGGCGATCCACTAGACGCAAAAGGTCTTGTGCGATTTGCCACCGATGAGGATGTCCATCCACAGTCATCTGAGAACCAGAAGGGTAGATGAGCTGAGTTCGGACAGCCAAAGTGTAGTCGGATTCGTCCAAGATGTCACGGCACCGTGTACGCAGCCAGGACTGAACGTTGATCATGGGTCCCACTTCAGACGTCCGGTTGTCGAGAAGACGTTGTAAGCCGCTCAGCATAAATGAGAGGTTATGCTCTGGCTGGCATACCATGACTCCAGCCTGCTTCATCATCATCAGATGCACTCGGTGGTACGCTCGAATGACATTCTCCTCCGTGGGCGTGCGACGTGAAAATGGAATGTGACGAACTTGTCGATCGAGCAGGCTGCCGAGTCTTGCTTGAAGTAGCTGCGCAGTCTGCAACAAGAGAGCCTTGGGAACGACGACTCGGACTAGGCTCTGACGATTCGCAAGCGAGGCAACTACCATGGGGATGATGCAAGAGGTTTTGCCTGTGTCCAGTTAGCAATAGAGATCACGCCAGCTGTTCGTCCGACTGAACCCGAGTGCTACAGACCTTGTCCCATATTCATCTGGAGAACGGAGTTGGTTCCGGACGCGGGGGAGATGGTAGCAAGCGCCACGTCAACCTGATCGGGCCGAATCATCAGATTTGCTTCAATCTCGAGAAGCAACCAGTCTGGGTGCTCGGATGGGTTCCAGTTGGAGTGCCCCTTGTTCGCCATCTCATCCAGATATCTCCCAGCATCGCCGCGCATGTTGGCGTGATTGAGACGCAGAGCTCGCTGTGTCCTTGTGATGGCGAGTCCGAAGTCTATCAATGTCTCCTGAACAAAGTCGCCAAGCAAAGCCGGTGCCGCTGTCGATCGCAGCTGCTCCAGAAGAGTTACTGTTGTCACCGCTGGCCAAAGCTGCCCTGCCTTGAGCCAACGAACACGCTGTGCTGAAAACTGCTCATCTGGTTGCTCGAGCGCCGCTTGGATGGTTAGGATGCGTCGCTGAATGGATAACAGCGAGGACGAAATCTCCCTGGAGATAAATGCCGGCGATGAGTCGCCAGCAGAACCCTCGGGGACTTCCGGGCAACAAAAGCTTCAAGGCTTTTCTGCAAGTCGTCTGCGTACTTCTGACGTACCAGTGACTTGGTATTTGCAAGGTTCGACACAATCTGCTTTAGCTCAGTGGTAGCGTCGTTCGAGGGAATAAGCGTTGTTTTTGACGACATCCAGCTAGGTGCAAGAACATTCGTGCCCGAACTACGAATGCTCGGAGATGGCAATTGGATTGGTTGATGAATGTGAGGAGGATGTCGGGGCAAGGCCGACGACTGATCAGTCTTGACAGCGGCCGATACCGCCATACTGGGCTGGGATCGCGCCGCTATGCTTTTTTCGACGGCTGGGAAGCTCTTCTTCAACAGGTCTGATCTCAAAGACGGTACTTCCCCGCCACGGAAGCGCTCTTGGAAGGTTTCCTCGGATGGAATGAAGCAAGGAGCCTCGTACCCGACGTCACGATGATGCCTGTTCAGAACGGCCTGAACCGCATCAAGATGTACCGAAAGATCCATGTTTTGGTATAGGCGTTTCCATTCGGGCCGGACGATGTTCAAAGCCCCTTCGATATCGACCAACAGGGACTTGGACAGCCCAACAATGCCTGGCTCGACACAGGGCCATTGTGAAAGCAAGAAGTTGGCCAGAAACTTGCAATCCTTATCAGCTCGTTGATTCCAGGCTGCTTTCTGCTCCCTCATCCGCCGGAGCTGCTTGGCGCTGGCAAACTTTTGGATGCTGTCACCATCGTCTCTTGGTGCAGGCGTCTTAAATTGCTCGATCATGCGCGTCAATTTGTCGAGCTGGGGGACTTGATTGGGCTGAAAAGTGTCATACTGTGGCCAGGGGGGCAGTTCAATCGTTTTCAATTCTTCAATTGTTGCAAACGCAACCAGTGTCTTGATGAGACCCACGTTAGCCTTCGCGCCATATGAAATAGGCGCCAGCAGAAACATAAGGGCAAAGAGACTTTGTCCTTGTCGACAGGACCGAACCAGAGATCCCCAACTCGATACAATCTCAAGGCAGAGGCGGTCGTTGAGTGAGACTTTGTCGAAAACATCCGTGTAGCCCCCAATCAGGTTGCTTTGGGAAAGCAGTTGGGCCAAATTGCTCGTCGTTACCAGTTTCTCTGGCCAAGTCCTTAGAAGATGAACAACCTCGAGAACTTGACAATGCCGGGCGTTCAGCGGTTTCATGCAGTCTCGAGGCGAGTAGACAAGGTCAATAGCCTTTGGGAGTTCCGTGGTATTGTCAAAAGGGCGCTCCCATAGCTGTCGGCGGACCCTGGCTCGATCGTGAAGGTGCCTGTCGCTAGCGAGCGACAACAAGCCGTGATCCCCGTCAAGGAGCGCGAAAGTTTGCAGCTCGGCCGATATGGAGACGATCTGCTCGATAAGGGGCCAGAACCTCTCATGCTGCACACTTTCGGTCAAGCTCTCATCCCAAAGATCTGTCTTCATGACTTTCAGGTTCATGGGGTAGTATACATGCCGTGGAGTGAGCTGGGCGATCTTGAAAAGAATTGCCACAGGACCGGTACGCAGGTGCGACCAGGGCTGACATATTCCGGAGTCGAGCCACTGCAATGCCTCCTCGGTGCCGGTTCGTCCTGTCAGCGGATCCGGGAATATCGACGATGTATATGCATGCAGTTGAGCCTTCATGTAGAGAAGCAGCGGCTCCGGGGCGGACTCGATGCGTCCCAAGTGTTTGTTGATGGAGAATTTTCCGTGTTCGCCGCTAGGAAGTACACGCACAAGCATGGTATCTCGCTCTCGTCTTGCCTCAACGGGTCCAAGAGGGACCAGAATGCTTCTCTGCTGCGGGTCACGGGGATTTCTGAAAACCAACTTGCTCTCAAGACCGTACCATGTCCCGGCATCTTGATCCAAGTCGATTTCGGATCCCAACTGGGGCGATTCAAGAAGTTGACGTGCATTGACGAAAAACATGAGTTGCAATCGTCTGATCTCCACCTGGAGGTGCTTCGCTGCCGGTTGGAACACGAGCAAGTGTCGTCGCATCTCGAAACCGTTGAATATTCTCGCGACGCGGTTGAACAAAGGGCTGTACGTGTCGACAATTCTGTCATTACCAGAATGACCGGGACGAGAGCAGGTTCTCAAATGGACGTGGAGGGTCCAGTTGCGATGACTGATGTTCCAGATATCGGCCGCAGACGAAATGAACACCTTGCCGCTGCGAAGGTCCAACCAGTGAAAGCAGTCGTCGATAAGGGGACCAGGGAGATCGTAAGAGTTCTTGCTGCGGAACACGTCCCTCTGGATTAGCTGCAGCCATTGCTGGCCCTTGGTCGCACGAATAACAATGGAACGAGAATCGTAACCGACATCGATGCGGTAGCCCCGGTGCTTCACTGTCAAAGCTACGTGTTTCAGTCAGCACCAAATCTTCAGCAGTCTTCGTGTTGTTGAATTGCATACTGTAGTCCATGCCCGGCATATCAGAAGGCCGCGTGAGCAGAGCTTGCTCTCCGAAGAGTTCCGTGAGGATAGTAGTGTGCTCGGGCAACTTGGGTAGTCTCTTTGGTTCCATTAGTTACACTTCCTTAGTAGTCAGTCTTTTGACAGTAACTTACTCCAAGAGGACGGTTATCGACGAGAAGTAGGCCAGTACAAGTGTTGTACTGTACCACCTGTATGCGCGCATCCCATCCATCATGTCCGTGTATCTCGCACGTAATCCACTCTGTTTGCTCTGTGCGAAGGGATGAAATCTGCCGTGGACGACCATCTGCTTCAGGCCATACAGTCATGATTGCCTTCCGGAAAACACCGGAAGAACGGATAATGGAGTTTCGGGCCAGGGATGACAACCGGTACGAAAGCTTCATGTCAGAGACGACCGCATGGCGAAGGACCTGAGGAAGTGCGCCAACATCAACCACCAGATTGTCCTGAACAGTGATGCATGACTCAATGTAAATCTGAAGTGCAGTATCATCCAGAACGGTGAATTGACTAGTGTGGATAATGTACGTGCGCTTGCAGAGAATTGCTGCCCAGAGGGCATACTGCTGACATCTCCGGGCGGTTTCATTGTCGCTCGCCTTGAAGGTCTCTGCTCGGAGCATCTCCACCCACCGAACGCAGATTTCGCGAGCTCGAACAATTGCGCCAAAAACCCTCAATGAGATATCTGGGTTCGTAGCCGTGAGCGCGTGGGTCCGCAGAAGAAGAGTAATGACAACGTCCATCAGATATGTTTCTCGCCAGTTCGCTTGGAGGCTTTCCAACCTTGCGCACAATTGCTCGATGATTCGGTCGCAAAAGTTTTGATCCCGGAAAACCCTGTGCATCATGCGTAGAACATCCCCCTTCTCATCCTCCGGTCCGCTTTGAAGCACCAGATGTGACACGAGAAGCATTGTGGCTTCGCTCGAGAAATTCAAGTTTGTCGAGCCAAGTTCAGTAAGCAGCACGATCCAGCGTTGAGCCTTCCCCGTCATGAGGGTTTGCATAGCGAGATATTCGTGGCTGTTGATTCCGGCAGGGCAACTCGACTGACTCGCCACAATCTCGTATGACGAAGGCCCCGGTCCGTCAAGGGCATAAGATCTTGTTCCCAAAAGTTTATTCCAGGGCGAGTTGTTCGGCAATAACATCGCGGTGTGGTGAGCGAAGGAGGGTCGGAACCTGGTGCGCCCTGTCCATGTCGAGGTGCGTTCATCGAAATAACCGAGTTTCAACGCGTTTGGTCTGCAAACTCCCTGTCGTCCTCCATCCCACTCAACCGGGAAGGGCACAGAGGTGTAATGAGTGGTTTGAACTAGCAGAAATGTCAGTATCTCGTTATCTGGGTCGTTTATGCAGGCAAAGAAAGTGGCCCTCGATAGTATAGAATGGAGGACTGGGGGCACAAGGGCAACAAAGAATAACTCACAAGGCTTGGTAGTAGAAGCTAGACCGACTTTCCGTTGACTCTGGCAGAAGAAAGGCTTCAGCTGCAAGTAGTCTCTCAACAGACACCGCGGCTGGATCCCTTGGTCGTTAAAGTGAGTAGCCAAGTATCGGAGCATCCACCAGGTCGTGTCTCGATAAATCGCGAATTCCGTGGGGCACGCTAGCTCGAAGATGACAGATTTCGCGGCAGTCGAATCCAGAGGCAAGGGCTCCTCGAAAATGGAGATGCGCATGTGCTGTGCAGTCCACATCATTGAACAGCGAGTACAGTCGGGGTCGTGTTGTTCTCGTGCATGGAGGCTATACCCATCAGCGATGTATGCGCAGGCACTCGTGTCGATCCGACTGATCAGATCATCGTATTCGCGACTCTTTTTCTTCCACTCCGTCTCCTTGCGGTCGCGCATATCGTTTGCCAGCTCGATGATTTCTTCGTGAAGCGCCTGGAGGGCTGAGGCATCAGTCGATTCACTATAGTATCGTTCGGCAAAGCAGCTGGGTGATGGATCCTCGAAGATGTTGCGGTGATCGGAGGCGGCCCTTGAAACGCGGGCAGATAAGATAGTCTGGAGGGAGCTAAGACGTGCCATGTCTGAGAATTGAGGTAAGAGTAGGACGTCAAGCATCTGGGGATGAAAAACTGGGTGAAACTCCTTCAGCAGAGGAAACAAATCGCAAGCGATTGAATCCATCTTTTGCCAAAGCTCCATGACGGTTAAAAGCATCAAACTCTTTTGTTCCGGGTTGTTCTCGTACATCGGCATAGCCGCATGGACATAATCGAAAATCTGGCGCGAGATCGTTGAGCAGCTTCCTGCCGCCGACGCAACCAGCTCCATCTCCTTATCGATCAACTTGTGGTAATTTTTGGCATATTGGCTGAGGTGGTCTTTGGCAGCCTCGACTGGGCCCTCGTTGGGGAGCTCTCGGTAGCGCTTACTAGTAGGGGCTCTGAACTTCTGGAGTATGTTTTTGATATGGCCATGACTAAGCTTCAAACTGAGGTGAAGATCCTGCGCAGGTGCCCTTCTCGGGAGCACGGGGATTTGTTTAGCCAGCGAGAGTTTGTCCTTGGCCAGCTCGTGCTGGAGAGCGGCTGAGCATCTATCAATGGACTCGTTGAACTTGGGGCCGAGACAACCGAACAGATAATTGTACCGCGAAACGGCCTCCTTGTCTTGGCAGTGGCTTTTGTCTAGGTCGAGTTTGATCAGTCGGCGACAAATCTTCTTCTTGAGGAAGTGAGTTCGTTCCACGCCAATGTGGTGGGCGGGGCTGTCATTGAGGAAAGCGGCCAGGATGACGGTGACGAAGAACTTGTACTCCAAGCGGCCTTGCTCCTGACCCAATGCGAAGACAAGATACCGTTGTATGGCGACACGAAGGACGAGGTAAATCGACAGTCTACGCCAGGGCTTCTTGGCATGGTCCCAGCAGACGTCATCACGCACGCGTTTTCTGAGCAGTTGGGGAGCGATTCTCCGGCCGTTCTCTTCGAGAATGGCCATCAAAAGGGAGGTAATGATGGAAGGATTGCCAGTGTTGCGATACTCGAAGACAGTAGCGCCAGCTTTGAAAGCGTGGGCGGCGAAGTCCTTGACGGTTTCCAAGGACGCCTGTTCGATGAAATTGGCAAGGTTCAGCCGAAAATCCTCATCGGTAAAAGTGGTGTAGGGGACAGCGACGGCAATGCCAGGGAAGTCCCAAACCAGGGCGTTCTTTGCGGCAAGGACGTTCTCATTCTTGGCGGAGGCTTCGAACGCCTCGAATACGACACTGTCCTTGAAGACGGGACTGTTTTACTCGACTGGTCAGTTGAGTTAGTTTGGCACGGAAGATTGAGAAACTGACTCTGGAGCCCTGCGGATGATAAGACCGGCATTCTGGGTCTCGATGTGGAGGATGATGCAGCCTGATGGGCCGAGGAGCTCGAGCTCACGGGCCAGGGTAGCCTTGTCGATCCGGCCACCTTGATACAGGTCCTCGCACGCGACGAGCGTCTGTTGAACGGATTCCCAGGCGCCGCGGTACGTTTTGGCGTTGTCAGGAAGGAGAGACATGATTCGGGTAGCGGCGGCCATCCGTTTGAAGAGGGTTTTCTCGATGAGGTTGGTTTGCTCATCGGTATCTCGTTGCTGGGGGAGCTTCGCGGGCAAAACCAGGTGGTTGTACAGCGCGCCATGAATGGCCGCCGGGGAATCCAGCGACGCATCCATGGCTGCGAGGGAATGTTGAGCTGCGTACCTCGTAGTGGTTTTGCTGGTGTGGTAAACGATCACAAAGGGCGGTTATCTGTGCGTAGAGGATGGAAAGATGATGTGGGGGAGAAGAAGAAGAGAAAAACAAGCCCAAATTGCAAGTCGAATAGGGGAAGATGGGAAAGGGAAGGTGAGGTGCGGGAAAGGGTGAGGAAGGTGCGAAATGTGGAGACTGAAGATGCGGTTGAGGAAGGGACGGCCCGGGAGGCAGGCACACTCAGGTAGGCAGGCAGCCGTGTGGACAAATGAAAAGATGGGAACGATTACCGAATAATCCGAGTGGGATCCTGTTCTTTCGTTTGGAACGATACGGTGAACTAGAAGGAACATGAACGAAGAAGGACGACAAGGACGAGGAAAAGCACAGAAAGAACAGCAATAGTAATATGCACGCCTGATAAAGATGGAAGGCACAAAAACGACCATGAGAGCATCAGTGAGCCATAATTAAAGAAAACCACAGACGGATACATAAGATAGATACAAGCCCGCGTGTTTAGTTGATGAAGATTCTGTTGGTGATGAGCGGTAGTAGAATTACCAGGTAGGTATCTACAATCCCTGGTTTCCGGGACGTGTTTCCGCGACGTGTTTCCGCCTCATCGAGGTCATTTGCCACTGTTTCGGCTTAATCAATACATCTAACTTACTGATAGCACTAGAAAAACATGAGGCATGTCCGGCGCCGGTCAACGAGATGGAACCCGTGGTCCGGAGCAGCATCGGCGAGGTACACGGCGGATGCCATTATGCTGTTACAATTCACGCTGTAGCCGTGATAGATGTACTCACGGCATACACATTCAACGAACGAGAGTGATCCCATGTGCAAATAGCTCAGCTTCTTCCGAGGCCTCCAGCAGAACCCTCATCTTCGGGGGGGGCTGCTGCGGCTGGACCTGACGGCATTTCGATACGGTGGTTTGGCGTCGTCGCGTTGGTTTACGCGAAGTTGCACGGACGTTGCAAACAAGTCCACTACCTACAAGGATGTGCGGCTGATTATGTCATTGAATGTGTGTGTTTCAGGGCGTCAGCCACAATCTTGCCACTATGAACCAGCCACAAGACAGCCGAAACCCAAGATTCTCAGGCGAACGGCCCCGAACAGTCAAACCCACTCAAACTGCCGAAGCCCCTGCCGATGTCGCCGCAATATGAGAATTCAATACTGCTAAGGAGCTTCGGATCTAGGGTGACCGCATACAAACCTCATACCGTTCAATACCAGTCAAAATTCACTGAAAGATAACCACAATCAATCTCTATAGGCTTTCCTGAATGACCCGCGCGGCCCATGCCTGCGTCGCTGTGACTTGCTCTCAGCCTCTGGTTCAATTAATTAGTGCCTAGTATGGCTTTGGAGCATCGACCGGCAAGGTTGGAAATAGATACGCTCTATTCCCGGAGTACACCAAGCACGCCTCTGCAACATCGGACTGGAGCATATTAAAGCGACACTTAGTGCAGCCTGGTGAGTTGAGCGACTGATGCCGCCCATTTAGTCCGTCTCTCGATGCGTCACTTCTGGTATACAACACAAGTATACCGCAATAACCAAACACTAACGCTAGTCCTTACGCCTTTCAGACTTCGCGTAAAGTACTGCGCTGTCGCGGAGCTTCCAGATCATTGATGACTGCGGTATGGCGTGTGCGGGAAAGTGCCTGAAATACTCATCAGCACGCCATCACTTGCGCAACTGCATATATTGGACACGATTATGCTGAACCTTGGTCCTTGAATCTAACGAGTAAGTACCACATAGGATTGTCATAGACTGTAGATTTGTGGTTTCCTCCCGTACTTAGGCTGAAGCGGGACGAGGCCAGCTTGCAAGCTTTGAATATGAATCGCTACATTAACCGGGCTAAAAGTATGAGTTGTTTTAGCTCTTTACCACAAGAACCAGAAGCAACATCGTTTTATTTTAGAAAAGCTTCTTGGGTAGACTGCTTACAAAATACTGTTTACCAAGATGCTTCATTCCTCCTACCCCTCTTAAGGATTTGAACGAATGAGCTGGTCCACATATGAGTTTCACAAGGGTGTAACCAACTAGCCATAAGCATTGTTTCTGTCCGCTCGACTCGTTCAACCCCACTTTCTTATTAGTTCCCCTACTTATGATGCGTAAAAGTTATGTACAACGCATGCACTGTGACGGGAACCCCTTTCTCAACCCTAGACCAGCCAGCCACTCCTACTGATAGGTTTGAGCAACAGGAAAGCAACCCAATACTTGCCTGTGTGACGAAGAATGAAACTTCTTCAAGTTATCTAGGTGAAATTGACTGCATCACTTATCGCTAATCATTTTACCACAGGCCATGATTGACAGGTGCTGTTGAAAGTTTCAATTTGTCCCAATTACCCTGCGATATCAAGAGCTGCTACGAACGCCAAATATAAGATAATCTAATCGCTTCATGAATCATGCCCCGCTCAACACCACATCATCAGAAAGCAATCGCCTCATCAAGGCACATCTTCCTGTCGTCCATCCTGCCCTTACTCCTGCTACAGCACTCTATCGCCGAGCAAAGCTGTGCATCATTCTGGCTCACCGCGGCAGTCTTGGGCACCTGCTGCTGGGCCGGCCAAATCTCGGCACCCGCCTGCTGCTCCTTCTTCCAGTGTTCGGTGATGATCTCGCGCACCGTCTTCTGGAAGAACAGGGGACCCTTCTCCATCTCCGGATGCAGCTCACCGTTAACAAAGATGCCGGCGTTGATGTTCTTCTGGGCGTTGGCGCAGAGATACTTGTCCTCGGACATGATGCGCTTGTACATGTCGCTGATGACGTTGAAGTCGGCATCGCTCGAGTTCTTGTTGCGGTAGACTTCGTAGCGCATCTCCGACTTACCAGGTCCGTTGGGAACGAATCGTTGGATGAAGAAGAAGTGTGGTCTTGTGAGTGTTAGCGGTCATCAAGTGACACGAGCAACGGATGAGACGCTTACGAAACGTTCATGGAGGCATTGGGCCAGAAGTAGGTGGCGGCAACACGGAATCCCTTGGCAATCTGCTCCTCTGTGGGCTGGCCAAAGTGCTGAATGTACGCGTTCTGAGTGTTGACGTAGTAGGAGTTGAGGTCGGCGATGGAGGGGATGTCCGGGTGTGCAGTAGGGCAGTGGTAGCACTCGTTGTAGTTGTCGGCTAGGATCTTCCAGTTCCACTCACCCTCCATTTCCCAGTGGTGGTCGAAAACGTAGTCTTCAAAGTTGTAGTGCTGAAACCTCTCCTGCTCGTCGATGCCCAGGAAGTCATCATTCCAGGCGATCTCGGGCTTCTCCCCGGCATCGAGGTTGACCCAGATGAAGCCATTGCGATCGATGTGGACGTGAATGGGGAAGAGGTTGTTCTGGGACTTGTCGAAGCCGGCGAGATCCTGGTATCCAGGGGCCTTGGCGAGGTTGCCGCTGAGGCCGTAGGACCATCCATGGTATTTGCAGGAGAAAGTGTAGCTGTTGCCCTCTTCTTTGGTGACAACCGGAAAGGCACGGTGGCGGCAGATGTTGTGCATAGCATTGATGTTTCCTTTTCTGTCCTGGACGATGATGAACTGGTAGCCGGCAACGTCATAGCGGACCCAATCGCCTGGGTTGGGGATTCTGGCCTTGTGGGTTGTGAGGAGCCATTTCCTGGAGAAGATGGCACGGCGCTCAAGCTCGTACATCTCCTGAGATGTGTACCAGGATGCAGGGAGAGCTCTGACGGGGGCCTTTTCCTCCTGGGTGGGCGTGGAGCCGCCGAAGCCAAAGTAATTCTTGAACAGTGACATTGCTACTAGTCTGGCAAAGCTGGTGTAAGAGGACTCGCTGATGGGAGACGAGAGAATTGAAATTGGAGCTAGAGCTCGGTAGTGATGATCTGATGAGTGTGGTCTGATTTGTGTTATCTAGAACCTTATGCTCAGAGACGGTGGTCCTTCTATATAGTCATGATAAACCAGGGCGGCCCATCAAGTCCGCTCTTCACCCTCCCGTATCTCTTAGTCTGGAACCCCAGTGTTTGGGCCGGCTCATCAAGTCCGGGCTTCACCCTCCCAGATCTCTTGGTCTGGAAACCCAGTGTTTGGGCCGGCCGGTGCTCGATGTCGCACACCGAATGCCTCTGACAATTCCGGACGCCCAAAGCCATCAGCTGGCTATCGATGCGGTCGCGGTACCGATCACATGACCGGCAGCAGGGCTCGCGGGGCCGATTAGTTTGCCAAACGCCATGGTGTGGGAAATACGGACCGAGCCGCGCTATGATGGGGTCTTTGAGGGTAGTGGAGGCAAGTTTCGTCCATGATGCGCTGCTGATGCAGAGCCCACCCCCGGGAGTCTAGACTTCATGCTTAGGGCGTGGTCCGGCTATCCATCTCTGAAGATCCTGCCCACTGACACACGCACCTTAAGTTGTCCCATCCATGCTTATCACTGCTTCAACCATTCATTGTTCTCAAAAGCTCCCCCGGCCTGTGGGGCGAGCTTCTACCACACATCTGCCGCTGACGACTATCCTTACCGAATCTGGCAACTTTTCACTGAGCATTCTTCATTGGGCGCCCCTAGGCCCCGCATCATGGACGCCCAGGCGGTTTTCTTGCTCCATTGGCACTTGACAGAACACGTTGTTTTCAGCCCGTCCCTCATCTAATATGCTAGCGACGTAATATCTGAATATATAGGGTCTCATTGGCAATGCTAAAGCACTGTGTTCGTCCCATTCGCTGCACGCTGCACAGCTCATAGCGCCTTGGCATCGTGACTCCGTCCATGAGTTGTAGACCGGTCTCCCTCACCAGCCATAAGACAACACAACTGAATACGTTTGTAACAAGCCGGCGATTTCTCAAGTCCGCCGAACACTCTGTGCCCCTTGTAACGGGGGTGCAGCTGCCGACGAGTCAACGACCATGTCACACACACAAATACGCATACACACCAAGGGTCCTTCGTATCTACCATGATGGTGTTGTCCGTATCTGATGTTTATGGTAATGGCTGCTAAGTTGAGAACATTAGGGTAAGGATCAATGCCTTACCTGAGGCGCGCCCAGGGCCTTATCATCATACACCCGGGGGATCCCTGATGAGTGTCTCTCGGTAGGGGGCGATCCATCGCAAACCAACACAACAGGTCAACCAGCTCCCATGATCAGCCTGTAACTCGAGATAAACCTGCATGAAAGCATTTCTATTCCAGCCCACAGCCATCATGATCTGGTGATTACCGAGTCTTGGGATGAAGGACAGGCTGGGCACCCGGATGACCAGCGTTATCACGTGATCGGCATCCGGGAACTCTGCCGATATCGGGACCCCATCAGCTCTTGGAGGCGGGGGCCACCACACGGGTTACCGATAAGTAAACCGTCGTCTGGCATCGTGTAAAGAGACGATACAAGACGTTCGCTGTATAATCTAATATATTGGGCCCCGTCTCTCCGTACCGTCCTGAAGAGGCCCGACCGTCTTGTGATCTCACTTGCCTTGCTGCAAGAACCCCCTTTTGAACAGTTTCCCGCCCTCTCCGCCGATCCATGTCATTCTACTTTTTCAATAAGATGGCCCAAAACAAACCCTCCTATCTTATTGTCGGCGCTGGTGTGTTTGGTGTGTCTACCGCCTATCACCTTATCAAGAAGTACCCCGATGCATCCGTGACCCTTGTCGACAAGGATGCCTTCGACGCCGACGAGCGCGTGGCCGCCTCATGGGACTGGAACAAGGTGGTCCGCGCCGACTACGACGATTTCACATATTGCCAACTAGCCCTGGAAGCCCAAGACATATTCAAAAGTGACCCGCTCTGGAAGCCTTATTTTCACCAGACGGGAGTCTACTGGATCTGCCGCAGCGACTACGCGCAGAATGTCATTGACCACCACAAGAGACTCGGCCGCAAGGACGACATCATTGCCTTGCCAGTTTCAGAGGCCCGCAAGCTTTACAGCGGTCTCTTTGAAGATGCTGATTATTCCGGGGCCAAGGAGGTGCTCATCAACCGCGCGAGTGGTTGGGCGGCTGCTGGAGATTGTTTGCGCGCCGTCACCCGTGAAGCCCTGAGGTTAGGTGTCAAGTACGTGACCGCGGAAACTGCATCTCTCGAGTTTGATCAGCGTGGGAACTGCACGGGCATCAAGACGACAACAGGTGAGACATTAACGGCTGACCACACCATTCTTTCCACGGGGGCGTACACTCCTAAGCTGTTGGAGTTGAGCGCAGCAAAGAGCGGTCTGTCCAACCTCCGTGCTGGCGATCGTATTCTGGCAGCGGGCATCACTACGGGGATGGCAGAGCTTGACGAAGAAGAGTGCAAAAAGTATGCAAACATGCCCGTTGGGTTTCAGGGTTATACAGGACATGGTGCGTTTTCCTGGTCTCCGCAAATGTCGTGCTGAGACGAACCACTCACGATGCACCAGGCAAGCCCTTCATTGGCAGCATCCCGCCGACGAAGGATAGGGAGCTAAAGTGGTGGGGAGCCAAGATCTTCTCCAACACCAAGGAAATTCTGCCTGGCCGCCACGTTTCTGCGCCTCCACCGGCTAAAGACTACAGCCAGTGGAAGGTCTCTCGGCGGCTGAAAGAAGACATCGCCGAGCAGAGGAATCTTTGGTACGGAAGTAAGAGTGCGGACTGGAAGATGACCAAGCACCGCATCTGCTGGTAGGTGATGTCGCCGCGTTTGTGTCCCGAGCCACTCTGCTGACGTTACAAAGGGATGCCTTCACAACCAGTTCAGACTTCATCATCTCACCGCACTCGGCTGCCAAAGGCCTATATATCGCAACTTGCGGCTCCTTCCACGGGTTCAAGTTCTTCCCCGTGCTTGGCAAGTATGTCATTCAGATGCTAGAAGACTCGCTGTCTCCTGAGCTGAAGACGAGGTGGGCTTGGGATCGCGAACGCCCAGATCACTTGCAGAATCCCGAGTATCCCAACTCCGAGCTGAGCGATCTTGTGGATCCGGTGTCAAAGTTGTAGTCTTTCGAGCGACTGGTTTACGTGGCTGCAAGAGTATAGACCAACGGCGCACTTACATAGGAGTGGAGTTTCTTGTTAATCCAAGGTTTATAAGAGGACGCCGTTCCACTCCGCACCGTGTGTACACAAGGTAGGCTGCACGATGATTCATGGCAAGTGGGTAACAGCATGCGCATTACCTGAGTTATAATAGCTCGTTAAGCGAGTACCGGTGACTGGTCAAAGTGCAACGGAACGCTTTCAGTATTGGAACTATCAACGAGCGACTAGAGGGCATCGGTAACGTGAAGGGGACCCTGAGTTGCGTATGCGCACAATTCCGAGACTTCGGGCGGTTCGGCAGTTCGGCATCTTGGTGGTGCATATACATCGACATGATCAATTCCAAGTTCTCTGTACCCAAGCGGCGCGGAAGATTAGGCAGGGCCCGAAACCAAGGGGCAGTTGCAAATCCGTTAGGTTGCAATCGGTTTCCGACAAACTGCATGCGCTGATGGTGGCTGACGATTGACATTGAACTTGTTGGCGGGAAGATGATGTTGAATCGTGATGAGCTGTCGATCTTGCAAGGTTGGCTTACCGAGATCTGAGTGATAACCCACGTGATCCCGGTTATAGTCTTAAATACTCTTATCTCTTCCGATTCCCGTTGTTGGTGCTCCGCTGTCCCTTATCGAAAGGTAGCCTTGCCTAGGGTGGGCTAGTCTGGGAAGAGGGGGATGCATGGTGACGGGGTCCCCTCACTTATCGGATTAGCCCGTATGGTGCGGGGTTCGTGGCAAGGGGTGTTTGTTACTTATGAATAGAAAGTATTTAGCGGAGGCGCGCACTCTTTCTGGGCTTTTCTCAGTGAGTTTTTTGTCTCCCCGGCCTTGAGATCCGTCAATGACATGCCGCCAGAGGAGGGGTCCATCACTTCAGCCAGCTTGAGGGGGAGAAGACGTTCACATCATGCCTGTCTCACTTGCAGGTCTGCGCTCATCCCGAGAGGCTTATGTTTCTTCTGGATGCATGCTGACCGATGCTGTAGGAGGAAAAAGACCCGTTGTCCAGGCGAGAAGCCGGCGTGCTCCAGCTGCGTCCGGCTCTCGCAGTCATGTTCTTATCCCGTCGTGAGGCCATCGCAAAGCGGGAGATCGGTAGGTCCACCACCTACGCCTCAAACTACTGATGGCAGACGCCTTACCACCGATAGGATGAGAGACTGCAAACTTTGGAAGAGAAACTGGATCTCCTCCTCAGTGGAGGGGGCTTGTAATACGGCACCGCACACGAACATGCTACGTTCAGACCATCTGACCGGGTTCTTAGACCGAACCACCACGCTCTTCAAGGACAAACGCAACAGCAGGCCCCGTACGAAGAAATCACCGATGCGTCGGAAAAGTCATACTCAGTAACGCCGCCGTCCCGCAACAATAGGCCGAACTATCCGACCGACAACAGCAACAACTCATCCGTCGTGTTTGATCCGGATGATATGGCCACAGGCATCAACCTCTACTTTAAGTATTGTCATCGGCAGCCGATTTGGTGCTTTGAAAGGGATGAAGTTGGCGACTATAACTCCCTTCCGGAGGAACTCGCCAGCAGCATCCTGGCGCTGACGTCGCGATTTTCTGACAAGCGAGACCACATGCAACTCTACAGCAGCAATGCGAAAACTTTGATCATGCTCCGTATTGCGAACGGCACGGTGGACATCACGACTATCGAGAGCTTGTGTCTTTTGTCTTACGCATCATTTATAGGTGAGTATCGGCTGCAGGACCGGGACATAGTCTCGAAGCTGACCATGTAGATGGCAACGTTCACCTCGGCCAATTTCATCTTGGCCTTTCTCTCCAACTTTGTCGGTCCGCTATGCTAGACATGGAGTCAGTCTACGCCGCCGATGACCCAACAACTGACCGCAAAAAGAGGTTATTCTGGAGTCTGCAAGTGCTGGAGCAATCCTACGGCCGGCAAGATGGGCTTTTGAGCCTCCCAAACGACGTGAGACGGCCCACGCTACCAGCAAGCGGAAATCAGATGGAGCAGGAACCCTCCAAGGCACCACCACTACCGAGGGACGAGCTTGGCACGTCAACACCAAGCGAACCGGGAATCTGGAACACGAGCGTCTGCTTGGGATGGGTTTGGAGCCAGGTCAGAAAGTACGTCTCCGATTGCGCACACAACATTCTGAAGGAACCCTGGCGGCACGACTCCACATACGCCAAGGTGCTCTCGGACTTCATGGAGACGGAGAACAGGATCCCCATGTGCCACCGCTACGACTCGGTCAAGTTTTACGAACGGAAGATGGAAGAGCTGAAGATGAACCGGGACTATTGGGCGCCATGGCTGAAAGAGCAGTTCACGTACCATGCGATACCAACCGTCTTAAACCATCCCTTCCTCTACATTGTTGGAGCCCAACACAACCCAAATTTGGGTATTCCAAACACATTCTGGAGGAGGTCATCGGAGCAGGCACTCCTCCACGCGACCTGGATCGTTCGGATGATAGACATGGTCGTGGACAAACAGGTGCCGCTGGTGGACCCGTTCTTTGGACACGTTGCAGCGATTGCGGCTACTGTGCATCTCTACTACTGCTGCGCCGCGGCGGCGAGACTGAAGCACAAATCCAACACCGATTTTGCCAAGTGCAGGCGGTTTCTAAAAAGCTTCATACCATGTTCTGCAGCCTGCGGTGCGCTGGTGAGTGAACACCATTGCCATGTTCTTGTGAAGACTTGTTGACTGACGCTATTCAGGATCGGAACCTAGACAGGATGACGCGTATCGCCGCAGGGAGCGAAAACATGGACGTCGAAGACTGGATGCCGTCCAAGATCTACCTCAGCGTCCCGCTGATGTGGGAGATCCTGCAGTTCAACTCCACGGCAGACTCGCAGGAGATCCCCAGCGCTGGTCTTCTGGACGCATCCCTCACGCCCGCAGTGCCGCCTGTGGACACGAGTGATAGCTCGACTCTTGAGATCATCGTCGCCACCTCACCGGAGATCACGATCAACATCGCAGACGGAGGCCAAGAGGCGCCGACGTCGTCATACAAGAGGCCGCCGATATCATCGGGGCAGGGCAACTCGACAACCACGACCACAACCACAACAACAGCAGCACCATCGTCATCGAGGGGGGCTGTGTTCGACCCGCCGACTGTCGAACAAATTGATAGTCTGACATTTAACACGACGCCTTGGTTGTATGCGGATCCATCGCAGCTGGTAGGCATCGGGGATATGAGCTACCCGCAGTCAGAACCAGGCAACGCATGGTGGGAAGGTGAGAACTTTAACAATATCATGTTTAATCAACTCTAGCAATGACCACTCTTTCATGCCCTAATTAATCTCCGTTTCTAAGATGGCTTGATGACAAGCATGGACTTGCGTGTGAACAATGCTGGTATGTCTCGAATGCGGGGCCAAGCATCATAACGCAGTCGGGACAGAGTGACGGGGGAGCCCTACTATAATTGCATCACCAGAACAGGAGAGCGCTGCGGTGAGAAACACTGATGCACAGGTCGCTTTCCGGTCGTGGCTCATGATGCTTCGGTCAGAGGCTACCCAATGGCCGATATTAGCCACAGCATGACTTCAAGCTGTTACGGCGACATCGTTGCGCCAAGCAAGAGGCCGCGACAGGATTGATATTAGGTAACATGATTCTTCATCCTTACCTCACTGTAAACCCACATCCATGCACAACAACGCAAGGCGGCTCACGCACTCGGAGCGGCGCTCCTGGTGATTCCCCAAATGCGGTGGATCATGCGGGGAAGAGCAGGGATCAAGCTGCCGTCTTAGACGATTCTGGTGAAGACGGGCAACGGGTGGTGACTGTTGGGGCAGCTGGGGTCGGAGCCCTGTTAGCATTGGCTTCGGAGTGATAGGTCCGATCGAAGTGTTCTAGACTCGGCGGTTTAGTTCAAGTTGGCACATGGTCCAAGGATCCGGTCTCAGAAGAGCGTGCTCGCATCGTGGCAATCAAAGGGTCTGCGGCAATCGGTCGGAGGGGTAAAGGGGGGTTCATCTCCTTGGGCGTCCCCTCAGTGGCCACCCCTTCAAGTCGTCGAACCACCGCAGTTTACCTCTGCCATGCATGCCAAAATCCAGGGTCCTGAGCCAGACCGTTTTGACTCAGTGGTAGAATTCCGAGCCTTACTGTTTCCGTGCGGGTGCATTTGCAAAAGAAACCGTCCTCGCATGGGGTTCTGCTCCGCTGCACATTCCAAGAGCACTGTCACTGCTAGTCACACCTAGATGCAGGATGCAGTGTGAGTGGTGCAGACACACCACCAGTTTTTGTTTCGAACCCCAATCTCTCAATCGCATCTCCAAAGGTTTGGAAAACCACTTCTATACTGTATCCTCGGCGGCGATAACGATAGCCGTTTCCTTTCCTTAAACTATTCATGACTTGCAAGGGGTATGACTCGAGAAAGGCTATGGAGTCGAAGATGCTGGGTCTCAGCTCGAAGCGCCATGCTGCCCATGCACGTTGGAGTTTGGTTTACATGCCAACACACCATCAGGGATGCCAAGTGCATGGAGGCTCCTCCAATACCAGTCTGACAACGGTCATCAATGATAAGCGCTGCTGTTGAGTCACGGCTAAGGGGCTCACAGTCGTTTCCGATGTCCGGGGTCCTACGCTGCAAACCGCGGTGCCTAGCACATCCCCGTGTTGGGATGCCGCTATGTAGGTTTACTGTTTGGTTGTGTCGTGCTTGGGCCCGTCGGTGTGGACCGTCATTAACCTGCACATCGCAGGTCTTTCAGCAAAGTCAAACAAGCTATGAGCTGCTGCGATTCGGGCAGCAGTGTGTCGCAGTAGCACCACCCTAAGCCAAACGAGCCTAAGCGAAGACACACTGAGCCGTTGATCCGTCATGCCAAAGTTGATCCCATGTCATGACACGGGCCACTGTTCTTTATGCAAACTCAATCTCAGAGATAAGTGCATCAACGTGCTTTGCTACATACAGTGTTTATCGCGAGAAGAAAGAAGGGCGGATGGGCACAAATGATTGCTGTCCAATATCCGTCGACGAGGATCTACTTGATGCCCAATGGCAGGAAGAAACGTCAAGCACTCCGTCCGGATCCGTTGACGTTATCTCCATTGTGATGATCATGTAGGGCGTCAGGCAGATCGCGATGACATTGATAAGACCCAACACCTCGAAGATGTGCGGCAGGGTAGCGGACAAGCGACCGAGCTCGGAGCGGAGGGCCTCGCCCGCCCGGCTTCGCTCGCCAAACCCCTCGGGTTGTGAAACAAAATGGCCAGGAAACCTAAGCATTCGAGCCGTGTGCACGGCGTTTGCTATCTCTGGTTGCAAAGGTGATCACGTCGTGGCCGAATCAGGCGTAAGTGAAGACTATGTGACGATAAGCCTTGATGTTGTGTTGGTGTTGGAGGTGACGGGTTTGGCCACGCGCGTCCGGCAACGCGGGCGGCATCGGCGTCAAGAAACCGATCATGTGACCGCGAGCTTGGAGATACCGGGCCCTATCCGGCTGCTGCTATCAATAGCAAGTTTATTCCCCTGTTTCCGCGTTCTCCACAGGGCGACGATGCTAGGCTGCATCGGGATAATGGAGACGGCCACGGTGACTTATAAGTCGTTCTGCAACTGTACACAGCAACTTCGAGATGGCATCAACAGACGGTCCTTCATACTCGTAACTCATTAGCAAATCCCGTTTATTTGGCACCATAAACTAGTGCATTTTGAACGGGTCTCTCAGTTATGGATCCCTCGCAGCGCGTTGTCATCATCGGGGCCGGCATAGTCGGCACCAACATCGCTGACGAGCTGGTCTCGCGGGGGTGGTCCAACATCACCGTGCTCGAACAGGGGCCGCTGAGCATGCCGGGCGGCTCAACGTCTCACGCCCCCGGCCTCGTATTTCAGACAACCGGCTCCAAAACGCTCAGCTCATTTGCGAAGTACACTGTCCAAAAACTATTGTCTATAGAATGCTTCAACCAGGTCGGCGGCCTCGAGGTAGCAGAAACACCCGAGAGACTCGAGGAGCTCAAGCGCAAACACGGATACGCCTCTTCCTGGGGCATCGATGCGCATCTTCTGACCGCCGAGGAGTGCAAGAAGATCTACCCCCTTCTGAGCACCGATGTGGTGCTTGGCGGGCTGCACATCCCAACTGACGGTCTGGCATTGGCCGCCCGTGCCGTCCAGATGCTTATCGAACGCACCCGCAAAGCCGGCGTCCGTTATCTTGAACACACCCTGGTCACCGGTATCGAGCGGAGCGAAGGCCGTGTCACGGGAGTACAGACGAGGAACGGCATCATCCCCGCCGATCTCGTCCTCTCATGTGCCGGCTTATGGGGTGTAGAGGTGGGCGCCATGGTTGACCTGCCCATTCCACTTCTCCCCGTCGGACATCAATATGCAAAGACAACACCGGTGCCAGCGCAGAAGGGGAAGAACCTGCCCACGAACGGCGCGCAGCTCCCGATCCTCCGTCATCAGGACCGGGACCTTTACTATCGTGAACACGGTGAACAGTACGGCATTGGCTATTACGGCCACCGCCCTATGCCAGTGGTTGCCGCTTCGTTGGGCGAGACGCCCAAGCAAGTTGATGAGCATAACATGCCATCTCGCCTTGATTTCACTCCTGATGATTTTGCGCCGGCGTGGGAGCTTACTAAAAAGCTTCTTCCTGCGCTTGGAGAGAGCCAGATCGAGTATGGCTTCAACGGCATCATGTCTTTTACCCCGGACGGCGGGCCCCTCGTCGGTATGGCACCCAACCTGGAGGGTTTCTTCGTTGCCGAAGCCGTTTGGGTGACACACTCTGCGGGCGTCGCACGCGCAGTTGCACAACTCCTCACTACCGGAACGTCTGAGGTTGATCTTTCCGAGTGTGACATCTCGCGCTTCGAGCAGGTCCAGCTCGCGCCTGAGTACGTCAAAGAGGTCTCAACCCAGAACTTTGTCGAGGTCTACGACATTCTGCATCCCTTACAGCCACGCGAGTCACCTCGCAACCTCCGTGTCAGTCCTTTTCACGCTCGCCAAAAAGAACTTGGTGCTTACTTCCTCGAGGCTGGTGGTTGGGAGCGCCCGCAATGGTTTGAGGCCAATGTGAACCTCTTGAGCCAGTTGCCGGAGAAATGGAAGCCCAAAGAACGCGACACATGGTCTGCTAGGTACTACTCGCCAATTGCTGCCGCGGAAGCGTGGAAGACACGGACCGCCGCGGCCATGTACGACCTCACGCCAATTCGCCGTCTGGAGGTTTCTGGACCAGGAGCAGTTGATCTACTGCAACGTTTGACCACGAGTAACGTTGCCAAGAAGCCTGGAACCGTCACCTTTACTCTCCTCCTGAATGAGCAGGGAAGCATTCTCAGCGATATCTTTGTCGCCAGGCTCCGTGACGATCTGTTCCAACTAGCCGTCAATGGCCCTGTCGACCTTGCTTACTTGTCTCGGGAAGCGCGTCGTCAAGTGAAAGCATCTCCGGCAAGATTTGTCCAGGTGCGCGAGACCACGGGCGGTACTGGTGGTATTGGGCTCTGGGGTCCTCGCGCTGCCGACGTTATCGCTGGCATCAGCTCGGACAACCTCAAAGACATGCCTCATTCCCACGTCAAGTCGGCCATCATCTCCGGCATTCCTGTCACTGTTATAAGTCTGTCATTTGTCGGCGAATCAGGATGGGAGATCTACACAAGTGCCGAGAACAGCCTGCGCCTCTGGGATATTATTTGGCAGGCCGGCAAGCCCCATGGGATCATCGCAGCTGGTCGAAGCGCGTTCAGCGCTCTTCGGTTGGAGACAGGATTCCGGACTTACGGTGCCGACATCACCACTGAGCACAACCCGTTCGAGGCCGGCCTTGAGTTCGCCATCGATCCGGAGAAGCAGGGCTACATCGGTCATGATTCTATCAAAAGACTTTCGAAAGAGAGGACATCTAGGAAACTGCGGCGCCTCACCGTCAATGACGGCCGCTCGGTCGTCTTAGGTAAGGAACCCGTGTTCTTGGACGGGAAAGCAGTCGGCTACGTCACAAATGCCGCCTTTGGATACACTATCAACAAGCCCATTGCTTATACATATCTGCCCAGCACCGTGAATGAGGGTACTTGCGTTGAAATTGAGTACTTTGGGCGGCGGATCAAGGCTACCGTTACCGCAGAGCCATTACACAAAGTTTCAGGAGGCGTAATGTCAGCTGACCCACCTCTCAGGCGTGTGACCATCAGGTCACGCCTGTGATTACGGAAGCATTATGAACCACTTTGTATTGAATGATAATGATAGCTCCTTAATTGAATAGCGTTGAACTTCCTTTATCAGAAATATCCTTTGGGAAGGAAAATGAGTTTGACTGATTTGATATCCGAATGACACTCTATGTGGGTGCAAGAATGTTCAGAACTTTTCCTCATTCGCAGACATTGACTTATGCCCATTCAATGTGCTCTTAGCGAAAGACCATACCCTGTCTAACTATACAAGTTGTTAAGACTATGTATGTTACTAAGGGCCATCTAGTTTCAGTATGACGTGACCCGTTGGGCCTCATTCTCGTCTTTCATCTAGCCATCATACCGTCAAAGTTACCCCAACATTCCTTCTCGTTCCATGCTCGTCTTATTTTTTATTTTTTATTCTGTTTATTTTATTTCTTGCATCTGAGGAGTAGTTCGGGTCCCCTAGCGCCAGAACTGGATTTTGGTTTATGGTTTGGCCTTGACGATGGTTTCACTCACGAAACAGAAGCCAGGAGTATCTCTCGTGGTGCTTTTAGTTTCGACTATCTTGAACTCTGCAGGCCGAACCAAAGACATGATGAGCCATCGAATGAATAAGCTATGTTAAAAGAGCGTTGAATCTAAAGATTCATTCGAGCTTCAGCAGATATTGTGGCAGGAGTTTTGCTGTCGGTTTTCACACAAAATTGCTTTCTGTCCGTCTAAGAATTGTGGTATTGTTTAAGGATTCAAACGCACAAGTGGATACATCTCAACATAAAAATATTAAGAATAAGTTTATGAGTTCTTAGTCAAGCACGAGACCTACCACCGTGATAACGTACACAACTACAAAGTTAAAGTCCTGGTATGACTTTGCTTTTACTTAATTAGTGATGATTCACTAATCTAACTAACTGCTACTCAGATATGACTAGCGATCTTGATCACTATCATTTCTCCTACTGTATAGAGGGAATCCGAACTAGCGGTGGCGCTCACGTTCTCTCTCACGTTCTCTTTCGCGCTCCCGCTCTTGTTCACTGTCTCTCTCCCGAGCTCTATCCATATCCTCGCGAATTCTCTACAAAAGAAAAAAATGAATCGTTAGTAATCCCTAAAACTTTCAATGCATTGGTCGATGCCCCTCCGCCAATGTATCGTCCGGCCCTCAGGGTTATTCGACAAATAATCGGTACAGAACAGGGAATACTTACCTCGGCCCAATCCCTGGCCTCTTCCCGTTCTATCCAACGCTCCTCCTCCCTCTCCTCTTCTTGTCGACGAATCTCATCGTCACGCTCACTGTCGTGTCTGCCGAGCATCTCGACTGTCGGTGGACGTCAGACTATCTGTCACAATGTTCGTGCTTCACTGTCGACGAGTGGAGCAATGCCTCCAAGAAATTAACTGACTTGATGAGTGGTTCTCTGGTCTTTACGGCATGTTATTCAATATCTTTGAATTGCTTTTGTTGCAGCATTGCCTTACTGTCGTTTCTGTTTCGCTTGGTCATGTCTCAATGGTCAACTCCAACAACGCTGACGGGATCTTCTTATATATAATAGTCATAGGTTGCATTCACTATATTATATCACGGTGCAAATATTGAATAGAGGTGGGATCTATCGATTCAGTGGTGGTTTCCAATGATTCCAAGCAATTTCATTCACTTCTGAAGAAGAGAATCTTGTGAGTCAGGCTAGCAGACTACAAATGAATTCGCCTACGACCGGCCTTGAGGCAGAGAAAAAGACTTATGAAAGCTTTAGTCGACATGGCCAGTCTCCAAAATAGAGTATTTCAATCTTCAAATTCTGCATGAATTAAGATTAAAGAATAATGCCTCATTGCCAAAGAGACATCCCACAAAATTATAAACGTCTGGCCGTTCAAGTAAGCGTCTCAAGGGATTCCATGGGTAAATCGAGTATAGCATTGAATCAAGTATCATTGCACTCTGATAGTAACTACACTGATCTTTGACTAAGTTTTATATGACTACAGTAAAAAGGCTTCTAGCCTACGCGAGACTCATGGAATTTCTTAAAATTCAAGCTCGAGCAGCTGTGTTTGAACTTGATGAAAACACGGATCTATCACTTCTTGAAAGAGGTTGGCGCAAGGTAATGTTTTGAATGACTAACAATAAGAATTAAATAATCAAGATTTCCCAAACTGACTGGATTTGAGTTCAGCCAACTCTAAAAAACGGATTGTCCGTCGTTGGACTTGTCTAAAAATCAAGATTGATCATGTACTTCCACTCATGCAGTCGCACTCGTCATTTTCTATTAGTGTGCTTCTCACAGCTACATAATGAAGTGCTACTAAAGATGCAAACTGCTGATGTGAGAACTAGCAGCTGACTCGGATCGGTTCGAGGTAGGGTGAAACTGCATGTCTGACAGACGACTCCTAACATGGGTAGCTGGTGACTAGAAGCATGAGCATAGAAACAATGAAAATGGCTCATCATGAAGTTTCACGGTCATTAAAATAACGCCAGGCCTTTTCTGCCATAAAAAGGTCGGTGAACTACTTTTAGGTCAATAGCAAGTGGTTAAGTTAAGATACGCTGACACGAGGTAACAAGATTTGGGAACGCTGCCGAAACTTCCAAGTCTAAAGCATCAATTTTCTATTGGTGTCTTTAAGTTTTATGCATGGTAATGAAACAAATCTCATTCCGCAATGGGTTTGAAACTGGGTCGGTACTGATGCCTACTCAGCGGAAGTAACCAGAACATCACAGCCCTCAGGCCTTGTCTGTAGGAGGGTCCTTTGTCATAATTACGTCTTCTCCTTCATTTCTTGCCCTGTCTTCGCCCTCAAAATGCACATCGCATGTTTTAAGAACGTATATACCTCCCTCGAGTTGCTCACTTCTGTGCCTATTGTCCAACGGAATGGATTCGGCGACCATGACAGAACGAGTCGTCGTATCAGGGCGATAACTATTGCCATTGTCTTTAATGTAAGGCTTTTGGTGATTTTTCCTGCTCCTGTTGTATTTTTTGAAGCCGCTGGCAAGAAGGACTTTCAAGGGCGGCAGTGATCCCACAATGATGGCGACACCAAGCTCGGTTATGCTCCAAGTGGCCAGCCCGACCATGTCCAATGTATCACCCTTCAGAACCTGTGTCATTCGGATAATAGAGGTGAGAATTGTGACCAACGCAAGGCTAAAAGCCACGCCGAGACCAATCTTCTTTTTGATGTCGAGTTGTAGCGAAGGCAGCATCGTGATGGGAAGACTCATGATCAACAAGTCAGTTGTGATGTCGGCGGCGGTTGCGTAGAAAACGCTGAAGCGAGCAAGCCAAAATTCTTGTGGCGAAGTGCATTTGCCTATCATTATAGCAGAGTCAGATTATCCCCGTTGAAGAGCGTTCTTCTGCGGTGGTTAAAACGAAAATGATTATCGAAAACTTACCTGCAACAAAGAGATCAGTAAAGTGGTCGCATATGAGTGAGCCAGCCACCCATCCCCCAATGTAGGCAAGGAAAGTGAAAATAGCGACCCAATACCACAGTTTTCGAAGCAACAGAACTGGGCTGACAAGATGGAAGAAGATGTTCAAGATGCTTGCTTTCACTGCCCATAATCCCGTCCAGAAAATGAAGTTCAATGCATACGACCAACGTAGGTACTGCTCCACCTGCTGTTTCTTCTCCTCCTCGGAGGTGGGAATGAAGCGTCCCGCTTGTAGATGAACAATGTAATACAACGGGCTGTTCTGCTCCATCTGCAGGATGGCCATCGTCAGAATACATAACCAGCCGAGAATCATCCAGTAGTCGTCACGAAGAAAGCAGTGATTGCGACGCCAGCGTAGGAATAAACGTAACAAGAGGAAGGCGATCGAGGTTGAAACGTTGCTCCAGCATATAACTGTAAGGACCCGACGGCTGACGTTCTGCGCAGCGCCGAACAAAACTGCGTTGGGGTCAGCTGTCGGCGTCGACATTGTCGACGAATGAGCGGTCTCTGATATAGCGATAGCTCAACGGATGGCGCCAATATTCTCAAGCAGTGAAATGTCTGAAAATTTCGGCGGGGAGCTGAGTGTGATGAGTATCAGAGCAATTGAAAGTCCGGCGTTGTAGTCCAACCACACTGACATATATGAGTGGTTGAAGGACCGTTCGGCGATGGACAAGAAGCATCGCCGAACGCGGGTTCAAACTTTCGCCTGTTCTCCCAGGCGTCCAAGGTGCTAGTCTGCACGAAAATTGAAGTATAGGCGCAGCAATCATTTTTTGGCGGGGCAGGCAAACAGTTTCTTGGGCCAACGCGGCGTTATTGTCGAGTCGACAAACAACTATGCTGCTTTTGGACCGGCGCCTTGCCAGGTTCAAAACCGTCGTACGAGGAGACAACAGAGGCAACAAGAAGGAACCAGGTATTGCGAGCCAGCATTGCGTTATTAGGTTGGCGAGATTTCGGGGACAATGCGGTCAGAGACAAGCGCATTGGCACACGCCTGAATTCAATGTCCTTCAGAATCAACATACGTGACACTGATAGCCAAAGAAAACTGATCAAGCCCTCCGCCCAGCGGGGCACCAACCAAGGCTGGCATGGCATCCTGTGCCGCCAACGATTACCGAGTTGCGGTCTTCGAGCGTCCCCAGACCGTATGAATCGTTCAACGATCCACAAGTAGACGATCACTACCAACATCGCGTTGGCGATTCTCGATCGTAGTCGGCTTCGGTTGAATCGACGCCTTTCCAAGATGTTCCAAGCGATGAAAAAATGAGATACGACCAATATATTCGCTTTCGCTAGCAAACCCCTGGCTCAAGGTGGTGTTCGCAGCAAACAACAGTATCCCAGTTGACAAACATCCTTGTGCAGGACATTCCGATCGTCTCGTCTAGAGGAAAATTGAACGTACTGCATAACGTGCGGTGTTGCGCGCTCGCCCGCATCAGTTACGCGATTATCTGATTCATTCTTGCCCTGGTCTATAAGCTATGTAGACCCGACTGAGTTATTGGACATCGTATAAAACAGAACAAGAGAAGCATAAGCACATGAAACTTCCCTAACTTGAGATGTTTTTTGCAAATGCTGCAATACGCTTCAGGCCGTTTCTGGCAATGCATTCTAGCTGCACTCACAGAGAGCGGTACATTTTTGTTCTTTCCCCTTGCAAAGCCATCTCGGAACAAACACCCATTTTCTGCTTCAATCCCTGCGCCGCACCAACACAGTTCGGGCCAAGACAACTAGGGGCAAATTTTCAGCCACTATGCCAGACAGTCGGGTTGGGAACGCCGAACTGTCGAATTGTCGAACCCAGCGGCGCAGATAGCACAACAATCTGCCTTATGACAGACGCCCGAAAGTGTCGCCACAATTACGTCTATTCTGCATGCTGCCCCTTAAGTTTTGAGATTGGCTAGATTTTGAGCTGGTGTGACGGGTCGTGTACGATATCCATCGTACGCTTGTTCGTTCAGATCACGGGCGAGACACCTGGATACTCCCAGACCATTTACCAGGCTTTGCACCCTGCACTGGGCAAGAGGATTCGCTTGAAAACAGACCTGTTGGTTATCACAAAAATCATACAATCTCTCTCTAATGTGAAGACTTCACTCTAGATATTCTCCCATCTACTGCATGAGCCCCTACAGAGGTTAGGTACCCTAATCTACGATTTTCCTAGCCTGTTATTACATCACGTACTCAAAGGACTATTGATATTTATGTTTGGTCATTGCTTCAATACTTTCATGAAGTTACGATCATGTGCCTTTAAGTTGTCCAGTCCTCAAAAGATCTCCGCCATGTACATGCGGTGGATGTCTTGGGGCCGGAAAGACACAGTCTTCAAAACGCCATCAGTTGAATTTTCTAACGCGTTTTTACTCTTACACAATAAAGAAGCCGGCTGTTGTTTGAAATAGGGATATGTGTTTGTTGTATTATCGGAGTACGTTCTTGATTAACAAATTAGTTAATCCAACTGTCGTGAATGGAAAAAGAAATCAGTCTATGCCTGTAACAGTCAGCACAGGGTTTTTAAAAATCAAAGCCTCGATTTTCTGATGTGAGACTTCGAACTTCACTCAACTGATTACTTAGTTGACGGCAAATCCACGCCATGCTGCCACTCCGCACTAGTTGCATTGCCTCGCTGCAGCGGCCTTCAACGCCTACATGTCTTTTAGATATTAGCGCTTCACACAAAATATCTTCTGCGCTCTGAGGCAAATCCAACTTAGGACAGATACGATTACGTAGTCAAAGATCACGAGGCACATCCGACCTGGCGGTACAAGTTGTTGTCTAAATGGTCTAAACCTTAGCAAACCGCAAGGCGTAAAAAGAGCCACGTGCGGAAATCACTTGACTGCCAAATCAAGCTTTTTGAATACATTATCCAACGTCACATTTCTTTTCGAAACCAATCTCACGGTCCTGCGGGTCTTCACTAGTTCCCGAAGTCTCTTAAATCGCGTGGCACCGAGTCAGTGGATGAAGTCTTGGCGATAACTAGGATCTATGCTCTTGATTTGGCGCCGCCACCGTCACTTAGTGCACAGTCCAATTTCTAGATGCGGCAATTAGTTCTGATTGTAATGCCACCGATTGTAGTAAACCCAGGCGGAAATTTCCTTGGAAGAATTGGTTCTCTAACAGATCTAGAACTGGAAACCCCTAGTTAATATCCTCGTGTCTCTAATTGCATCGTCCTCGTCTTCTATTAGCATGAAAAAAAACTTCTCAAACGCCCGCTCCAGCGTGCTTGCGACGGCTGTATTCATTTCGTCGTGAGTACGTCGAGAGTTCAAAGATATCCACTCTCAACCCCTCACGATGGCGTTCTTTTTTTCCCTTGCGTTTTCTTTCTAAGGTCAACGCAAAATGAACCAGCCTGCTGAATGAAGTGGAAGCATGTTTGTACAATACGCTGCAAGCCCAGCAGGTTACTTGAAATCATCAACTACACAGTCATTGTATACAAAATGTCAACCCGATGTAATTCAACTGGAGTCTGTTGGCCAAAGCTTTCGGAGATTCTTCCACCTCAGTGGGGCCAATGGTTCTGTCTTGTCTCTTTCCATTACAACCGGTTCTTACATGTCTTTACAGTATTGGCAACACAGCTTCAGTAACTTTTATCTGAACACGGGCGTGAACTCTTGGTGGACAAGGTTTTATCTCAACAATGCAAGCGCTTGTGGTTAGAGGGCATGACCTGGTATTCACATGCATCCCTTGCATACATCATTGCAGCAAGGTCCTCCGAGATTGACCCCATCAGCAGGCGACAGCGTGGCAGACAGCGATATTGTGCATAGTGAATCAAGTCCCCAGCAGAAAAACATCGCATTCTCAAAGGCGTCTCCTTGTTCTCATCATATCACAAAAAAGTTGTCAAAATGAAAGCGCTCGCCGGACCTGAGAGCAAAGTAGGTGATGTTGATCTACGTGATTCACCAAGGAGCTCGTGCAAGGGTGGTGGACACTGCTTCGAACCTCGCATGGAGAGGATGGTAGAGTGGATTATATTGAACGGTTGAGCATGGCTGAAATGGTCGCTTCGTGGATTTTGAGATCATTGTGGCTGAGCATGAGCCTCCCACAATTTTGAAGAGACTCTTATAATCTTTCCCAGTGCATGGATACTGTCAAGCGGCTTCCACAGGACCGTGATCCTTTCTTCAAGTGTAATCTGGCACCAATCAAGATACAAAAAATGGCAATAATTGAGCCTCCGATCGATTTATGCCATGAAAAATCTTCCAGAAGCATTCATGACCGTTCGCAAACCGCGAACCTTTGGGGAATACGGAAATAGGTAAAGAGTTCACCGCCGTATTGTTGCTTAGATTGATGAGGCCAATAAGTGGATACCATATCAATCTACGTAGGCGAGTTCTTCCTAGGTAGTTAGACATGTGCCTTCCGAAGTGGAACTACCTCTTAAGCTACAAGGAATGAATTGTATAGCGTTCTTAGGCCGAGCATCACGGATTGAGCTCAATTTGCAACTGATTTCATTGCTTTGTGTCATCGAGCTTACGAAAATTTCCGTGGCTGTGTCGAAATTTGGATACACAAAACCTCTGGCATCACCAACCCTTTTTGAACCAAAGATCGAAACCTTACAGAAGTCAACAGACATCTTAGTTACAAAAGTTTAGGTAACCTCTTGAATAGTGGACAGGACTGATGTAACTTAAAGTAATAGGAAGCTTCACCGGCTCTTCCGGAATGTTACGACTGGCGCAACTGGTCATTGTGCGCCTGTATCTGTGTAGTGCCGAGCAGGGAATGATGACTCGGATTCATCCTCGCTGAATAATTTGATGTGTGCAATAGTTGTTGCTCTGACTCACTTGTTACAGTAAGCTTGTTCCCCTAAAGCCTCATACCTCTTATCGGCAGGTACCGAAACCGAACCCGGACCCGAACCCTGGTCGAGTTCAAGGTAAATTGGTACAAATTAACCATCAAACAGCGTAAAGGGAAGCCATGTCCAGATATACGACGTTTTAATATACGCCGTGAATGCATTTAGTCAGAGATATAATTCTCATTTCAGCTCGTGTTGGAATGACCCCTAGATCCATGGCATACACCATGGCGGCGCAGTTCTTCAACTCCAACCCGACATGCAGAGTAGTATAAATACAGACGATGGCTGCCGGCTCTCTTGCTAGATCAGCACCAGCATCACTCCTAAACCACTTATCCTTATACACAAAGACCTCTTTATCCTGTCAAAATGCAGATTCACGTAAGCGGTTAGAGTAAAAGATTCGTCGTAATCAACTTGCTAACATTATTTCTAGGCTACCGCCATTATTGCTGCCCTTCTGCCCACCCTGGCGTTGTCTTGCTCCACCTACGGCTCTTGTATGTGTCAAAATGCCGACAACAGCGCCAACAACGCAGCTACCAAGAAAATTTGTGCCAACTTTGCAGGAAATTATATCTCGTCGCCTAGCAATGGCCGCGATTACTGCTCGATTGGAGTAGCTAACGTCGGTATTGGTGGAGGGGTAGCCCTATTCTTTAACAACTGCCGCTGGAGAACCGCGTGCAACAACATTGGAGCTGCCGGTGACTCTAGCTGCTGGGCGAAGCAGTAACCGATATGCTTATAAAAGCACAAGGAAGGATCAGAGGAGAGAGGAGAGCAGAAGATCAGGGGCGAGAAAAAGGCCATAAGATTTCGATTCGTCAAGCCAAATCACAACTCATGTACAAAGAAGTCCTTGAGTAATAATCGGACGATTTCATTATGAATTACATTTGAGATAACGTATTCAAACCCCTGAACCTAAGCAGCTAGATCTGGCGAAGACGTGCTGGGATCCCACCGATTATAAGCTTGGTATGGTCCGTCGCCTGAGGTGAGAAGATGGAATCTGTGACGAGCATTTTGAGAGACAAGAACACACAGTGTAAGTCATTTTATTTGAGAAGATAGTACAATTAGATCGTTCTCCTGTTATACTAATACGCCAGCTGCTGCCTAGGCTGCTGATAGCAAGGTTTCTGCAGCATCTGTTTTGCTATGGTCGACAGCTAGGAATACTGTTGACTTACAGGTCCAACTGAGTTTACTTAGCAAGATTAGCGACAATGGCAACACACGGCTGTCCTGTTAGAATATGGCAGTGTTCAATACGCAAGAACCCACAAGCATGTGTGCAGCAGGGCCATTTAACCTTTGATTATCATTGAGTTGCTGAAGCTATCACAAGACTGCTGCCTCTGTTTCATATGTAACAGATTTGTGAAGACTGGACTAGCAGTTAGATTGGTGACGACCAAAGAATACCTGGTGTTGTATGTGCTATTGATGTTTCATTGATATTGCTTCAGCAACATGGGATTGAAACGCCCGACACCGGTGGCTCAACATCATTTTTAGACGGCGACTTTCCATGCTGGCCTTGTGATGAGTGGCGATGCAGACATTGAACCGAATCATGCAGCCAACGTTAGCCATGGGAGTATCATCCAGCAGATGGTTGTCGCAAAGGGTGCCCATCTATATCTGGATCGCACTAGTGTAGGGGGGCCCGGTGAGCGAGTCGTAGGAACCTTAGTCCATCCAAGTGCAGAAGGTAACCCATCCCCAAGAGACGCTCAGTCGTGTCTCACGGAAGTTCATAAAAGCTCCAGTTCAGCCAATCAAGTATCGAGTAAATGTTCCGCTTTTACATGAGGGAGGAGATGGAGTTCATCCAGTGCCCGGAACGCCAGGGTCGATCCCTGCACTTCCATTAGCTGCAACTGCACAGATAACTGTCTGAAGCAAACCAATCAATCATGTCAAGTTGAAGGAAGGTGAGGACTTGATTTATTGAGACTGGTAACAGTACGGTGATACATTAGTGCCAACCCGCCGACTACAGGCCTAAAGCCAGGTCGAGTCACTTACACGCCGGACAGCCAGCACCTAGCCCGCCTACAGCTGCTTGCCAGCATCTAGTCCCTTACCTTAGTAGGTAATTACAGCAATTAGGCGTAGTTAATTACCGATGCCTGTAGCTACTAGCAGTTAGCAGCACCCGCCAGCCTTTAGCACCTACCAGTCCCCAGCACCTGCTAGTCACCGGCACCGCCAGTCGCTAGCACTTGTAAAGGCATCACAGCAATAATTAACATTCTAGGTTGTAAGGTTTTTAGGATAAAAGTAGGGCAGAGATGAGTTCTTGTACTTAGGTAGCTTGTGTGTTATTGACATCCGAAGTAAAGTGTTTTAGCCAACGGCCAAATCATCCCAAAATGCAGCTTGCATTATTGCTGGTACTCTTGCCCAATTCCAGTTGGCCTAACTTTATACTGCGAGTTGGCCGGTTGCTACTTTTGAAGTACTGTAAAAAGCCTCAGGTTTTTTGTCAGGTTTTTAGATCTGGTTTTCAGATTTATTTGTGAATGTCTTCCTGCATTGTTGGCGACTTGGTGGGCTAAAATGACAGAAGCGCAGTAGATCTGAGAGACGCGTGATCTTTTTTAGAAAGATGAACATCGCCAAGTCTCAGTGGCGGGTTGGTTCTTGGCCACCGCCAGCCAACCTGCTGATATGCGGTGCTATGAGGGCAGTGTCTGCTAAGAAATGGCTTTGATTCGTAGTGCATTATTGGTACATTTTGGCTTTAACTTGGGACCGTAAAGTCTGCGAGAGCAAGCACTATCCAATTCTATTCAGTAAGTATGTTTGTTCTCGTGTGTGCATACTAGCTAATTTGGACGGTCAAGTACTCCCACGTCACTTTTGGAGACCACACTTCGTCCCTTACTTCGAATTTGTCAACCAGGTTGCCACCCTCATTAGCCAACCTCCGCGCGACCTTTCCAAGAGGGCTTTCAAATAGGCTGCTCCACTTTGCGTCACTCTCGCCCTCCGTAGGTTCCTTAACTTCAAACTCCACACCGTGATCAAAGCCACTAGTTAGTCTTATAGCTGTTCTCGCGGCCAATGTTTGGTAATTGACGACCTTATCAAACTCTATGGAACGCAGCTGGCTTAGCTCCAAGCCTTCATCTTCCCACAAGGCTTTTAAAACCTCGTTGAGATGGAGTGGCGATGGCCTAGTTAGGTTACGGCCGTTCCATGCATCTAATACTGTGATCTTGTAATCAGTCTTGTCGACTACAGCCCGAACAACAGGCCGTTTGCCCTGCTCGTAGCCATTAGTGAAGACACCTCTGGTCTGGCGGCTTGACATGCCTTTCACAACAGTGTGGGCGTCGTTTCCCTAAGGTAAAGTTGTAAGAATTGAGTGCTTCGTTGAAATCGGGGGGGGGGGGGGGGGGGGGGGGGGGTTCCTACTGCAAGCTATGCAGGATAAATCAATAAACCGTCACTGCACAGAGATCAGAGGAAGAATTACTGTGCCAATTACAGTGCCCAAGAAGAGGGCAGCTATCAAGAAGAGATTTGTAATAGAGAGTAACCTCATTGCAATTGAGAGTAGAGATCAGAAGGTGCAACGAATTCTCGTTTTTCGTAGCTTCGTCTGACAATTATGTAAAGAGCTTCGTGGTGTCCCGGCATTTAGACCAGTAGAAGGCTCTATAAACAACACAACTAGACTAATCTTGTTTTGATACTACTAGAAATCTCATTTTCTTCAACATAGGCGAGCCTCAGTTTTAAAGTGATAATGAATGTATTCCGATAACAACTAGCAGAGCAATCTCACTCCCATAAACCACAGGACCGAATAGTAAGGGATCTGCGGATTGAGCTTCTGACATGTGTGGATACTCTGTTATGTATAAGTACCGCAAGCCTTTTAATTCCTCAACTGGACCCAAGCTTCATTATGAAATGACCCTGGTCGGTATAGGCAATAACCAATGATCCAGCATTACAGTAATTACCGGGCAAAGTGTACTTTGATAAAGGGAAGTCCGGACGGCTGCATTGGTTAGAATATTCTGGTTTCTATTTTCAACCTTTAGAGATTGGCGCTGTTTTCGATTAATTCCACTGTTGGCATCAGCCCGAAATCTTAAGTCGAAGGTTTCAGTGATTATGCCAAACACAGGTCTTTCCACTCGTTTTCATTGGTTCAAGAACCCAAAACCAAGGCGCAAATGCAAGACAAGGTATACGCAGTTTCGGTCTCGAAGTCTACAGCAACACAAGCTCCGTTGAATCAAGTAAGGTTTGCATTGTCACTAATCCGATCATTTTTGGCGGTGCGCCCCGCAGGACTGATTAAATCATCGACATGCGATTGACTGGTGATTGCAATCCTTTCATGTCAAACCAACACAACTTTCCTACCCTTTTGTACGGCTGATTGCCATACTCGATCATGCACCGCTCCCAGTGGTTCTTGTATGGCCGGTTGTTTTTGACAGCAGCTGAGAGGGTGTATCGCAGACCATGTGTCACATTGGATAATGGAGCGGTGCTTTCAACCCAACATCAACACAGCACTCGCTCAGTAAGCAATATACCGATATGCCCAGGATTTCTGGATGTCATACTGTTGCCTGAAACGAATCCTGCCACCACTAGCCTTCTTGTGCCCAAGTTCAACTTGACTAAAATACTGGTCTAGGTGCAAGCCTTACAGACCCACTGAGTGGTTGAAAGAGTGCCTTTCATTAACCAGCGCTCTTCCGAAAGTTAAAGGTCAAATTCATGAGGCTGTGGCAACTTGTTAAACCGATCGGCGGCGAGCTAAGTGACACAAACATCGACCCTTGTTTTCTGTGTAGCTTCTAGGTCATTTCAGCCCCATGTAGCATCTCGATAACTCACATATTTCGTATTTCAACCTGGAAGGAGAGTGATAGGTTCCTCCTTCAGCGAAAAGGCTTCGGTGTATGTCGTGGACTCACTGGCATGCTCAAAAACAGATTCGGATGAAGACGAGCGGGTATCGATATCAATTGCCCCAAGCACTCAAGTTTTGCGATCTAATCGAAGCAACGAGAGCGGGCACGATGGGATCGCTACACCATCTCAACGGCAACTGATCAAAAGTCCATCAGAACTACACTTACTTCCAAACATTCATTTCGAAAATGAAGACAACACTTGTTCTCCTAGTCACGCTCCTTACTGGCGCGAACGTATGCGCCCAGTACATAAGATGCCACTGCACATGGCCGATGGAAGCGTGAATAATACCATCACCGCAACTGTGTGCAACAATAGCGACAAGGCGGCCCCGAAAGGTCCGGGCTGGCCTGTATTTACCCAAGACGAGGACGGTGTCACCAAATGTGTCCTCGCCGATAAGGACCGAACTATCGTTCACGGGATAGACAACTGCGAATTATAGGTACTGCACAGATGCTGGTACAACAGGCTTAGACTCTTTTTGCGAGGACCAATGGAACACATAGAGAGATAAGAAGTCGAGTGCTTGGAAAGGAAATGCCCCTCCGAAATAAACAGAAGATCCAGACAGATACCTGCCGAAGAACAAGCGACAGTAGCTGAAATGCTGTAACGACCTTGGGGCACATTACCACCTGAATCGGGCGGACTGAGCAGGCAATGGACAAAATAGATGTTTGTGAAGTGGTTGCCTAGTTGCTAGAGGAATATGAAGAAGGTGCAAGCCGGACCAATAAATTATGGACAAGAAATCAAACAACCCATAATGCAGCTTTTTAACGGGTGACTGACATTGCTTTTCAGCCCATGACCCACGTAAATGATGAAACATGTCAATCCATTACGTGGTTAGGGCAGCGTCGTTGTGGTTTCTGGTGGTACGGGGTTCGGTGTAGTGGCTTCTATCGGGATTAGGAGAGAAAAGTACAAACCGTTATGCGGACCACAGAGTCGCTTTCTATGACCCCATTTGAGCAGAATGATGGTGTTAAGGTGTTGTAGAGGCCGTTTGCCTTCATTGAGGACACGCGCTCTTCTCTCAACTGGCCGGCCCGCTTTCTCTTGAATTGCGCCCACTATCAGTAGCAATAAGAAATTTGCGCCGAAAGAAGAAGGACGTTGTGCTTCTAAAGATCGTCTTTGTTCGATAGCCCAACGCATTGTCAAAGGCAGAAGATGTTTCGTTTGGACGAATCTCAAGTCGAAGAAGCTTGGTCTTGATTCCCCTGAGGCCCACGTGCTTTAGTGGGTCACTGATCTCAAGAGGCTTGCGTTCACCAACATGGCTGGTTTCTATTTCAGTCTCCACGATGTCAAGTCGCACATTCCACCTGGAATTCTGGACCGTAAGTAAGTTACTGACGTCTTCCTGACATAAATCAGTTTCTGGTGAATCACATCCACCTCAATCCACACGGGACCCAACGTCAACTGCAGGGTCCACAACCACGGCAACGACATCTTCCAGTAGATCCACATCCGCCTCTCGTCTGGAACCGAAGACGGAGGCATGTGGCGACTCAAGGAGGGCAAAGACCCCAAGTCGGCCAGGCCCGTTAACAACCGCAGGGTTCCACTGCCCCGTCTTAAGGGGTGTGGAGGTCTACAATACCGAGATTCCTACTTCGACGATGCTATTTGCTGACACAATAAATAGCTTCCTCTTCTACCCGCGGCCCAAGTGGAAGGGCGGTGAGAAAAGCGAGTATATTCACGTCTAGTTGGCACTAGAGTTTGTCCTTGATAGTGCCTAGTAATTCTTGTTTGAGATGTCAAGTTACCGTGTAATCAATTGGTCCGCATTTCACCTGTTCTTGTTCATCGTGTCTCTCATCATCTTGAACCTCACGGTGCAAGAAACCGTCCGTGATTGGTTTTTCTGTAGCGACCGAGATTTTGGAGTCCGATAGATCAAGAGAGCGGAAGTGCAACTTCGCTAGTTGACTAGGCGTTTAAATGAAGTCAAAATTATCAGATTGAGCAGCAGGGGCTACGTTCACCATAAATCTCTCGTTTGCAATGATCAAAGTGTTAGCAAAAAGATGCATCAATGAAGATGAACAGTTAACTTGTTCCAAGATAACGGAAGGGGTATTATTATCTGGACTAAAATAACTATGAAATCAATGCTCTTGGCATTTAGCCCAGAGGAGCACATGTGAAGGGGCTGCTGATCTTTCCGGTCTTGAACTTGAGATCCTGTAGAAAATCGTTAGTGACATGCTAGTGGGCTGATTAAGACGTAGAGACTTACAATCTCAACAATACTGGCGTAGGTACCGCAGACAAGAACAATAATACCAATGAGGAAGGAGACACCGTGAAGAGCAGTCATGGTGAGGTTTTTCTTGGCAAACGGAGAACCGTCGCGGATGAGCATGAACCACATCAGGGAAGGGAAGTAGAAAGTGAAGCCGGAGATGAAGAGCGAAGAGCTGATGGACAGGAGCTCAGAGAAGAAGGGAATGGCCTCAGCGATGATGAAGGCGAAGACCGTGATGATGGTGATCAGGCCCAACCAGGTGATCCAGCCCATCTTGGTGTTGATGAAGCGGATGATGGAGTTCTTGTAAACACGGCCGTGGATGTAGCGAGCGACGACAGTGGTGTTGATTGATCCTGAAATGAAGATAACAGGCAAAGCAACACCGAAAGCAACCTTGGAGATGGTGTGGCCGGCCGAAAGCAGGGCGGGGGACTGAACCTCCTGACCAACAAATGCGTAGATGAGGGCGCCAGTGACGGTGTAGATGAAGATCTCAATAAGACCAAGAGCCCAGATAGACTTAACGTAGTCGGTGGGGGTGTGCATCTCATCCATGAAAGAGAACTGGCAAATGGCGAAGGAGTAGGCAAAGACGATGTTCGTGATAGCGATGAAGGCCTCAGCGAAAGTAATGCCGTCCTTGGGCCAGGCGGACCAGGCCGCAGTGGTGATGCTTCCCTTGTTGACACCGGTCGCGATGATGGTGATGCCGATGGCCAGGATGATGGACACAAAGTCGATGTATCCCAAAATGGCGACTTCGGCGAACGAGGGAGGGATGGCGAGGACAAGGAGGATAATCGCGGAAACGACGGCGAACACAATGGAGCAGGCGCCGTCGTTGGTGATGTTGCCAAAAGCGATGGCGCCAGTGAGGGTGTGAGAGCTCACCAGGAACGTCAACTGCAGCACAAACATAGCACCGATGATTTCGTATCCGAAACGACCGAACATGAGCTGGCCAGCATCGGCATAGTGAGAGACGTGAGGGAACTTGATCTTGACCTGACCGACGACGTCACTAGTGTAGATGGCGACAATACCGAGACCGACGCTAAGAATGACACCAGCAACCATTCCAAGAGTGGCGAAGGCGGAGGGCAGACTCAGACTGCCGAGGGCGATGGCCTCAACAATGAGGACGACAGTGAGACGCTTCCAGCCGAGGCGGTGGAAGTGGGCGCTACCCTGGGCGGCCTTCTGTTTCTCGAGGTCTTGGCGGTTGAGGTCGGTGACCTCGCCGACAACCTCACCGGGGAAGACGGCGTCGCGGGAGAACTGAGGGGCAACGACGGCGCCGTCGGACTTGTAGTCCTTGCTCTCGGTGGCCATGGCCTGGTTCTGTCTAATCTGGTCGTGGTCCATCGTGAAATGCTTTGTTTTGTTGGAGTGGTCGGTTTTTTCCCGGGTTGTGTGGCGTGGGTCCTTGGCGGTAGACTTTTTTTTAAACAGGAGTGATGTCAACTGGGTTGCCGAGGCTTGTTTGTGTTGAAGAGTGGTGGTGCAACAGGACCGCGCGCACACACAAGAGATGGACCGGGTTGAGCTAGTCTGACTTCAGTTGAAGAAGAAAGAAGTGATGAGAGTCAAGTGCCGCTTGGACTGAAGGAAGTGAGGAAAAAACATCAAGAAGATGGGAAGACAAAAGGCAGGATATATGTGGCAAGGGGCGGAGCAACCAGCACCGACCCCGGAGTCATGCCGAGGGCTCGACCTCGTCGAGTTGAGAGCGTTCAACTCGACTGGTCCCGGCATCAACGATCATTGGACCAGGGTCTTATCTCTGGCCCCCGCGATCGTGGGCGGTGTCACCGGTAGCTGGGGGTGACATGAATGGTCAGCGTGTGAGTGGGCGGCAAGAGTTCGTCAGTCCAAGAGACTCTATGGAGACAATGGTTATCAAAGGTCACATCAACCCGGCCCTTGCCTGCTTCCATGCGTGTTGGAATTGCGGGGGAATAAACCGTTGTAGACTTTCCCCGCGAAATTGACCAGTGTCCCTGAGATTCCAGAATGACACTGGCCCTTTGGCGTTCCGAGTTTCTCAGCCAGTATGACACTTTGCGCTGTCAAGAAAACCAGGTCCGCGACGAGCGAGTACTGCGCTGTAGAGGCGTGTTGATGGAGACGCGCTGGTGGTATTGCGGGACTAAGACAATTGGAAGAGTTTTCACATCGTAATACGGTGGATATTGTGACCTATTCTTTACCTAACGGACCCAGAAACCGAGCCGCAGGGTGGCCTCACCTTACCCCTTGAGTCAGTCCATGCCAACGATCAACCCCGAAATACGACCGGTGGCGCTGGGAACAAGCCTGGCTCGACTGGGATGACGGGCCTCTGTTGCCTGCACGGCATCCGCGAGGGGGAGGAAACAAGGAACGGTAAACTCTCTCTTATCTCTGAGCGCTGAAACTCGACGGCGAAGAAAACAGCGTCATTGTGTGAAAAACATCGGACGTTGGGCCAAGAGTATGCGGCTCAAAGCTTTTAGACGAAATAAGACGAGCCAAGCTCGACGATTGCCGAGCAAGGGGGGCCTGAGCTGTCCCTGAGAAACACCACCATCAGCGGCCGTTCCGTCCTCCCTCCCGCAGAGCCGTCGACAGGTTTTGCAGTGATACGCCGATGCGCTAACCAGCAGTGGTTGCAAAGCCGCTTACCCGCAGAGAACCGTAGGGCGAAACGTAATAGCGTCGTCTTGGTCCCGTACATTTCCGACATCCTCGAGTCGTGATCCTTGCCGATCCCACTTTCGCGGTCACGTATTGGGAAGGCTTCTAGAAGATCGCCTAGAAGGCTGAAAAAGGCTTGTCGACGCCTCCTACGTACTTCCCTGCACACAAGGACGCAGACCCCTGCATATCCCACGCTCGGCATGCGTTGGCGAGGCGAACTGGACCAGATCTCACGCGACAGGACCTTGACACCATCCTTGCTTCAGGCAGAGAGACTCGACTTTGGTGCGAGAACCGAACCCCAACTTTCTGTAACCAGACCCTATTTTTCTTCCCATTTCACCCGCATTTGAAAGGATTGTGACTGGCTAGTGGGTTTAGCTACTCAGTTTGTTTGACATACAACCATTACCAACTCTCGAGATAACAGTCTCGGCGTCGGATGGAAGGGGGACTGTTTGCGAACGGAGCGCATTTACGCCGAGTGGTTGCCCGACATTAAGGAGATGGGATTAGCAAGCACAATCAGTTTCATCAACAGTGTGGGTGACGAAAGTTCCGCTGGTTTCCTTGCCTGTGGTGGTAATGAAAGATAAGGCCGTCGAAAAGGGTGTGTTGCATCGATGTCAAACTGAGGTGATGAGCACTGCAGTCATTTTGCTGATCTGCCGCTTGTGGCGGCCCCGAAGGTTCAAGCTTGCGTCGAGGACTCGGCCGACGCGCGCAATAACCAGGAAACACGTCGACGCGGTTTCCGACGGGTTTTTGCTCGCTCCTCCTTGTTTTCTGGCAAGGGGTCATGCCAAAGGGGTTAGGGGCCCCCTCGAAAACGGGGAGCCCGCAGCCACGGGGCCCTGGCACCAGGCAAGGGTTGGGGCGAAGCTGTTGGTAATTCCAATTGTGTCATTGAATCCGGGGTAGATTTGCGGGGTTGGGGCCGGTTGCTTCGAAAATGGCAATCTTGGACGGCGGTGCGGGAATTCTACAAGTCGTCGATAGAGGTGTTCCAATTGAGTTGTTCCTGTGTCCCTGTGTCCCTGTGTCCCTGAAATGACACTTGGGTGACTGAGTCGTGTACGTCCCCCTTCGGTTTCAGCCGGATGAACGCATCATCGACCGACATTACTGCAAAATGGGCTATCCCGGCATGCGTTGACTCCGAGCAGCGAATGATGTGTCAGCAACGTGGTCCGAACCATTCAGCATTCGCGCCGAGCTCTCCGAAAACCTGGGGAACGGCGGAACCGAAATGGACCAATGCCAGTCTTACTACTTGGCTTTGCAAGCAAAAATCACATGTTCTATTCTAGCTACGTGACCCCACGCTCCCACTGAGCCCATGCGTCGTCTAGAGCCGGCAGGCAATACTTGTCCCTCCACAGGAATCCTGCAAGAAGCTGTTGCAGGTTCTCGCGCGTGCACCTCTCCGGCGGCAAAATGTCCCTGGCTCTCTCCAACACCTTGACCAGCCTTGACACGAACCACACACGGTCTTCTGTTGTTCCGGAGCCGACGACGCCAACGAACAGAACCCACATGAGGGCGGCATCGTGGGAGACCCATATGAGGGCGATGGCGTCGGCGTCCTCCAACGCCGCCCGCATCCGTGATACCAGTATGCGGACCATGTGCCCCGTCGTTGGAATTTCCCGCAAGACGGCATACAGGAACACATGGGCCGCCGAGACAAGGACGAGGAAGCGTTTCTGGACTGGCGTAGCCGTCCGCCGCTCCGCGTAAAGGAAGTGCAGGATCGTGCTGTCGGCTGTGTTCATGACGATTCTGATGTCGTCCGCTGCCACGGCCCCCGCCTGCGAGCAGATTGCCTGCCTCAGCGTCGTGAAAATCCTGCGTGGCTCGTTGCCCTCGTCAGGTTTGTGGCCCCCCAGTCTGTCCAGATGACGCAGTGAAGGCATCATTGCGCGACTTACCACCGACGACGGAAGGGACACCTGATCGAGGGTGTGGAACATGGGGAATTTGGGAACCCTTCCCAGACCTGATGCCACTTGGATATCGATCCTGATGAAGATTGGTGAGCGAGTGGGTCATGTTTCCAAGTCGGCAATGAGTGCTCACCAATTGATAGAACGGCAGAGGATATAGTCGTGCTTGATCGTGTCCGGCCCGCCGCGCGCTGTGATCATGGCATGAAGCCCAGTCAGGTGGACCTCGGCCGCCGAGAAATGACCTTGGAAAGCCTATCGGCGATTATCAGCATTAAATAAAGAAAAAAGCTTTTAAAAAAAGCGGCAGAGCATTTATCGTCGACTCACTTCAACACTCCCCAGCATGGCAACACCAGCCAATACGGACAGATCATCGCTCGCCAGCTGAGCAGACTCGCGGGATTCCAAGCGGCTCCTGACCATACGCATCGCCTCTCCCTTTTGCAGGTACCCTTCTCGTTGAAGCTTGGGGTCGGGCAACGGCATCGTTGCCGCGAGAAACTCGGCGGCCAGGGCGAGCGTGGTGCGCATGATGAGAGAGCTCTGCATGGCATATGGGAACCATGGCCGCTTGGTATCGGTTGTGGTCGAGTTAAGGTTGAACCTAGTGGTGACTGCAGAGTGAGCTTACAAAGAAGTACGAAGATTCGGCTCTAGAAGAATATTGGGTCCATCTCACAGTATTTTACGAGAGCGTCAACTGATGGACTATTAGGGATTGGTAACGTGTTGAAGGGATCAGCACTATCACTACCCAGCCTTTGGATCCAGGGTGGAAGAGAAGCCTGTGACAGCAGTTCATAGATATCCGGAGACTGAGAAGACGTGAGTAACCGAGTGTGCGAGCTGTGAAAGAAAAATAATAAAAATAAAAATAATAAAAATCAAAGGGGTAATCGTCGTACAAGAGGTTCAGACGTATCCTTGCGGCGTTGGTTCTTGGGGTTCTTGGCTTTGGTTGCTGTGCCGCCCAACCTGAAGCGACCTTTCAGATGCGCCTTGCCCCTTATGGTCCCTTGAGAGATGAGAGCCGTTGAGGCTCCCAATTGAGAGCCGCCCCTGTGGATAGCAGTTCGAATGGCATGGCTTCGGACAGACTTGTTGGCCGGCTGGAAGGTCCCCTCAACAGCGTCGACGGTAACGAACTTGTAATCAGATTCGGGACCCATGTTAAGGGTCAAGCAGCCAAGCGGCGGCTACCTTAGGGCTGAAGTTCAGGTGGCCCGAGTTCCATTAGTCCTAAAAGACTCACTCCTGCCTGGAAGCCCTTCGGCATCTCTGAACTGACGCTCAATGACGCTATTCAAAGACGGAAGAGACCCTGCCGGTCAACCAAAGTCAAGCGGGATTGGCCAGCACTGGCAGATGGCGGTTAGCTAGTTAGTTAGACGATGTCTCGTTGGTCTACGACTCGTAATGGCTGCTAGGAGTTAGTAAGCAACCATGGAAATGGTCTGACTCCGTCACAAAAGGATCAACAACTGAGGAGACGAAATGAGGGGGAGAAATCAGTGAGTGCGGGCGTACCACTCTCTGCTCTCACGGCCGCGATCGGTACGTACCGCGAGGGAACTTCAAGTCCAGGCTAAATCAAGACAAGGTTCTGCCTATCTAAGCCTAGAAAGTGTAGCGGAGAGCCTATTAGCCAATAACAAACCGACGCTTAGAATAGAGCGGAGAAGCATTCATATCTCATTGGACGTATCACGTGACTCGGACCATGTTCGTCCGGCTGGAGTACGTACCCAGTTCCCCGTTCCTAGACGATTCGTCCGTTCTCGGCCTCCGAACGGATGAAACGGACGAAAGATCCGTAAGCACGTACATGCATCAACAACGTCAATGAGAGTCAATGGTTTGGTGCCGAAAGTCGTGATATGGCGTCTTCTTTTTCGAGAGGAGTCGCATTCTACTCCGCATTTCTATCTGAAGCTTGTCAACCCAATGTCAAGTACTGTGCGTCCTTTGATTTATGATCTCGCGCGCTTTGAAAGCATCCAACGACTCGCGCGCTGCTATCGGCTCCAAATCCAAGTCTGAAACCATGGACGAGAGACCAACAAAGAAACGTAAGGTTCGCAAGGGTACGCGAAGCTGTTGGCAGTGTAAGTTCGTCCGAATGCGATGCCGCTTCTCCGAATCCTGGCCGCTTGGCTCCTCCCTCGCGGCGCTGACATCTTGCTCAGGTAGAAAGAGAAAGATCCGCTGCGAGTTCACGTCCAATGAGGAGCAAACATGCAACGGTTGCCAGGCTCGCGGTACCATCTGTGTTAGTCAAGAATTCATCGACGATGAACCGCATGGCCAGCCTGAGCGTGGGCTTGCTCAGCGGCTCGGACGACTTGAAGAACTGATGGTGAAGCTGGCCGACAAAATGGCTCCGGATGCATCAACTGTCAACAAGGCAAACACTCCAGCGTCACTGGCCGAAGGGTCTCTAGGGGCATCTGAGTCCGACAGTACCCCGCCCGAATTGGCGAGGCCTTCCAAGCGCGTCACCGTATCCTCTTCGGTACCCGGTCCGGCACCGACACGCCCGAGACAAGACCGTCCCCGGAGCGGTTGGAAGTACGAGAAAGTATGCCAAGAGGTCCACGCTGCATTCCCCTCTCCTCAAGACGCAAACACTATTGTTCATTCGAGCAGGGGCCCCGTCTTCGTCTTATTCATCTTCTATTCGTATCAAGACATCCTCGACGGCAAGTCTCCGCCGTTGGCCTCTCTCACCACCATGCTAGACGTTGCCAAGCACCCCGCTCTACTGGCAAAGCACTTACTACAGTTGACCATCTGTCTTCAACAGCTACCGCCCTCCTTTGATTCTACTCAACTTGAACTCAGCCAAAAAGGTTCTATCCAGGACAAGATGAACGAGTGGGTTACAGTGGCTAGCTTGGTCACTTCGAACGACGAGCTCCTTGGCTCTGTGGAAGGCTTGCAATGCCTACTCCTTCAGGGGTTTTATTTGCTCAATTGTGGGAATCTTCGAAAGGCGTGGCTCGCAATGAGAAGAGCGCTGAGCTTAGCGCAGCTGATGGGAATTGAGGCGGATGGTGCACGTCTTCTGAAGTCGTGTGATCCGACAACCAATCCGAATACCATACCTTCTTCTCAGGCGCTATGGAGTCGCATAAACGCCTGTGACCGCTGGATTTCTCTCCTGCTTGGACTCTCGGCTGGAACGCAGGACAACAGCTTCATGTCTGAAGAGTTTCTGGCACAGGATACCCCCATGGAGAGACTGGAAAAGAAGTACACCGCCGTTGCCCTCCGCGTCATCGAGAGAAACCGCGTACCGACCAATGAAGCCTATGCCATCACGCAGTCGGTCGACTGCGAGCTCGAAACCGCAGCCAAAGCCATGGGCAGGGCGTGGTGGGAGATACCGCTCTTGCCTGACCCCACCGATACAGCGGCCCAGATGAGCACCATGTCGCACCTGATGCTTCAGATTCATCATCACAGTCTGCTTATCCTTTTGCACCTTCCATACATGCTTCGCAACCAGACGAACAGCCGATTTGACTACAGCAAGAACACGTGTCTAGAGTCGAGCCGGGCGGTATTGAAACGTTGCGTCATCTTCAGAACTGCAAACGATGCAGCCTTTTCATGTCGCCATATTGACTACTCGTCGCTGATGGCTTCTATGACACTTTTACTGGGGCACCTCAGCCGACCTCCCAACGTACGTGAAGAAGACTGGTCAAGACAGCGAAACGAAGACCGAGCACTGGCAGAGACTGTCATGGCCAAGATGGAGGAACTGGCCCTCCTGAACGACGACAAGCTGTCCGGTGAAAGTGCAGAAATCATCCGACAGCTTCTCCCGATTGTTGACTGCTGCAACGGCATGACTTCAAGTCCCTACCCTGAAGCGGCAAGGAACCTGAAGCTTAGCATTCCATACCTTGGCGTTATTAACATCAAAACAACCGCGAACCAGGCCGCCGAGCCACACACGCTGGATCTAAGTCACTCGCAGCTTCCCACACCAAGCAACACCACCACCGTCTCATCTGAAGCCTACCAGGAGACGCCTCCTGCCGTAGCATTGGAGGTGCTTCTGGGCGAAGACAACACCATTCCACACGAAGATTTCTGTGCTGGGTTCAGCGCTGATTACCTAGGGGGTGGCCATGCCCTAGCATCACTGCCGAAGCTGGTGACTGGACCTTCCAGGGCGTTGACACTACATACTGGTCTCTATTGAACAGCGGCATGTCCTGCGAATTTACACGATGAGACCAGATGAATTCCAAAGGACTGAAGCAAAATTGTTTTCTGCGCAGCAGTTACTGAGAAACTAAACCCTTTGCATGTTGTACGCCTGCTGCTGCAAGAAAGCTGAGAACATTGCCCAGCTACATGGCTCATGTAAACAGAAAGATCTAGGGATCTCAAATCCTGTCTCAAAATTCTTTGGTCTTCCAAACCCCGAAAACTCAGAGGGACGAACTACGTTGGTAATGGTCATCTTCTCATCACACGCACGGCCACGCTTGGCGACTTCGGAAATCGAGCATTGCCAATAGCCATTTATACAACCGGCTTCTCTGTAGAGCTACCCCAGCCGGCTGTTGAGCTGTGACCCACGAAGGACAGGGACGACTGTCTACGAAGATTTGATGACAAAGGTAGTCCAATTTAGCATGGCTTCGCGTTTCGATCCAGACACAGAGCTCTCAACATCCCTAACGGGGGGTGGGGGGGGGCCTAATGGATTGCTCCACACACTGTAGCGATCTTGGCAGGCAAGCTGATGGTTTGGTCTTCGTACCGACAATTTCTCATATATGTGTTGTTATTGGTGTTGATCGATGCGCTTACATCATGTTTCTTCGTCGCGGTTTCCGGCGCGGATCTTCTGCCCTACCGGGGCACTATGGCCAGCAAAAGATCAACTCGCGGATCGAGTCCCGAAAGTCAAAGGCGCACTAATAGAGATGCCAAGAGTCCTTTGAGCATTAAAACATGAGGCGAAATCTTATCAACGGTTTATGTCCAGTGGCCACATGACTCGCTTTTGTTGCCGTGACCAATCAACGTCAACGTTGCATACGACTAATGGATCCTCAGGGGCACAAACTGGCAGATTGTTCTGTCAGGATTTGCAACACAAAAATTGAGCTGGATGCTTATACTGCTGGGCTATTATAGCGTCTTTTGTAAAACCAAGCATGAAAATGAAATGGGATGGAATCAACCGGTTTTCCCAACAAATTGTGAGAAATAAAATAACAGACGACATGTTGTCTTTCTGCATAGTCTAAATCAGCAAGAGCTTGTTCAATATCAAGAGACGGCTTCACTTTGTAGCTGCCCCGATTCGTCATCTTCTCCTTAGAGCTTGAGATTGCAAGGCATGGGCACGTTTCAGCCATGATCCGAATTAGGAATCCCTTCCTCCAGGTCCGCTCGGGTTTGTAGCGGAGACCAGCCCCAGGCCCGCAAGTTTTAATTGGAAGAGTTGGAGAAGAGCACGCTCCTTTAGCCTCAAAAGCGGAGGAGGCCAGGAAGGTAAGGGGCCTCCCAGCCCACAATGTTTTGGGCCAGACTGCTTTTGGACAACGACAAGCCGGATTGAACAAGTCTCTGTTTGATGTTGGTTGGGTTACTGGTGGTCGGGCATGGGGTTAGATGGGCGTGAGGGAGACTAGTTGAACATAATAGGCTGGGACTACTCTCATTGAGAAGCTTTCTCCTTTTGAGTCTCGTCTTCGGTTCGTTTTTGACTTCTTCCCATTGCCCTAGTTGGCTTTCACTGTCTTTTACGTTCTGTGCTCAAGGTTTTGTCATTTTCTCTCGAAAAGTACAATTTGCTTTTATCCAGAGTTTGGGCAGCCCAGCCACTCCTTTCAAAACAATGGTGTCTTCCAGTCTCTTTGTTGTCCTTGGCCTTGCTGCTCTTGCATTTGCAGCTCCTAATCCCCCTCGCATTCTTGCCGCTGACGACATCGTTCTCCTCAACCATGATGGCACTTCTCGAATCATGAAGGCCGCCGACTACGAGGCCCTCGAGATTGCAGCCGCCGTTCGCAATTCCTTCGATTCTCATGACAACATCACTAGCACGCCTGGCATAGTCCGACGCGGTTGCGAGAAGAGCAACGAAGTCCAGGTCATGTCGGACGAATCTTTCCTCAACTCCGATGTTGCTATTTCTCCAATCGCTTCATCTCTTGGCAACGTTACAACCACACTTCGCGTCTCGAACGGATTCAAAGTCGCAAATCACCTCAAGATCGGTAGCCAGATCACTTTCGGCGGCGATTCCATTGTCAAGGTGTCGCTTGGCATGAATCTGGACATAGAGTGGTCCACCTCTCAAGAAAATTCGCTCAAATACGAGGTGCCGGCCAACATGTATGGCGTCATTGTCAGCCAGCCCTACGTTCGTCGCATGCAGGGCCACTTGCTGAGCGGCTGCACGGACAGCCCTGCCAAGACCCCTTTCACGGCCGACACGTACGAGAGCCAGAGCTACGGGTCACTATCTTGGGTCAAGGGCGTTATTCGTCTGTGCAGCAGCGAGACGTACCCGATTCCTTACTGTGTGGGTCAGGGCCAGCATACATAAGTTGGGTCAGTTTGGCGTTGGTGGGTTTTCAAGTCCAGGTTGATACTGCGAGAGATGGTTTCATAGTGTACGGGCAACTTTAGTTGAGCTAACTGAAATGTGGATTTCTAGTGAAAACAATGTGGCAACATCAACGTGACCGACCGCATTTCCTACCACAGTGCTTACAAACCGTTAGTGTTTTACACGAGCCTGAGGGTATTTTCATGTCCTTGATCCAAGAAAGCTTCAACAGCTTGTTGTTCGGGCGAATCATCCTGGCCACTGCTAACGCCAAGCTTCATCACGAATACACCTATGCGCCTGTAGCAGATGGCAGGACGATCTTCATCTTTTCCCGCCGCGACTGATCTGAGAACCAGACCCAAAGCCCGCTCGGCGTCTCGCGCACTCGTTAGAAGAGTGAGTAACATGAGTGGCTCCTCAAGCGATCCGTCCAACATGGATTCGAGCCGCCTTTTCGCCTCCTCTGTATCCGGGCTCAAAGACAAAGTTTTTTCCGAAGGTTGCCATTCATCTGGCTGCTCGATTATCATAAACGGTTGCAGTTTCTTGAATCCCATGCTATCGGTCCCGAAAGTCATCAACGGGCCCTTCACCTCAAGGTAGCCGTCCGAAACCATTCCATAAGGAACTGTTGGATAGGTGGTCTGGACCTCGACGGTCAGAAGTTGTGACTTCACACAGCTTCCACTGTAGAAGAACATGCTACCGACCGTAACATGAGTGAGGGGCCCATCAACTGATGCCCAACTCCACGATGGGGCCCGATAATTGCAGTCTCTGCTGACACTACGATGCCAATATGGGGTCATGTCTTCAGGTCTCAATGCGGCCCATAAAAGCTGTGACATCAGCACCTCTGGGTACTCGGCATCATGGAACAAGCCAGCAAGGTAGCGTATCGGCCTCTCAAGGTGGCGTGAGAGTCTCTTGATGGACTCCTCGGCGATTGCCGAGACGGCAGAAAGTTTGTCTGATGGAACACCCAGAGACCGCCGACTGTAACCCTTGATGATGCCCATCCAATCATCCCAACCGGGCGTTGCAGGTAGCGGACTTGTGGCTCGGAACACATTGGTATGTGATATAGTTCTGAAGGCAAAGTCGTCCAGAGAGCCACCACTGCCAACGCCCGATGCATGGCATCGCCAGAAGAGCTGTTGGGACGAGAAGATCACCATCCGATGACTGAGCAGCGATTCCTGGAGCGTCCAGCCACGTGTTGCGATTGGCTCCGCGTCGGGGCCGAGCTCGTTATACAGCAGAACAGATCCGAGCTCGCCACTTGCTGTTCGGTACGGAAATCGAAAGGGACCAACTGCATGCTTTCCTCGGTCGCTGCGAGGTTCCAAGAAGCCTTGATTGGCCGCCGAAGCTGATGCTGCCAGAAGCGTCACGGTGTTGGCACCATAATACGATGACATGCGCCCAATCTCAGTCGCTTTGTCATGCGGGTTGTCTTGAAGTATGCAAAGGGCATCGACCCAGAGATACTCAAGCCCCATGGCGTGAGTGAACTTGATTGCGTCGTGTATTGTTCTTGAAAACTGGGAAGCATGCATACCAGCCCGGAGACGGTCTCGTGTATGGGATGTCAGGCTAGGTTCCTGCGGGCCACCCCAGCAATATGAAAGTGCTGCAAACCCTGCTTTCGCAATGTTTTTCTGCGTATCGGGAATTGTTTCGTCTTTTTCCACGAGCCTTACTTTGAGAACACCATTAGCATCTACGTGAACTTGGAGAAGGCGTGTTGGTACACCAGAAGTATCAACTTGTGCCTCCCCCGATTCAGTAACCGCTCCGAGCCCACGACACTCGGGATGCTGTTCAATACATCTCCGTAAACACTCTCTTGACAACGATACACTCTTTGAACTCGCGACATCCAAGTCCATTGGTCTTGTAGTAATGTGATCTGCTGCGGGGTTGCCCTCTTCCGCACATGCAAATATACCCGGCGTTATACTAACGGCTCGCGCACTTGAAATTTTAACTTCGATGCTCAACTGGTGTTTTTGACCATACCAGTACCTGCTCTTGAGCATGAACGTCGCATCTAGCAAGTCTCCCACTCTCTCAATGCTGTTCGCTGGTGGCGGGTACTGGAGGAGTAGGTCGTCTAGGATCCATTGATAAAAGGCACACCCCGTCTGGGCAGCTCGACACGCTCCATGGATATCATGATGAAGATGAAATTCTTCGTTGTGCACGGGCGCTTGTCGCGCACCTTTGGGTTGAGGGAGCATGTAGCTGTTCAATGGCCCAGAGAGATGATTCTTGGCGCAGGAGGTGCAACTGTGTGGATTGGCAATCGTCAACGATTCCTTCTCGGTAATCAATGTGCGATTTTGCAGTACTTCTTTTCTTGTCTTCAGGTACTGCAGCGTCTCTTGTTCTTTGGGGCAAGGGGATATGCTCATCATGGTGAAGGGCTGACAATGTTGTGTTGCAAAGGCGTTGGGCATGCCGAATTGTTCCAGTATTCGGGTAGTAACAGTGTTTGGATATGAATGCTTCCGACGATGGTTTCGTTGAACAAAAGTCACGCTTCATGCGGGGGAACCCATTCTTCGCACCCAACGCCTGCTTACTGACATACCCTCTCGCTTAGCGCTAAGATTTGATAAGCACGAAGCGATATTTGATGTGGTCTCTCTCTTGACCAATAAGATGTTCGTGTGGCCATCATGTTGATACTGGTAACAGGAAAGCTGCCTTCTCATGCTGCCCACGCCTTTGCCTGTCCCTTGACAATGGCCACCTCATCGTTATCCTCCCTTGATGAATAATCTTGCTCGACATGTGTCTCGTAAGTTTTTTGAACGTAAACCCGTCCGTCCATCTGGCCGCTTCTGTGCAAATCGTCTAGCGGTATTGACTCCGTGACCATGACTGATCTCGACGTTGTGTTTGGCCCGTAGCTGCTCATAGCACCAGGCTGGCTCTTTTGGCCGCCGTATCGCTGTGTAGTTTTTTTCTGACTGGAGTGATATTTCTTGACTCCTCGTGTGAGAAGAGCCTTGAGAGGTGGCAAAGAGCCGACGACGACGGCTGTAGCTGTTTCGACCGCACCCCAGATGGCGAGTCCCACGAGGTCGACAGTTTTCCCCTGTATGACCTGGGTCATACGCACGATGGCAACACATATGATGATGATGGCGAGACTAAAAGCTAAGCCTAGCCCGACTTTTTTCTTTTTATCCAGCTGTAGAGATGGCAAGACTGTTATTGGCAGCACCATTATCATCAGATCAGAAGCGATGTCGACGGTGGTGGAGTAAATGACGTTGAAGGTCTGCATCCAGACTTCATGCGGCGTGTTGCACTTTCCTGTGTGACTTTGTCAGTTGTACGATCGGCGCATGGGACGAGATGCCAAGCAAACGTGTCATAAGGGGTTGACAAACCAGCTTTGAAGTAATCGGATGGAGGGCTGCAGGTTAAAGCGCTTGCCAGCCAACAGCCAATGTATGCCAGAAAAGCAAAGACAGCCACACAGTACCAAAGGCGCCGGCGTACAGTAAATGGTTTGACAAGACGGTAAAACACGGCCATGAAGCTAGCCTTGACGGACCAGAGGATAGTCCAGAAGAGCTTTATGATAGGGAATTGCCAACGGGTCAGGTCTTCCGTCTTGACACCTGTTTCCGTGGTCACTGGGATTCGTCCTGCCGACAGATAGGTGGTGTAGTACAGCGCGTCAAGCTGTCTTGTTTGTAGACTGGTCATGGTGAGAAGACACATCCAGGCCCAGATGATCCAGTAGTCATCGGCGAGAAAGGAGCGGTTCTGACGCCATCGTACCGCAAGTCTTAGTCCAACGAACAAGCTGGCAACTGAGAAGCAAATCCAGATGATGGCTGTGAGGGTCTGCCGATTGATGGACTGTGCCGCTCCCGTCAAGGGGGCGTCAGGGTTAGAGGCTGCGGACATTAATTGCAGAAATTCAACTGTGTGTGTGTGTGTGTGTGTGAGAGAGAGAGAGAGAGAGAGAGAAGGACCCATGAGCACTGCAACAGCCAAAAGGGGCCGAGGACACATATATTGATCAACAAGAAGAGGATATCGCTTTTCAATTGCCATTGAGAAGTACCAAATGAGTGGCTCTATTGAAACAGCAGATTTTCTGTGAGGTTCTGCACATTGGATGTTGTTGGATGCAACCGAGCAAATTACTGCCGGGGAATGGAACGCGCGCATTCAGGGGCCAGAACCTAGTCCGGTAAGGTTTTTTCCTATCATGCCTTCATAGGGAAGTCCTTAAGATACGTGACATGTACCGGCATCTCGACAGCGGATGCAGCCAAGCCTTGACCTGATTGATGGCATTTTGGTTGTTGAAAACAAGCAAGAGCCAATCCCAGGACACTGTACTATGTACCACCAGTTAACCTTCGAAGCATTGGGCATTTGAGGGACACTTTGCTCCGCAACACAAAACTTAAGGACAAAATGGATGCGTCCCGACGAGAAGCAAAAGGAATCCGAGGTCACAGTGTTCTACACGCCGCAAACCCCAACGACTGGTTGCAGAGACTTTTATGTATCCTCTCCGTTATTCAAAATCGATGACTGATAGCTCATATTCTACGTTAGAATTCCCATGCATAATCCTACAGATCCATAGCAGGGACAACGAGACTCACTAGCACCCAATGCAGTGTTGTTCTCCGTGGCCCTTCAGGACTAATGAAGATTATTTCGAGTGTGACAACGGGTTGTGAAGTTGGGAAAAGTTCCAAGTCTTTAACCCGGAACGCCTCGACCAGCCCGAGAACCAAGTCAAAAACGGAAACGATTCCGGTTGGGTGTGCCCTTTAAAGTGTTACATGGCGAATGCGAGAGGGTGGAGTTGATCCAGGATCGTGGCTTTGATCCTGGTATTTTCGACAGTAATCGCAGGTGCAAGTTGCTAGCGCCAACCGCATCACATCCTTCGCTTCTTGGGGTGACTAGGATTCCTGTTGCGAGGTAGGAGAAGCTCATCCTTGATGGTAGTTGTTGGTGTGGGACCTCAGACGTAGCTTCATTGAGACATGTCTCTGGAAATCCTGAAGTGCGTTGTTCATCTCTAGTACCCAGAGTTGCCTTTTTTGAGAAACTATTTGTATTACTTTATATGGGTAACCAACCTGCTGGTACCCAGACTAGAGCAAACTATGGGGCAAGGGGGCCAAGAGGTCAAATACGGAGAGGTTCGCTTTGATTTGGACACTGGTATAAATACTCTGAATCATCACCAATGGCAGCGAGCTTGCTGTCCGCCACCCACATCATCCAAGAGCGGCAATGCAATCGGCTGTGAACGTACTCGGTTATCATCAATTTGCCTCGGGAGAACTGTATCGACATCGCTTGCGACGGTCGCTTCTGCAGTGGCATGGGGGTTCCGTCAATCTCATCTCCTGTGCGGCACTCGCGCCTTAGTGTGGCGGAGAGGCTTCCAACCGAGGTGGAAGACCGGGGTCCTGGGCCGGGCCGGGGTCCAGCGTCCGGACGGGGACAGCCATACCGGGGAGGGGAGCGCACAAATCATTGGCCTTTGATGATCAGTGTCTCACCCCCGCACCGGTGGCACTGGCGCAGGACGGCTGCATCTTGATGTTGGTCGTATCCTGGCACATGGTAAAGATCTGTAGTCGCTGCGACCCTTCGGCCCTTCGCCGTTGCCACCTTGTCTGTTTTCTCGGCTTCTCTGGCCCAAAGCCAAGACCTACTTTCGTTAGGCCCCTCCTGCGCTAACTCGAAAGACGGGATCCCGGCGTAGGCCGGGCGGCCGTATGCAATACATCGACCGGAGCAATTGATCTCGCTTGGAAGCCTGCAGAGTAAACAATTTGGCGGTTTGTTGCGGGTCTAGATTGTCCTCACATACCTGATAAATATCTTTGTCACAATTATTCCATCCCTCCGATTTGTCTTTCTGCCAGCCCGCTGCAGAGTTTATCAAGTTGCCAACTGTATTGTTCACACAAGGTACACCAACATGGAGTTCATCAAGGCCTTGTCGATCCTTGCGGTCCTCGTTGCAGGCTCACAAGGGGAAGGGTTTGGAGACCAGTCTCTGGCCGAAGCCTTCTTGCCGAAATGCAAAAGTGTAAGAAAAACGAACCCCCTTTTCAATGCCTGTGAATGCCATCCGAGGATCAATGTTAACTTTCTGAAGGTACCCGGCGACAGCAGCTGGCCGTCTGAATTCTCATGGAAGGCCCTCAACCTGATCACCGGCGGTAAGCTCGTGAAGACTGAGCCCATTGCCCAGTCATGCTACGATGGCCCCTCCAAAGACCTTGAAGAGTGTGCCTACGTCACAAAGATGTGGTCGGACCAAGACTTCCAAACCTCCAACCCCATCGGTCGGCCGTACCCTTACAACATCACTTGCGCGCCGGTCGACTACGCCACAAACCAGGTCCCGACCAGCTGTTCCCTCGGGTCGCTTCCGACGTATGCCGTCAATGCGACCAACCGCGCGCACATCCTCTCGGCTCTTCTCTTTGCGCGCCTTCACAACGTTCGCCTCGTCGTTGCCAGCACAGGGCACGATCTCCTTGGTCGCTCCGACGGTTACGGCGGTCTGGAGATCTGGCTTAGATACTACCGCAACAGCATCGACTTCCAGAACACGTACACATCGGCCAACAGATGCTCCAAATCTAGTTGGACAGGCAGTGCCATCCATATCGACGGTGCTTGGCAGTGGAGGGATGTCTACAAGGTTGCCAAGGCGAACAACGTCATCGCCGTTGGGGGAGGCGCGGTGTCTCCGGGAGCAATTGGCGGCTGGCCCTCCGGAGGTGGCCACGGTCCCGCGACGCGCAACTACGGCCTCGGAGCCGACCAGATCCTCGAGGCCGAAGTGATGCTCGCAGACGGGCGCGTCGTCACGGCCAACCATTGCGAGAACACGGACCTTTTCCGCGCTCTCCGCGGCGGCGGACCGGGATACGGCATCGTCCTTAGCACCACCATTAAGGCGCACCCCAACATCAACGTCGTGACGGCCCACAAGCTCGCCATTGCGCCTCTGCAGCTTTCAGCCAACAACTCGGATCTCTTGGACGCCGTGTCCGTTCTTCTGCAGTCGTATCCAGACCTCAGCGACGCCGGCTATGCCGGATACGCCTACTGGTTCCGCAACTACCCGGGTGTTTTCGTCGCGAACGCCACCTCGGGCTACTCCCATGGGTTCTGGACCATTGGCAAAACACAGAAAGAGGCCGACGCCGGGTTCGCCCCTGTCCGTGAGTCTCTCGCCAAGTTCAAGGACCGCCTCTTCGTCTATGAGAGCTTCGCGAGTTACAACGACTACTGGGCCTTCTACGAGGCCGAGTCGGGATTGTACGACCCTACCGGCGACACTTCGATCTTGACGTCTCGCATGATTGATCGCTCTGCCGTCGCCGACTACGACCACGTCCGCGAGGCTGTGGAAGTCCTCAGCGGCAAGCCCGAAGAATACGCATCCAATGTCGTGCTCCTCGTGTCCGGCGGGCAGGTTTTCCAGGATGCCAAAGACAAGACCTCTGGCTTGCATCCCGCCTGGCGTAACTCCTCCTACGCTCTCATCACCGGTCGCGGCATCCCCAAGACCGCCAGCAACGAGGTACGGAAGGCGGTGCAGGACGACATTACCTTTGTGAAGGGCGCCGCCGGCAAGAAGCTAGCGCCGACCACGGGCGGTTACATGAACGAGGGCGACCGGCACGACCCGGACTACATCCAGACGTTCTACGGTGCCAACTACGCTAGCCATCTGGCGGCGAAGAAGAAGTACGACCCTTTCAACGTGTTTTACTGTCCGTCCTGTGTTGGTGCCGAAGCCTTTGTCGAGCGGCCGGACGGACCATTGTGTGAGGTGTGAGCACGAAGGTTTAGCTTAGTTGTGGGCAGCTTAATAGTAGACATGAGAAGTGGGCTTGCATACTGTACAGTATTGGGACGAACCTAGAGACACAATCGATAGTTGTTTGTTAAAGCTGAGAGCCGTTTACATCTCATGGCCCACATATTAACAGGGTATTATTGTGACGGTGCATCACAGTCGTGGGCAGGTCATTAATTAATCACGTCGAGATGACAATCAAATCATAATCCCATGGAGTATGTTAACAGTAGTGTTTCCCATATCTGTGTGGCCGGCCGTTATTTCACAAGCTCGCGTCTCCCTATCACAGATTGTCATTACTGAATGGTTGCAGAAATAAACTTTTAAGCAATTGTGATCATGTCTCATTACAGCATCGTCGCTAAACCGCCATATCTAATTATACAACATCACATTTTCGCCGTCCGCCTAGTAGGTCGTCAACTCGGGCGTGCCCTCAGCTCTCGGGAACGAGAACTTGGTCTCGACAAAGATCTTCTGGATGCCGTCCTCATGCTTCTCGAACTTGTAGTAGACCTTGTCCAAGTCGTCGAGGCGGATACGATGCGATAGCATCTGGTAGACGTCGATCTTGTCCTCCTGGACCTTTTTCAGGAGGTCCTCCCAGTACAGGTGCACGGGCGCCTGGCCGTTGCCGATGAGGCGGATTCCGCGCTCCATCAGCGAGCCGATGTTGAAGTGGTTGGTGTAGCCGACGTAGACGCCGGTGATGCCGCAGCGGCCAAAGTTGCGGACACCCTCAATCATCTCGTTGACGAGCTCGCTCGTGTCCGTCTCGGCGCCGAGGGCGATCTCGGCGGCGTGGAGCCAGCCCTTGGGGTACTCGCCGGCGGCGCACTCGATGGCGGCGTCCGGGCCGCGGCCGCCGCAGAGCTCCTTGAGTTTCGTGACAACAGTGGCCTTGTTGGTGACGCCAAACGACAGCTTCGAGTAGTCGATAAGCTCGAGCTTGTCGGCGTGCTGGGCGGGCCACTTGGACTTGACATAGGACAGGCGGGCCTCGGTGTCGATGAAGATAACCTTGGACGCGCCCTGGTCAATCGCAAAGGCACCGGCCATCTGGCCGATGGGGCCAGCACCCCAAATGGCGACCTGGTCGTTGGGGTAAACGGCGGTGTCCTTGACGGCGTTCCACGAGGTGGCGAGGACGTCGGAGAGGTACAGTGCCTTCTCGTCGGGGACGCCGTCAGGGATCTCGAGCAGGTTCACGTCGCCAATGGGAACGCGGACGTACTCGGCCTGGCCTCCGGCAAAGCCGCCGGTGAAGTGAGAGTAGCCGAACATGCCGGCGGTCTGGGAGCCGTACATGGACTTTTCCATGGTGTTGGAGTTCGTCCTCTCACACTGCGAGGAGAGCTTTTGTTTGCAGTAGAAGCACTGGGTTTTGTTAGCATTTTGGTTCTATACTTGGGGAAAACAGCCGTGTACTTACGTCGCCGCAGGCGATCTGGAAGGATGCGACGTATCGCTTGCCGACCTTGACCTTCTTGATGCCGGAGCCGACCTCGTCGACGACACCGCAGAACTCGTGGCCGAGAATGTCGCCCTTGTTCATCTGGACGACCGAGCCGTGCAGCAGATGGAGATCACTGCCGCAGAGGGTGCTCCCGGTGACCTTGAGAATGACATCCTTGTCCTCGAGAATCTTGGGTCGCGGGACCGTCACTGGGATGGGTTAGGAGATGCCGGCGATGGTGAGGAATGGTTGATTAACTCACAAATTTCGACCTTGTTCTTGCCTTGCCAGACCAGCGCCTTCATGAGCTCGTTAGGGTTGCCCTTCTCGCCGCTGTAGTTGGTGACATCCTGCGCCGTAACGGCATCGTCCTGGTGGCCAATGACCTGTTCGGCTGCGTATGCTGCTTGGGACGCCATGTTGGGTATATTTACGGGTGAATGAGTATAATGAGTATTTCAAGTCAAAAAGTGTGAATGGCTTGAAATCGTTAGTGTCTCAGAAGGCATTATCTGGAGAACTCGGCAGGATCACTGGTCCTTATACACAGCACACGCGGACGGAGCACAGCACAATCATCACGTAACCAGTCTGTCAATGGCTGGATCTGGCCCTGAAGTCCATACACCGCAAGCTGTTGTGTGGGAAGCGGCTCTGGCTGGGCTTGCAAACGAAGACTAATGACGGGAGGCGGCGTCATTTTCGACGGAGAAGCGACGTCATGGATACCGGAGGCGATCGCCCGGCGGCGGAGCTCTCGACCCGCGGGCCAATGAGAGCGGCCGGCCCGAAGCGGATGGCCGCTGCTTGCCGTTGATGGGGATTAGGGCGGGCAAGGCTGATGGAACAGCTTGTCCAATTCAGGATGTCAGCGGTGGGCGGGAAGGGAATGAGGGGCGCCAGAACGGGACGGCAATTGTGATGTTCAAACAAAAGTCGATGGTGCCGCTCATCGCACCCCTGCCTGGCGTCGGGATCTGGCGATGTTTCTGTGGTTCCTGGCCGGACCTGGATGCCGAAGTCTGGTTCGGCATCTTTGCATGAAGAATAGACGACGTCAGGTTGAGGCCAGTCAGACTTGAGTAAGCCGGCAGTGAGTCGAAACAGGGACTGGCCTCCGGACCACGTGGGGACGGCAAGAAAACGGCTGTCAGTGTGCGTAAAGCCTGAATTTAAGCTTGTCTTGTGCGCATGTGGTGTGTCCATCGCATTTTTGAAGAGTCGGGGAGCGCAGACTTGGCGCGGACTGGGAGGACAGACATAAACTTAGTTCCGACGAAAGTTGAAGAGAAACGAGAGACGATTCATGCTTCTTTATCTCATGAAAAGGGTCATCAAGGTTCTCTCTTGCATCGGCTCGAAACCGAGCAAATGCTGTGTTGACTGCACACATCGCAAGGGTGCCAATGAGTGGAAGTGGGGTGAGCCGTTGAACAGACGTCACCATTTGGAGATCAATTAACCCACGAACAGCTTGGCCCTGTCGGCCGGCACCAGCTGTGAAGACTGATTACTCAGAATGAGCTGCTGGGCATGGGGAGCGCAAGGGGGGGGCGGGAACAAGTTGGAGATCGGGACGCTTCCAGGGCCGGCACAAGGATGGAGCTTCGCAGCGCGCTCCCGTCGAGCCGGCGATGAGGGGAAAGCGGGGTGCCCAGGGGTCCTGTGCAGTTCATTTGGGGTAAACAGACCCCGGAAGGAGACAAGACGGAGGGACTCGTTGCATCGGCCGCATTGAACCGCACATTGGCATCAGGCACCGCGACTCGAAATGGCAATCCGGAGCATGTTGCGTCCGCAAAGGACAGCAATGCCGTTCAGTCGCGACAGTCTGCCCCGACGGGGCTCTCTATATGTAGAGCTTGGAGCTGAAGCTGAAGCTGACGGGTCTGGGAGGTTGATGTGTTAGTGTTAAAACAGTCAGTTGTCTCGTCGTCCTCGTCTCCGTCTCGTCTCGCCTCAGTCATCGTGATAGCCTCATCCTGTTACCCAGAGTTCCAAGCGTGGAACTACGCCTCTCTCCTCGCCCACCCAGCTCCAGAGACCACAATGAAGGTCGCGTCCATCCCCCTCGCCGCCGCCCTGCTGGCCGGCGCCACCTCCGCCTTCCAGGTCGGCAAGCCGCCCGTGCCCCAGGCCAAGACGACCATGGCCGACAACTTCCCGTGGCGCGACCCCTTCACGTCCAAGACGACGGACGCCTACGCCGCCGCGTGCGAAGCGTCTGGCACGTTCGCCGCGACGCAGTACACGCTGCACGACCTCTTTGACAAGCCGCCGACGGGCCTCTTCCACTACGGCGACGGGCTCAAGACCTTCTTCTCGGGCCGCGAGTACCCCGGCGGCTGGGCCGGCCTCGACCGCCACATGTACGACCGCAACGTGCTCATGATGGAGTACGCCGACGTGCCCCTGCGCGTGCGCGAGTGGATCGAGGAGCAGGAGCGCGCCGACGGCGCCGGCAAGGGCCTGTTTGCCGTCTTTGACAAGCCCGCGACCGCCGAGGAAAAGGTCACGAAGCGCATCGCCGTCCCCGCCGACGCCGCAAAGGTCGACCGCGACCTCGACGCCAAGCGCGTCGCCATCTTCGCCCCCGGCGCGCTGTACCCCGTCCTGCCGCTGTTTGTCGCCGACGGCAGCGACTGCCAAGGTGAGTTTTGATACGGTTCCCCGGCAGCAGCAGCACCGTTGATCGCCCGACTGACCCACGCCATCTATAGCCACCCTCGCCGACCTGGGCAACTACCAGGCCGTGCCCGAGGATGCCGCCGTCGTGGCGTGGCCCGTCAGCCACACCCGGCCCGACATCGCCAACCACAAGCGGGACATTGAGTTCACCGTCAAGGCCCAGGTCCTCAAGCTCAAGGACGGCGCGACGGAGGGCGAGGCCGACAAGAAGGCGGCGCCGTCTGAGCCGGCCAAGGATGAGCTGTGAAGGAGACGGGCGACCCAGGGGGGGGGGGAGATGATGGGAGCGAAGCGAAGCAAAGCACGTAGATTAGACTCTGTATTCTTACCGCAACGGCCTGCTAGACCGCCAGATGCACGGGGCAGAACCCAACAAATTGAAAGCTATAATCTCACTGCCTGCTCGAGTTGCACCATAACGTTGACGGACGCGCGGTCTCGGTTGAAATCTGCCTTGGGATTGTTAATCAGCCAAGACATTCCCGAACGAGCCTATCAACGGTCAAGCGACCGCCAGGCACATGCCGGTTGTTGTCGAGGCCCAAGTCAGCTATTGGGACGAACAGCATTATTAATCCAAATCCTTGGCGTTTTCTCCATGGAACTCCACGGAGTGCCGCCGGCGCCACGGTGGCTGGGGTCGTCCCCGGCGTCCACGGATCTCACACCGAGCCTCACCGAGTCTCACCGAACCGCTCCGGAGCTCTCCACAGCTCATACCATGAGTCGGACGTCATGCACAGCGACGATGGCGGAATTTATGTTATACAAAACCTCTTGTCTCCTTTGATCCCCTCTCTGTTATAAGTAGTCCTTATTCGAGGAGTCAAAGTCTACCGGCAGGTTCACGGTACTTGACAGAATGCAGGTTCGGGCCTGGCGTATGCCACGGAAGGCGGTTCCACGGCGTCCCGATCGATATCTGCCAACCGATCGCAACAACGCCGGTGGCTTCAGTCCGTACCTGGCGAACCACAGACTCGAAATCAAGCACTGCCTTTCCACGGCTGCCCAGACATGGAGATGGCGCCATGGAAGCCACCGAGACGGCGGGCCATACTATATAAACAACCTTCCAACGCGTTGACAGTGAAGACTTCCATCTCCATCATCAGTCCACAGCTCCTACACAAGAACAGCAACTCCTGAATCTGTAACCTTGATTGCTTGAAGACACACCCAGATCAACATCACCTACCGTCACAATGCCCGCCCGCTACGAAAGCTCCTCCGCCAGCCCCGAGCCCCTGGCCCGGCCCCTGACCTTCCCCTTCTCCAACAAGACGGCCAAGAACCGCCTCCTCAAGAGCGCCATGGCCGAGAACCTCGCGACCTGGAGCGCCAGCGAGCCCTCCAAGCGCGGCATCCCCACGCCGGAGCTCGTCGAAGTCTACCGCCGGTAAGCATACCGCACCTGCCTGACTGGCACTCTGACAAGCACGCAAATGTTACTAACACGGCTTCAACAGCTGGGGCGAGGGTCCCAACAGCTTCGGCGTCATCGTCACGGGCAACTTGGACATTGAGTTCGACTACATGAGCGGCGTTGGCGACATGATCATCACCCCAGAGTGCGAACCCACCGGCGAGCGCTTCGAGGGCTTCCAGGCCGTCGCCGCCGCGGGCAAGGCCCATGGCAGCCTGATGCTGGCGCAGGTCACCCACGCCGGGAGACAGGTGATGAAGAAGATCCAGCCGAACCCCATCTCCGCCTCGGCAGTCCAGCTGGGTGCGTTGTGTCTCTCACAAACCCCGCAATCACCACCCCCCCCCCTCACATAGACTGACACCCCCGCAGGACCTAAGATGGGCATGGAGTTCGGCGCGCCCCGCGAGGCCACAAAGGCCGACATTGCCCGCGTCGTCGAGGGCTTCGCGCACGCCGCAGAGTACCTCGACAAGGCGGGCTTCGACGGCATCCAGCTGCACGCGGCACACGGCTACCTTATTGCGCAGTTCCTCTCGCGCACCACCAACAAGCGCACCGACGAGTACGGCGTCCAGACGCTCGAGAATCGCACGCGGCTCATCGCCGAGATCGGGCGCGCCATCCGGGCGCGCACGTCGCCGGGGTTCATCCTGTCGGCGAAGCTCAACAGCGTCGAGTTCCAGGACGGCGGCGTCACGCCCGACGAGGCGCGCGAGCTGTGCGAGAGCCTGGCGAAGCTCGAGTTCGACTTTCTCGAGATCTCGGGCGGGACGTACGAGGAAATTGGGCTAGAGTGGATCAAGGACAGCACCCGCAGGCGCGAGGGCTTCTTCCTCGAGTTCGCCGACACCGTCGTCAAGGGGCTGGGAGACGCCGCTTCGCGCAAGACCAAGGCGTACATCGTGGGCGGCATGCGGTCAGTCGGGGCCATGGTCAAGGCCCTGGACATTGTCGATGGCGTGTCCGTGGGCCGGCCCGGCGCGAACGAGTTCCGCATCGCGCCCGACATCTTGGAGGGCCGCATCACCGGCGCCATCCGGCCCGTCGAGATGATGGAGGCCGACTTTGGCTTCGACATGGCCGCAGCGAGCGCCAACATGCGCCTGGTCAGCAAGGGCAAGGAGCCGTTTGACCCGAGCGATCTTGCGTCCGTCAAGGTGTTTGCTGATGACATGCAGGCTTGGTACGGCGATTTAATTGCGGACGGCGACAAGCTGGAGCATCACGGAGCCATCGATTTCTCGGGGAAGACTGTGCCTTACGGAACCACTGCCACGGCCTGAGCTGGATTGGGATGCACCACTTACGTTACATAGACATAGACTTTCTTTGCTGTAGATCTCGAGCCTCTAAATAAAACATTCGTTGCGTCAAGACGCCCGTCGCTCCCGTGTCTTACAATGGTCGACTGCAAAGTCGTCGGTGCGACTCGTGCTGCGTGCTTCGGTGAGCGTCGGTGAGAGATGCGTACACTAGGTCGTTAGATGAAGAGATCGGCAGTCTGAACCCGAGCCAGCAAATAGGCAGTTGACCGAGAAGGCTTCTCAACCGTCCATGGTGCAACTAAAAATGACTAACACTGCACATTGTGGCTGGGGGGTGGGCCAACCGACACCACCTTGACTGTGTGCATTTGTAATCCAGGCCCACGCCTGCAAGGATGCGACGCATGCAGACCCCAACCCCTGTTTAGCCCTTTGATGAGATTCGAAACCGCGACTCAAGCCTCAAATGGGAGAGAGCATCTAAAAGACCCGAGAAGCCCTGCATTTGAACATCCACTGGCCTTGGCTCCTGACGACGGATCCAGAATCGATTGCCAAAGCAACTCGAGATGGAGACTTCATCACAGCGCCGCAAGGGTAAGCCTCGGGACTATTCATATGGGTGGGTGTCCGTTGGCTAATACGCATAGCCTGCGACTTGTGCTTCACCAAGAAGATCAAGTGCGACATGCTTAAGCCGGCATGTTCCAACTGTGTGCTCTACAAGTCGGAATGCAGAACAACCACAGTCCGTCGTAGGGTTGCGCCGGCCAAAGAGCGCCAGCAGCAACCCAGACAGGAGACGCCTGGAGAGTAAGTTGCCACAGATCTCCCTCAGCAGAGCCAACGTTGCCTAACAGTCGGTGCAGCCCAAAGAGAGTAGCGGAGCTAGAGAGCCGCCTGGCTAGGATAGAACTGCAACTGCAACACGCACTCGACGCCAACGTTCGTCTTTCGAGTCAAGTCCCGACTCCTTCACCATTTGTTACAAACATAATCGAGCCTTCGACGGACAATGGAGATTCGACAGACAGCGCCGACTTGAGCAGCGCCTTATCGTGCAGTACAAGCCCGAGCGAATGCGTAGTGGAACCGGAGAAGCACAAGCTGCCGCCGTTAGAGGAGATTATGCCCGTCGTCGAAATGTTCTTCAACCAGTACAACTCTCTGATGCCACTCTTTGACCAAGAAACCTTTATGCGGATGCTTTCCGACTGGTACTCGCCGTCTTCGCCACAGTCGCCGGCAGTATGGGCTGCCATCAACATTGTCATCGCGCTGGGGTACCGGTGCGCATTGAGGGAGCCGGGGAACGTGGAATCCCTGGCAGACGATCAGAAAGTGCTGCACCACATGCGCAACGTGCAGTCAGTCGTGTCCGACTTGGTGACTCGGGAGGAGGACTTGCTGGGAATCCAGGTTCTCGTGGGTATGGTCATCCTCTTCCAGGGAACCAAGGAACCCAAGCCGGCATCAGTTCTTATCGGGACGGCCATCCGGTTGGCTCATCGCATGCAGCTCCACGACAAGGAGTCGATGCGCTTCTTCCCACCAGAGGTCGCCCGCCAGAGATCGAGGCTCTTTTGGATGGCATATACCATGGACAAAGTGAGTAGTAGTGCTTATGCAGGTTGAAGATGACGAGACTGACAAACGTAGGACATCAGCCTGCGAGCCAAGACGCCGTCGTTCCAGCTTGACGCGGACATTGATCTGGCGCTTCCGGAGCCGCACCCCGATGACGGTACTGGCGTCATGGCAGCAAAGAACGGCAGCAAGTTCAGCTACTTCCGCGCACGAGTGGAGCTCAGCCACATCGCGGGCAAGGTGTACGACTTGTTGTACAGCACGAGGGCGCGCAAGGTGTCGAAGCAGGAGTCACAGTCGCGGGTGACGAGATTAGAAGAGATGCTCGAAAACTGGCATCGCAACATCCCGTCCGAGTTCCAGAAGGAGGCGATGCTCCAAAACATCGATGCGCTGCCGGCGGTGCATATGTCACTCCTGTACCACAACTACTTTGTGGTGACAATCATGACGCACGGCATCTACTCGCACGACGCAGACTGGGTGCAGAGGATCAGCTCCTACAGCCGCACGACGATGCGGGACCTCGACGGCGCAACGGTGGCGGCGTGCAGCGACCAGAATGCACCGCTGCCATCCGGGTGGGCCAAGTGCGTCGAGCTGAGCAGAGGGTGCATGAAGATGTTTGTCGAGTCGCCCAAGACGGACTGCAGCATCTGGACCAACTCTTGTGCGCATTTCTCGGGGCTCATCATCCTGCTGGCCAACATGTTTGTGTACCCAGAACACGAGCATTTGATGACCGATCAGGATTTGGCCAACCAAGCACTCCACCTATTTGACATGATGCTGGAACTGCTAGACTCGGACGCATTCCGCAGGCTACACAACGTCATCCAGGAGCTGTACCGGCGAGCGATGGCAACGGTGGAGAGAGTAGCGCGGAAGCGAGACGAGGAAGCGGCGGCGGCGGCGGTTGCGGAGGCCATGAACAGCAGCCTGCCATTCGGGATGCAGTTCGAGGAGGACGTGACCTTTTTCGGGAGCGGCGACATGGCGGGATTCGATGGCATGTTCGCAGGAGGCGCCACAGGTGCCTCGCCGGTGACGCAAGAATCAGAGACGTCAGACACGATCGAGGGAATGCAAGGGGATGTCAGCCGGGCGGCGTTATCCATCGGGTACAGCCATTACTGAGGGGGAACGGTGCGCAGATTTTTAGATTTTTTTTGGCGTGGTGTTGGGGTCGGCATTGGGTAACGTTCAAGGTCGTGATTCAAGGCGCATTAGGACTCGTCGTGGGGTAGTCTGAGATATGCCGTGCAGCTGAGCAGCATGACGCAGTTGCGATACGAATGATTTTGGTAGTCAATCGGTAGCCACTCTGCGATTTGGTGATGATGCTTGATTGGTGTTGAGTGGAATTTTGATGGAGACGGGGGATGTGCAAGAGAAGCTCCGAATTGAGCTCGATGAGCTTTCGCTTTGTCGGACTTTGGGCCGAGTCTGGGGCAGTGGGGCTTGCGCACCATGGTTTCTAGGCTAGACCGAATCGGGGAAGATGAGTGTCAGAGCTTCCGATTTGGGGCCAATGACGAGCCAGGCGTTTCCAAGCGGGCTGAGAAGGTGGGGCATAGTGGGGCAGTTCCCGTCATTTCGACGGCAGCACAGGGCAATCGTGGACCAGAGCTCGCGCATGTGGAAGGAGCGTGGTGGACGAAGACGGTGAGCTGAGACCCAGAGAGCGACGAGTTTGATCATTGATACTCTGTACTGTACTGTCCGTACCTACTGAAAAGAGCACATTTCAATTCTACGTAAGTGGCATTTTCGCTCACAGTCGCTTCCTTCCCTACCGAAACATGAGGACGTGCTGGGTGGGAAGGAAGGGGCCAAAAGAAGAGAGGCAAGGCATCTGCCGCCGCTATTCCCGGCAGAGCTCTTTCCTGGTGGAGGTGGGAGCTGGATGTCATGGCGTCATAGTTGGACCGTCCATTCTCTGTTTAGGAGGGGGAGGAGTTTGGTATTTTCGGCCTTCCGTCTCGTCTCATATTGTTTATCTGCAGCCATTGAGGGAGTGCAAGGGAGTGAAAGAAATGGATCAATGGCCGTCCAAATGGCAGCAGACGTACCTAGTGGACAGACGCATGAATGATGATACTCTGAAATTCCATCTTCTTTTCCCTGGCCCCCTTTCCCACACACACACACACACACACACACACCGCCAACACCCCAGAAAAATACTGCCCGCTCGTCATCCATCGCACGTTGCGCACGCATTGATTGCATTGCTACTGATTGCTCACTGTACATGCTAGCCCGACCAGTAAACTTCACACCCACCCCGGTCCATTGTACGAGTCAACGTCGATGTCGCCAATCTAAACACGATCCCATCCCTCATCCCATCCCCCGACACTTTGGTCCTCCATTACCACCATATCACGCCTTTCCTCCTCTCACAGCTCTCCCATTTCCCAGACAAGGACTCCCCCAAACAAACCCTCCCCCCCCGCCGGAACTATTTACCTTCCATTAGACCATTTTCTGCAACGCCCGTATCCCACACGTTGGCTGCAGTAGCTATAGCCTTGGCTTCCCTGTGCTTTGTCTGACCTGCTCAAGTCTCTCCTCTCCAGTTTACATCAGCGATCGGATTACCCCTCGACTTGTCCCCCTGCCCCCTCTCAATCCCGTCACTGTCCCTCCTCGCATTTCTTCCCCTCTTGTGCCCCTCCAAGCACACCTTCGCCCTCCCCCTCCTCCTCCGTCCTTCATGCAAACCACCAAATTTCTCCTCCGCCACACATCCATTCCTTCTTTACTACGCCAGACCACACAGAAGAGATCGTTTTCCCACAGGCTGCGAACCATGGCTGACTACAAGCTGAAGTCCGTCACCTCGCTGTCGCTCAAGCCGGGCGACAAGCAGGAGGTCGAAGTCGAGGGCATCGAGGGCGCAAAGGTCCTCCTCGTCAACGCCGGCGGCAAGATCCAGGCCCTCGGCCCCAAGTGCACCCACTACGGCGCTCCCCTCGTCAAGGGCGTCCTGACCGCCACGGGGAGATTGACATGTCCCTGGCACGGAGGTTCGTATCTCACACCACCTTGACCCAGCTGCAAGTCGCCCACCAGCTAATTCCTGCACAGCCTGCTTCAACGCCAAAACTGGTGACGTCGAAGACGCTCCCGCCCTCGATGCTCTCCCCACCTTCAAGGTCACCGAGCGCGACGGCGCAATCTACATTTCCGGCGAGGAGGCCACCATCAAGGCCGGTCGCCGCAAGCCCAACTTCAAGTGCAACGCCGCCGGCGGCGCCCAGGAAGACAAGGTCGTCATCGTCGGTGGAGGTTCCGGTGCCCTGGGTGCTGTCGAGGGTCTCCGCAACGGCGGCTATGAAGGTCCCCTGACCATCGTCTCCTCGGAAGGCTACTTCCCCATTGACCGCACGAAGCTGTCCAAGGCTCTCCTGACCGACATCAACACCCTGCAGTGGCGCGACGAGGAGTTCTACAAGAGCGGCTCCATCGATTGGATCGCTGACGAAGTCACCGACGTCGACTTTTCTGACCGCAAGGTCTCCACCAAGAAGGGTGACAAGATTGCCTACACCAAGCTGATCCTGGCCACCGGCGGCACCCCCAGAAACCTGCCCCTGCAGGGCTTCAAGGTCCTTGGCAACATCTTCACCCTGAGAACCGCTCACGATACCCAGAAGATTGTCAAGGCCATCGGCGACAAGGGCAAGAAGATTGTCATTGTCGGATCCTCCTTCATCGGCATGGAGGTAGCCAACGCTACCGCCAAGGACAACTCCGTGACCGTCATCGGCATGGAGAAGGTTCCCCTCGAGAGGGTGCTCGGCGAGAAGGTTGGCGCCGGTATCCAAAAGAGCCTCGAGAAGAACGGCGTCAAGTTCCACATGAACGCCGGCGTCGACAAGGCCGAGCCGTCTGCCTCGGACGCCTCCAACGTCGGGGCCGTCTACCTCAAGGACGGCACCAAGCTCGATGCCGACTTGGTCATTCTCGGCGTTGGCGTTGCCCCCGCTACCGAGTTCTTGAGAGAGAACAAGGTCATCCGCCTGGAGGACGACGGATCGATCAAGACAAACGAGAACTTTGAGGTTGTCGGACTCAAGGATGTCTACGCCATCGGCGACATCGCCACGTACCCCTACCACGGGCCTGGAGGCGACGGTCGGTACACGCGCATCGAGCACTGGAACGTGGCCCAGAACGCGGGCCGCTCCGTCGCGAACAACATCATCAACTCGGCCGTGAAGACGCCGCACTTCATTCCCGTCTTCTGGTCCGCACTGGGATCGCAGCTGCGCTACTGCGGAAACACGGTCGGCGGCTGGGATGACATCGTGCTTCAGGGCAGTGTGGAGGAGTCATCATTTGTCGCGTACTACACAAATGGCGAGACGGTCGTCGCCATGGCCTCGATGGGCAAGGATCCCGCCATGGCTCAGTCGGCTGAGCTGATGGCGCTGGGCAAGATGCCGTCCAAGTCGGAGCTGGCAAATGGTCTGGACATTACGACGATTGGCCCGCTTGAGGCATGATTTGTGCCCGTCTCATTAGGGGGAAAGCTGTATAATGAATAGTAGCGAAAGGAGGACGTAATGATTGGCGTAATCTGACGAGGCCTCTAGGCAACCTTTCAGCAATGTGACCATTTTGATGATAAACTAGTCCGTACTTGCAATCTGTGTATGGTGATTGGGAGTTAGTGCGTGAGGGATGGATGCCAGCCAGAGAAACCGCGGGACCGAGTTTTGGAATGCAATGCTCTGGGCCAATCAATGCCATTAAGTGGGGCTGTCCGGGACCGAACGCGCCCGTAGTACCCGAGCATTTCGGGGGTGGGGCGTGGCTGGGGCCGGCGGCGCCGATGCGGCCGGAACCGTACACGCTTGGAGCTTACGGCGGCTCAAGGATGACCACATGAGAATCGTATAAAGAGGCAGCTGCAGTATGCACCTGTGATGAAAGTTGAGACGGATCTACAAATGACACGACTCTTTGTATATCGCTTTCCTCATTTATCCAGTCAACCACTTCAATCCACCATCTTGCGTACCAATCGGTCATCCTTTGCGACTTACACGACATCCCTGACAATGGCGACACCAAGCCAAGCGCCCATCATCATCATCGGCGGCAGTCTCGTAGGTCTCGCCAGCGCGCTCTTCCTCGCCGCCCGCGACGTCCCCGTCGTTCTCATCGAGCGCCACACCGCGAGCTCCCCCCACCCTCGCGCCATCGGCTACACCTCAAGGACCCTTGAGTTGCTCCAGACCGCTGGTATTCCGCCCAGCGCCCTCCAAGTAGGCAAGGGCGCGCCGGGCGGCCGACCGCGTCGTATCAAAGTCAAGAGCCTGGCGGGCACGTGGGCCGACGAGCAGCACTGGAACAATAACACCAAACCCAACGGCGGCCCGAACGGAGGGCATCCGGCCGGAAAGCCTCGTGGCGGCCCGGCGGCCGGCGGGCCCCCTAGCAGCGGGGGCAAGGTCTACGCACCAATCATAGGCACGGCCATCGCCCAAGACCGCCTCGAGCCCATCCTCCGCCAACGCGCCCTCGAGCTCGGCGCCGATCTCCGCCTCGGGTGGAAGATGACGAGCTGGAGCCAGTCGCCCGAAGGCGTCAGCGCCACCGCCGTCAACAACCAGGGCGAGGAGATGACCGTCCAAGGGTCGTACCTCATCGCCTGCGACGGCGCGCGCAGCGTGTTCCGCGAGGCGCTGGGCATCTCGACGACGGGCGTCGGCCACCTCCGGAGCCTCTGCAGCATCATGTTCCGCTGCGCGCCCATCGAGCACTACCTCGCCAAGGGCTTCGTCCAGTTCTCCATCGAGGGGCGGGACGACGGCTTCGAGGCGTTCCTCGTCAGCTACCACGACGGGCGGTGGGCGCTAATGTGGAACGCCGACGCCGACACGTCGCAGAAAATGGACGCGCGGGCCCAGAAGGACTTCATTCGGAAAGCCATCGGGCTCGGTGAGGACGTCGTCAGGGACGAGGACGTCGAGCTGGTGACGATTGGGCACTGGGAGATGAGCGCGCGGATCGCGAACAAGTTCTCCTCCGGCCGGGTGTTCCTCGCCGGGGACGCCGCGCACACGCTGCCTCCCAACCGCGGCGGCTACGGCGCCAACACGGGCTTCGCGGACGCGCACAACCTTGCATGGAAGATGGCCGCCGTGAGGGAGGGCCAGGCCGACCCGTCGATTCTGGAGACCTACGACGAGGAGAGGCGGCCCGTGGCGCTGGTGCGGCATGACCAGCTTTTTGCGCGGGACGACTACAAGACGTATGTGCGGGGCGCCGAGTGGGCGACGACGGGGAGGGAGGTCAAACTCATTGACGACATTGCGATGGAACTCGGGCAGATTTACCGCTCCAAGGGGATTCTTGGTTCGGAGGCGGCGGAGTTGCCTGATGCGCTGCGGCCCGATGAGTGGGCGGGCCAGCCTGGGACGAGGGCGCCTCACGTGGCGATGGTGAGGGGCGAGGAGGAGATTTCGAGTTTGGACTTGTTTGGGAGGGGGTGGGTCCTACTCTCGAGGGATGGGGGTTGGGAATCAGTCTCGAGGAAGGCCGGAGTCGAGTGTGAGTTTGTCCATGTCGGGCAAGATGTGAAGGAGGCGGATGAGAGGGAGACGTTTGCGGGCAACTTTGGGGTGGGCGAGTCGGGGGCTGTGCTTGTGAGACCTGACGGGTTTATCGCGTGGAGGTCGGCGGAGAGGGGGGATGGTTTCGAGGCGGAGTTTTTGGAGGCCTTTCGAAGAGTCGCTTTTGCGAGAGGTTGAAGTCGGGCGGCGTGATTTGCGGGACGGCTTTCTTGTGTAATACCGGGCACGGAGGATATCCCAAGGTTGATTTCTTTCTTCTTTTACAGTTGTATGCAGAGCCTTTTGAGAACCTTTTAGCTAGAATGGCATGACGAGATGGGAAAGCGATCTCTTATAATACGAAACGTTTCAACTCAGAACACCATCATTTGGTGGATGTGTCGTCCGCCCGTTCTATTGCAATGAATCTCCCGTTCGGTTTTGAATTACCAGATGATGATGCGGCGCCCATTTCCGCAAAGAGGATGCAAAGATTGTCCCTGCTCCATGCCTTGTATCCCATGCCACATTGTCCCTCGAGCTTTGTAATATTTTCTGTCCGTCAGTGTATGAACGTAGTGCCTTTTCACATATTAGAGCGAGTTTGAGGGAAATCATGCCGGTATCAGAGGTTGGTAAGGCATTGGCCTTGTTTTCATGGGGAAATTAAACATTCGTGGTGTCCGTTGGCCGCAGCCTCATGTAGTCGCGGATCAGCTGTTCTTATCAGGTCAAATATGCCCTCATCAGGCTTGGCCGTCGCGCGATAGATAAAGTAGAGACTCCCGGAGTTCCTGTGTAGGTATGATCAGGGGTTGGTCATCACAAAAGACAGAAAGCATGCTCCCTTAGGGAAAGAAAAGTCAGTTGAATGTGTGTTGATTGATGGTGTCTGATCTGTGTCCCTCTATAACAAAGTGGTTTCTATACCGCTGATCAGAATCTGCTTAGCTAAGAAACCAAAGAAACCAAACGCAAAGACCACCTCAATGGGAGCAGGACACTGCCCCGTTCCAACATCAAATCGGAAGCACTGACCCGTCAATGAATGAGCTGGGAGATATCATCCGTGTCCAGTCCGCATCGTCAGTCGACGTCCTGGATGTAGAGAGTTGGGTGGCTACGGAGGAACTGAGGGTTTGCCAGAAGTTGTAAGTGAATGGTTCAAAAAAAGTTGCGCATGGAACTCCTGTAAAGTTTCCATTGCTTGTGATCAATAGAGATTGGGTGCTATGTAGTAATGGTCCCCTCAAGTGTTCTGTATTAGATGTGGAATATATTTTATGTTCTAGAAGAATAGCGTGATATCCCCGATCATATGGCATTGTGGATTTGAATTATATGAGATGATACGAGAACAGTTCAGACTCTCCAGGCCTCTAAGAACAATTGCGTGAGGGCAGCGGTTTTGCGTAGCCGGACCTAGCCACTTCTGAAGCCGTGGCTGGGCCCAATGAGAAATAACCACTTAACCGACCATCAACATGGTACACATAGCCCTCATTAATTGTTCGGAATCTTATCTTCTACGATCGACCGACAAAAGTAGATATGAATTTCTGCCCTCACTTAGGGAAAAAGCGGAGACGCGGTTAGCAAAGAGTACAAACGGCTCAGGCAGTACTCTATCCGACCTGCATATTCTACACTGATTCCGACTCTTCATGACCAGCTTGCTCGCTCCCAGCGATGGCACGAAACGTCAGCTTTTGGGACCATAATCCCGATGATACCGTCCCAGTTGTTGTAAGTGACGGCCCGGCCGTAGAATCCATGGTCATGGGCCTCCGAATTCCCAGTCTGGTCTCGAGGTCACGCGCAGTAGTTTGTTCGAGGTGTCGGCTAAACTCCCAAAGAAGCACTTTGTGCTTCTTCCGTACAATAGAAGAACATGGAGCAGGCATCCAAGTTGGGTAAAGCTTCTGGTGGCTTGCTGAGACACCAATGGCCAGAGGATGACGGGACATGAACTCGTTGCACAGATAACATGCTTTCTTGCTGGTTCCCATGAATAGCAGTCGCGGAGTAAGATGAGTGTTGTGGTCGTAGAAGCTAAGAAGTTGCATTTCGGCATGCACGGTGAGTGTCATGCGGCATGCTCGACGTAATCGTGATTCGGGATCATTCGTGAGCCAGGTTTGGCCCAATTTCTCCTTTAGCTTTTCGGGATCAGCCTTGGTTATTTTCTTCAGCACAGTTAGAAGGGGGGTTCTCTCGGTCCCCAAAGAAAATTCCTCCTGCTCAGGGGCTTCCACTGGCTCAACATGAATACCAGTAAACACACCTGGTAGCTTCACAGCCAGCTTAAGCATTGCCTTAGTTGCTGCATGATACCGTCCAAGCTTATAGATGTACTTGAGCCAAGATGGCAATTCCCCATCCTCAGATCCAAGAAATGTTTCGAGCTGTTCCGAGTAGACCCATCTGGCCTGTGATGACCATTGGATATGGGGAATGAGTTGAGCGGGAGTGGACCCAGGATTGAGATCTGCTAGCAGAGGCAGATTGTAGATCCATTGCCTGAACCTCGCTTCCTCGGCGTCTTCCGACGATGATAATTCTTCCTCTTCCATCTTAATAATTGCATTCTTGATGGCAGAATGGACGTCTGGGCGATGAATTTTCTTCAAAATCGACCAGATCTTGTCCTCAGTTAGGATGATGACTTTACGTAAGATCTCATACTCCGAATCTTTCGACATCTTTTCTGGATGATGTATTGAATCAGCGTCTTATCATGCATGAATTTTGACCTTGTGGGACGATACCTCTGAGAGAAACTGCAGTAAGATGATCCAAAACTTCCTGTAGCTGGTTGATAAGGTCGTTGGGAACGCCACGATTGCGAGCAAGTCGCAAGATAGTCCCGCTTGGATGACCCTGCTCCATACAGACCGCTGAGGCAGTATCGCCGCCTGTCTTCGAGGTTGAGCATATTAGGGCAAACGAGTCAAGAAACTTCTTCTGGAGCTGCTCATGCCTCCAAGAATCATCGTGTGGGTGCCTATCCAGACTGTGGGTCGTCGGCTCACCGCGCACTCGGTCAATTAGACTAAGCAGAGTCGTCACAGTCACGAAGCGCTTGTGAGCTTCGCCTGAGACGCGCGTTGGTTCGCTCCCGCTAGTTCGTGGGGGCAGCGATGGAGGAGCTGTCTGTTTGGCAGGGATAGCATCGAATTTGGAAGATTCGCGACTGTTGGCGGATCCTACTGGCGTTGGCAAAACATTTAAGACCATGACTCAAACATTTAACTTATGAGACGTGAAACACATACAGAAGAGTGAGTGCCTCCGAATATCACCAAACGAAAAATCTCATAGACTGATGCTTTCATAGTTCGTTTTCTCCGCACCAAGCATTCTCTCGACCAGTCATCGGTCCTTGGCTTCCTGTGGGAGGCCGTGCAAATCTAATTGGCGCGGAAAGACGCATGTGAAGGTACATATTGGGTTTATGCAGCCTGATACAGTCTGGCCACGCCTACGCAGACCTTACGGTTGACTCCATCGACTTTTGCACTTGAGAGGTCTATAGAAGCCAAGAGAAACTCAAATCGACGTCATCGGCGCCCAATCGTACAGTTGTAAAGAAGTTCTGGTCAAGCCGCGACAGCATACTCTCGAACGGGGTTTTTGTTGTCCCGTTATGAGGGGTGCAAGGACTCGATTGGACAGTCAAAGTTCTGTGAAAGTATAAGACAAGCCCTTCCCACTTGTGCGCCATGTCTTTCACATTGGCAACGATTGTCCTCCCTGCACTCATCAGCTGTCGACCTGCCCTCTTACCGAATCGTTTGACACTCTTTCAACTGTGGATCTCCTGAAGGGGAGAGGGGCTTACTAAATCACGACTTATCCCAGATTCATGCTGTCTTGACAACAACTTTCATAGCATGTCCCCAAATACGGTCTCAGCATTCCGCCCTGGGGCGGAAGATCCTCTGCTATGTGATGAGAACGGTTCGGTCTTTTGGGTTCCCTCTTCAGAGATATACAAGATCCAATCAGGCTCAACAGTTCCGAATGAAGCTGAATCATCTTCCGAGTACCTGGAGGAGGACGACCCCACGTTTGAGCTGTCATTTTATTTCCCTAGCCAGCAGCCTCATCTTTCAGAACCTCCATCACCCTCCCAGTACTCTTGAGGTGCTGGCGAGTTGCCACCGCTTCACCCTAAAATATCTTTTTGTGGTGAGAATGCGGAGCAGACGGTGTTAGCAGGTCCTGCGTGCCCAGGTTTTCTTCAAGAATCTCTGGGACACACTCCAGAGTTGGTACTCGCTCCCACAAGCCTTGGCCATACGCACACCACTATCAACTCTCTTCCTTCTCCTATGGCATTTCCTTCAAATACAGAGCCAAGAAAACGACTTCGTTGCAATTGGAAAGAGTGTGGCTTCAAGGCTGTGCATCTGGATGACATGTAGTAAGTAGACTTAGCCCTTTTCTGTCGTTCAGCCCTTTCCATTGGCTCTGGCCTTTCTCACGCTGACTGTTCTATACTTTCCCCAGTCAGCATATGCTGTATCACCAAAGATGTCCAAAAGAGAGATGTGCGTCGGAATTCAAAGATGAAAAGGAGAAAAGACGACATGTCTGGAAGAAGCACAGAAAGTGGGCGGCGCAGACCAATTATCCCCGTATTGGTGGCGAATGTGATATATGTGGAAAGAGCTACGCGCGGGAAGATTATATCGCTCGGCATAAAAAAGAGAAGCATAGAGGTGAGAAGAGAAAGAGGAATACTAGTGGTTGACCTTGAGTATGAAAGCTACTCGTTGGCCTCTTTCAAGGACCTTATCTTCTATTGCATTGAACTCAGGTTCCGGTGATCAGCAGCAAACGGTCACTCAGTGTCAGCATCAGAATACTTGGAGGCTCGTAAGTCGCTTATGTCCTGACGAAGGAACGATAATTATCAAGGCTGAGGTGGGTGGTTGATGTAGTACGCCGCGGTCTAGCACCCAAGTTGTCTAAGTAGGGTCTTCGAGGCTGTCTTATGTGTTTGAGACTATTCCTGAGCGTACCAAAGTAACTCAAGCCAATCTCTTTATCATTAGTAGTCCGGGTGTGTGTAGACAGGTAATGAGTAACAGCAGTGTCGCTGGCCACGAATACTTCAAAGACAGTCACATGCCTTCACCAGCTTCACAAGCTCAACTCCCTACTCATTATGTCCTGGCTGGTACATGCAACTC